GGGGGGGGGGGGCGACTATATAAGGACGGCCTCGCCGGGTCCTCAGACGCTACCCCTGACCACGCCCATCCGATCCTTCCATCTCAATGTACTCCAAGCTGTCCCTTTCGTTGGGCCTTTTGGCCACTGCGGCGCTCGCGCTTGCCGACCCGACGGTGTATTTGATCCGTCACGGCGAAAAGCCCAGCAACGGCAGCACCGGCCTCAGCTCGGTCGGCTTTGAGCGCGCCGAGTGCCTGACGCAGGTCTTCGGCCCGGATTCCGACTATGACATCGGATATATTATTGCCGAACAGCCCAAGTCCGGTACGTCCGCAGTCACCCTGCCAAGCAACTGTCAGATATTGACCACATTAGATGGCAAGCGGGACCGCCCCTATGAGACCGTCCTCCCCCTCGCCGAGGAGCTGGGACTGACCGTCGACACGTCCTGCACCAAGACCGATGCCAAGTGTGTCAAGAAATTGGTCAAGAACTACACCGGCAGCGGTAACATCTTGATCTGCTGGGAGCACGGCGAGTTGACCAGCATCGTCGAGAAGCTGGGAGACGATAATGCGCCCACCTACCCGTCGGACCGGTATGCCCTGACCCCTTTCCCTCGAATGGTCCGTTGGATTACATCAAGAGATGCGATGGCGGAAGGCAGAACTCTTGACGCTAATGGACACATAGGTTCGATCTGATCTGGACGGATCCGTCGCCCTACACCGACATCACCGACATCACCAGCGAGAACTGCCCGGGGCTGGACAGCTGAGGTAGCTGAGCATGTATGAGATACGGCTCGACCTCGGGCACTGCCGAGGCAGGTACATATGGATTTGACGTCGGGCGAAATCGTGACATAAAAAAAAGACCCACTGGGTTTGTACATAGTACGTGATTGAATAGAATTGCGAGCTGTTCAACTGCCATTTCCCCTGGAAGTACCACCGCCTCTCCGAGTGTCAAGTCGAGACAGCCCCTGACAGCGGCCAACTCCGCACCGTTCCCGCATTTGATTAGTCCGCGCGGGTCTACACTGGATACTCGGCACAATACACTTCGTCGACCCTCGCATGGCGAGCATCCGTCACATCCGGTTTATTGCCGCGACAGCGTACAGAAGCGAGCCTCCAAGTAGATACCTCCTAGCGTCGACCCGCCCCGAACCTTTGGCCCTTCAACGGTTTCGATCGCTCGAGCAAGATAGAGAGTAAAGCGGCTTACTGGTCCGCTGCTACAGCTTTCAAGATACGCGGGGTAGTATCCTCGTTGAGAAGGTCCAGATAACGTCCTAGTCACGCCATTAGCCAACACCATCCGGGTCAGATCTGGGACCACGTACGACAACATAACCACCTGGCGCTCCCCAGTTCCAGGAATCCCCGAAGAATGCGCAATTTGCGCACCGCCTCCCGCGAGTCACTCTCCAGCCGGAACCGCTCGGTCACAATCCTCGCAGCTTTGTACACAAGATACATAATGAACGGCGGCAGGCGGTCGAGGTCGACGGGTTCAATCCCCGTGACCAAAGGGGAGACGGTGTCCGTGATAGTCGTGAGAAGCGAGGACAGAGACAACGTGGCATGGACGTGGCAGGTTAAAATTTGTCCGTCCGTGATCAGACCGGTGGTGCCGTTCTCGTAGACGAGAAGGAGGCCACTGGGTCACATCAGTGTCGAACCAGAGATGGGAAGATGTACTACTCACGTGTGACAAAGATCCAGCGCACCGGAGTAGATCGCGTCCGCCTCGTCAATCTCTTCGACAAGGAGCGTGCGGAGACTATGTAATGTCTCCACAAAAAGCTGCATTTCTTCCACGTTGAACGCCTGTTCGGAAGTGGGGTTGTGGAGTACGTTGTGGATGCTATCCAGGAGTGCGGACGCGTCGACCATACGGGAGAATTGCGAGAGAGGGCTGCTTCGGTTCTCCTCGAGGCTGGGGACCCTGACCGTTGGGTTCGAATCATGGACGACCTGAGGGAGCGAGCGAGTAAGCGAGGGACGAGGGCCCGAACGGACGGTGATGTATCTAAACTGGGTCGGTCGAGCGGGCCATTGTGGCTGCATGGGGAGGTGCACCTGTCCAGAACACGGATGGCACCCCAGAGCAGCACGACCTCGTTTCGCTCGGCCTCATCGGCAGTCGAGGGCGAAGCACCTAAGCTCGGGGCCGGTGTCAGCGCCTCGGCGGCTCGGACAGTCGTCCCAATCGAGAGGTAAGCTGCCGGGTAGAAGCCATGTGCCACTTCGAATAAGGTGATCAACGTCCTCGCTTGGACGATCGGGAGCGAGATGATCCCGAGCCCTTCGATCACAGCCATCCAGCCCTTAGTCTGGAGGTACGCGGACTGGCACTTGAGTGGCGTCCCGTCTGACGAGGGAGACGGGGACGTACAAAGCAAACTCATGCAGAGGCCGAGGAGCGTCTCATCCAGGGGTGCCTCATGCCACGATGCCGGGGGCCCATCCTGTAATGTGTGGGAGAGAATTGGGAACCACGGATGGATGGATTGGGTGTATGTCGAGTAAATCTCGCGCGGAGGGATGGTGGCCGTTGGGAATGTGATCAGAAGACTTTGGAGGAGCTCTGGCGGAATCAGAATATAAATCGGGCTCGGTTTCCCGTCGACTTCGATTCGAGTCGTTGACCGCCGCCCTGCAAGGCATTGATGCTGTCGTATCCACGGTGGGTAATGCAGCCATCGAGAATCAAACCCTTCTCATCGACGCCGCCACTGCCGCAGGAGTCAAGCGGTTTATCCCTTCGGAGTTCGGCGCCGTTACCACCAACCCCACGCTCGAACATCTTCCCATCTACAGCCCCGTGTCCCGGATTCGGAAGTATCTGCAGGAGAAGGCAGCGACCGGAGAGTTGTCCTGGTCTGTGCTGGCATGTGGCGCCTTCCTGGATGCCTTGTGGGACGCTCCGATTTTCCTGGACTTTCAGAACCACACCGCGACCCTGCTCGACGAGGGCGATAATCGGCTCAGTGCGACTTCCTTGTCTATGGTGGGAAGAGCGGTCGCTGCCATCCTACAGAACTTTGACGCCACGAAGAACAAAGTCCTACATACATCCCAGGCCATCTTGACTCAAAACCAGGCGCTGGAATACGCGAAGGAGCGGAGGCCCGACATCGATTGGAGGACTAGCCACGTGCAAACCAGCGTGCTTCTGCAGGAGGGTGTGGAAGATCTTCGTGCGGGTGACTTCAGTCTATTGGCCGTCATGAAATTGATGAAAGGCACCGCGCTCGCTGGGGACACTTATGGTGCGGCCTATGATGTGACGGATAATGAGCTGCTTGGCATCAAAGAACTGACACCAGCCGACCTGAAGAAACTCATCGCCCAGAAGCTCGCCTAGAGTAGAATGACGCGACTTGCAAATGAAAATTGGAACTTGTGATCCCTAGTTTCTTCCTCGATCGGGTCTCCGTAGGAGTGATACGCGCAACAGTAGGCGTTCGCTGAATATTGTTCGGTCGATAAAGCTCGCCAGAGAGAGGTTGTTTAGATTCACCTCCCTTCCGCGGGCCGAACTGCGAGCTAGGGCTCGTAGGGTATACCAGTGGTCCAAACAGCCATGCCGAAAGCCGCAGACCGAACTGGGATGAAGACTTCAAAGAAAGCAGGTGGCATGCACCATGCAGGGGACTGTTCGACCTCGTGTCACTGCCGACGGCCTTCCGGGCATTAGCTCCTTTTGAGAAATTATGTACATGGAAATTGGACGGTCTTGGCGAAATCGTGGCATAATAAAGACCCACTGGGTTGTTTGTGCGTGGTGCGTGATTGTCTTAGATTCCAGCACGTCATGGTGCACCGAGAAGACATAATGCACGGCCCAGGAAGTGTGCTGGTTGAGCAGGAATAAAATTGCGTGCTTGTTATTCCTCCGGTTGCGTCCCACCCTCGACAATGGGGAGACATAAGAAGCCCACTTGTAGCGAGGTACTCCACAGATCAGTTCTGGAAGGCCCGCAGTTTGCCATGAACCAGGGATCAAGATCCAGCGTGTGTCTGATAAGGCTATATCCGATAGGGCCACAACGGCACCCGCGCAGAAACTTCCATCGGAGGTGCTGCCTCCTTGGAGGAAAGCCTGTTGACGAACAGGGCAATGAGAGGGCCGGGACAAAACCTTTGCCGTGTTGGGTGGCTCCCCTGCACCACGAACGCCTGTCAGAGCGCCAGTATGAAAGCAGCCAGACTTGGCTATCGGTCGGCCCCGAGATAAGGCCAGTCAAAGGATGCCGGTCACGCTAAGCTTCTAGCCAGCCCTTGGCAGCGGCCTCAGCGATGCACGGCGGGTCAGGCCCACCACTCATAGCTAGAATGGCTGACCAAAGGCTAACGCGTTATTAGCTTTGGCTAGGAAATTACTCTCCGCTCCGCCGTTATCGCGATTGGTGATAGACGTTGGTTGATCGTTCCCTCAGGCTCCAAAATTCTTAGGCTAGAGCAGGCCTGGCCAGGAGGAAGACGGAGGATTGCCCTCCTTCACCAGCGTTGCCTTGGCATTATTCGCCACCGCTCGCACTCAGATGGGAGAGGCCATCTTAACACCGAGATGGGCAGGCAGTGGTGTGGAAAATCTGACAGTCCATTTGCTGCAATCCAGTGCCGTGTTGCCGTATGATCCCAACTTTCAGCTGCTACTCCGCCAAGAGCACTCATGCAAGGTGGAAGATAATCTCCCAGGAGCCGTCAGGGGATACGGAGTACAAAGATTGATATCCTGGCCATGGCCACCGACCGGGAGTGATAAGGTCACCCGATGCATGAGCAGGGATGCGGTCCGGTCGAGGGTGGGGAACTCGTGCCTTTGAGTTTGATCGGAGCTGCGAGGAGCCAAGCGAATGGCATCATTGCGGACTATCTTGACCCCATATGACCCCATACACTTGCATGCGTCTTTCATCTTCCGGACGCGCTGTGGTTGGTGGGCCGCGATGGCGCAAGGGCTGCGAAATCGTTATCATCGGGCCCGGGTTCGAATCAGCAGCCGCGAGTGGGACGGGCCAGTTGCTAAACATGCTGCTAACCCGGCTAGTGCATGGCAACCTTCAGCTGGTCACTGGCCAAACGATAGCAACGACCAGGGTTGCATTGCACGATATGTCCGGCGAGGGGTTCGCCCTTGCAATGCCCTCTCTGGGGCACCGTTGGCCAATGCCTGGACCCCGTCGGAGGTCCGCCGAACCTGCGTGCAGCCGGCGTAACGGTTTATAAAAGAATGGCGTGCCGCTGCGATACTGAGATCGACAGTGACCGTGATCGTCCGTCCTCAGCAATTCCGCTTGGCGCACTACGCCTCAAAGACAAGATGTGTAGGTTTCCCACCTCCTCCCCCCCCTACCTTGCATTCTCCCAGCCAAGGGCTGACCCATTGTTCAGCCGACGAAACTCGCATCGACGATGCCATCATCCCCGGCCATGTGACCGAGGAGGTGGTCCAGGTCCATAGCAAGTCCGATCCCGAGAAGAACGCCTACGAAGTCGACGCCCGAGCGCTGGAGAACGAAGAGTATCCGCCGCCCACCCAGGACGAAGTCGCCACCCTTCGCAAGGTCCCGGCCAATCTCCCCATCGTCTCATACTCTCTGTGTCTGGTCGAATTCGCCGAACGAGCATCCTACTACGGTGCTCAGACGGTCTTCTCCAACTTTATTGAATTTGCACTGCCCAAAGGTACCCCCAGACCAGTCCATCGCTGTTTGTTGCCGTGCTAACCCCTCGGTCATAGGAGGTAATGGTGCGGGTGCGCCTCCGCGCGGGTCGCAGGAGACTGCCGGTGCCCTGGGCATGGGCCTCCAAGCCAGTGATGGATTGGTCCTGTTGTTCCAGTTCCTTGCCTATGTCATTCCCATTTTCGGAGGATGGTAAGACGGATGATGCCCGGCTGATAGTTGTATCTTGCTGACCGCTTCAGGTGGGCCGATGTCCACATCGGACGGTACAAAGCCATTTGTGTGGGAGTCGCCATCTGTGGTATTGCCCACATCATTCAGATCATTGGCGCCATTCCCTCCGTGCTGCAGGCTGGGACAGCGCATGCGGCGCCACCGTTCATCATCGGTCTGCTGATGTTGGCCTTTGGTGCCGGTGTCTTCAAGCCCAACATTGCACCCACGGTCCTGGATCAACACCGCCATCAGAAGCCATACACCAAGGTGCTGAAGACCGGGGAGAAGGTGATCGTGGACCCGGAATTGACCGCCACGCGGACCATGCTCATCTTCTACGGGATCATCAACGTCGGCGCCTTCTACATGCTGGCCACCACATATGCCGAAAAGTATGTCGGTTACTGGTTGGCGTTCTTGTTGGCCGGAATTATTTATTTCATCTTGCCCGTGGTGCTGGCAGCCGTCTATAAGAAGACGTACAAGAAGCCCCCGAGTGGCAATTCCGACCTGGCCAAGGCGATCAAGATCACCGTGACCGCTCTGCGGGAAAACAAGTGGCAGGTCTGGCGCAAGAACTTTTTCGACGCGGCTAAACCGAGTGTGTTGGCGGCCAAGGGAATTCACGTCGATTGGACCGACAAGCTGGTGGACGACGTGCGCCGAACTCTCGGTTAGTCACGTCCCAGGGCACATGATAGAACCTCTGCTGACTCGGGCAACAGTTGCAACGGAAATCTTCTTCTACTTCCCCATTTACAACCTCAACGACGGCGGTATCGGGTCCGTGTCGACGAACCAGGGTGCGTCGATGACGACCAATGGCGCCCCCAACGATCTGCTCAGCAACTTCAACGCCCTGACCATCATTGTCGCGGTGCCGATCGTGGATTATTTCATCTATCCCTTGCTCAACCGGTACAACATTCCGTTCAAGCGCATCACTCGCATCACGTTCGGCTTCACCCTGGCCGCGCTGTCCGGTATGTGTGGTGCCCTCATCCAGTGGCGCGTATACAACACCTCGCCGTGTGGGTACTATGCCTCCTCCTGTGCCGAGGTCAGCCCCATCAGCATCTGGTGGCAGCTGCCCAACACCATCTTGGGTGCGCTCTCGGAAATCTTCTGTAACGTTACGGCGTACGAACTTGCCTATGCCCGGTCCCCGGCCAGTATGAGAGGTCTGGTCATGGCCATCTTCCTCTTTATGACTGCGCTCTCCAGTGCGCTGGGAGAGATCCTCCTGCCGGTCACGGAGGACCCGGATCTGATCTGGATCTGGGGTGCTCCCGCCGTTGCCCTTGGCCTCCAGACCATTCTATTCTGGTTCCGTTTCAATCACCTGAACAACGATGAGTTCATGACGGATGAAGCGAACTATGAGGACACCAACAGTGTAGCTCCCATTCACACGACTGAGGATGTGAAAACTGCTGAAGAGTAGGAAACAAGAGGGGTGGAATTGCACATCGCGCAAGATGCTCTCCATTACATTAATCACATACGTAAATAATGTCATATTACCATTTGTACATCACCATGACTTTGCCATGGCTTGGCACCAAGTGTGATATGCTTGTAGCTTCATATAGTAGCGTAAGTACTACTGCTGCTACCGAGGTCGACTGCATATATACGAGTATTAGGTCCTGGTCAGGCTGAACATTGACGCCTCCGGATTTCAAGTTATGCCGCAGAGCGCTACATTGATTTCTGCCGGACTTTGGTGCGAATCAATTGCATTGCCGTCTGGCTTCGCTGAGAAGCTCCGAAGCGGACTCTACCATCTCTGGCAGGAGGATGACCGGCCGCTGTTCATCATTTGTAACGATATAATCATACGAGCAGCCGTCACTCAAATCTCATAGGCGAATGGAATGCTCTGCATCGCACCCTTTCTCTGCACACACCCTGCAGCGGCCACATTAGCCTTCTGAACGGCAGTATCGATCTGAGCATCGAAGCCGGCCAGCGGAGCACCCGTGGCGACGAATTCGGCCAAAGCAGCGGCAAAGTAACCGACAAAGGTGTCTCCAGCGGCGGTAGTGTCCACCACCTTCTCGACCGCTGCGCTAGGGACGAAGCCCTGTTTGCCGGTGATGGTGGAGTAATAGGCACCCTTGGCGCCAAGCGTGATCAGTACAATCTGCACCTGGGCGTGTTTGTGGAAGAGCGGGGCAAGTTCCTCGGGTTTCAGGTCCTGGGTCTGTTGTGGAAGGGTCAGGAACTCCTGGACCGTCTTCGTCATGAGCACGGCCTCGGTTTCGTTCATGGCCAGCACACTGGTACCTGCCAGTGCCGAAAGTGGGATACCTTCCGTAAAGACCGGGGCGGGGTTAAAGATGAGGTGAGAGCGGCAGGCCGGGTCATTGAAGTGCTGCATCAGCCCCAGTGTGGTTGCCCTCGGGATCTCGCCCTGCATCACGACCACGCCCTGCTCGAGATGAATATCCCGGGTAGTGGCGAGAACAGCCTCGGCATTGTCCATGCCTGTATAGTTGGCACCGGGGACGAACAGGATGCGATTTTCCCCTCCTGCGCCTTCATCCACGATGATGGTGGCCGAGCCCGTCTGGTTGTCTTTCATCTGCTTGATACCCGTTGTGCTGACACCGGAGCCCTCCAGTGTTGGCCGCAGAAGAGCTGCATAGTAGGGGTCATCCGCACCAACCGCTCCGATCATGGAGACGGATACATTCTGGGTGTCTTTAGAAGCAAAGGAGGCGCGACCGCATGCGACGGCCTGGTTGGCACCCTTGCCTCCGGCACTGATAGCGAGGGAGGAGGCTGTTAACGTCTCGCCGGCATCAGGGCAACGCGGGGTGTAGGTAACAAAGTCGATGTTCAGGGAGCCGATCACGCAGATCTGAGGGGGAGCCATATTGTACGGTCCTGAGGGAAGGCAGGCGAGTCAGGATCAGAGCGACTGAGCATGGGAATCACCGGAGGGTGGGGGGGGGTAGATGAAGACTCACTAGTGCGGTATAAATGACAGACAGGGCCAACTAGCAAAATCTATGATAGAGAAAGGATTCAACAATCGCTATGCAGTAATTGAGGGGAATAACTGCTCTCTCTGGTGAGATCTGGAGGGACGGTTTGGCGGCGGGGGATAGCCATTAGGTAAGCCGATAGAGTCACATGATGGTGACGTCGGTGCGAAAGAAGGCCTCCAACGGGGGCTCCTTCGAGCCAACAAAAGGAACCCCACGAGGCCGGTGTAGATGCCATCCATGGGGGGCATTGCCTCAGGTCAGAGAGAGCTGGTGCAAGCCTTCAAGCCAATGCGAGAGGCTGAGCAGGCCAGAACCCGCCTCTGAGACGCGACGACACGCGCTCGACGGGTGGTTTCATCCTAAATGTGACGGATGATTCTTCTGCAGTGATGAATTATCTTTCAACCAAGCATATGGAGCAGAGAGCCCCTTTCTGGTTGTCCCAAGCTCATCTCCGTTGATGGTCAGGGGGATGCGAACGGTCAAAGGGAGCTTCGGGATGATGGGAGCCAGCCAGGCGTCCCCATCGGGTTTAGACTAGAAGGGTTCGTTCCTGACGGTTCAGGTGTCGAATGCCCCTGCCTGGGAAGCATCAGGCATCCATCTGTCGTGCATCTATCTACCGGGTCAGACCTGCACATCTCCGCCCCTTTACAGAGTAATCCTGACTCAAACAAAACGGCTTCATATAGCTACGGTACTAGCATCGGCTCTTGTTGCCGGAACCCTACTATGTATTGCGTGTTCCTATCCTCCCCACCACGCATGCCAGTCCTGCAGAAGTCGTCATTTTAGAAGGCCTGATGCCATCCGCCAGTGGATCAACTGGAGGTCCTGGGCCCCTATCAGCTCCCTTCACTGGGGAATCGCCGAGCAGAGTTCCGAGCCCTTGCAGATGCTGCAGATGACAGCGGTGCGGAGCCCTGCTCGACTCGGATCTTTCGCCGGACGGGGTTAATCTACTGCTTGTTTCCGGGGCCTGCCATTGGTGGTTTGGGATCTCCCGGGATGGCGGAGAGTGGTATACTAGTATGTCGATAGTAAGTAGGAAGTAGTACTGGGTACCGAGTCACCCGCTCCAGAGCACTGGAGTAACTTGGTACATGGCATGGTCCGCACCACTTTATATCCCGCATCCTCCCAGCGCTTCACCACCATCCAGCATGCACCACCCATCCCATCCATCCAGATCAAGGCCAGTCAACCACAACATGGCGCTCCTGTCCACTCTGCTCGCCTCCCTCCTCCTGGCCACCACCATCACCGCACACCCCTCTCAGACCCTCAACAAGCGCAGCGTGACCTGCCTCAAAGTCGGCGCCACCGCCACCGCCAGCTGGACCAACAGCGCCGGCCAGACCTGCTCGTACGTCGGCGTGGTCGGCAGCAACTACGGCGAGAACAGCGACGGGGAGGGCGAGTATGTGGCCCCCCCCCCCATTCCTTCATGCGCAATCCGAAGAACCGACCCCTGCTAATCACTCATCGGGAACAGTTACTCGTGCAACGGCCGCTGCGGGACCGGATGTACTGGGGTCGCGCTGGGGAACGTCTACACCCAGGATTGTTTCTCGCATGACATGTGCTCCTATTTCAATGATGCCAGTGGGGGTGCCAGGTGAGTGGAACCAATGTTCGCTGTGGTATGATTGAGTCCGGGGGCTGATGATATCCAGCGATCCCAACTGCGGCGCGGCGTACAAGGCCGCCGAGGATGATTACTTGCTGGGTTTGGCGGATGGTTGTTCCCAGACCAATCCGACCAACGCCGTGTCCAAGCCCACGGCCAGTCCGGTTTGTACTTGATGGATGGTATGCATTCTGGAGATAAGAGGGATGCTCGCATGATTGCTGAATCAAGTCTCTGGGAGTGATGTGATGGTTAGTGATGGGGAGGGGACACGTGTATTCATAAGACGATACATTCTTTCGGTCTCAAACAACCGCAGGGGAAACCTGGGGATCCTGGCACTGTAATTACCGCTCCTCACAATGTCATCCGCAAGTGACTTGACGTCCAACAAAGCAAGGAATCATACTACCTCACCCCCGGATCAACTCGTGCAATGCATCGCCACTGGCATGTCGTCCTCCCAGCACACAGGCACAATGGGCCTCTTCCGGTTGGCTGAGGGCGCGTTCAATATCGTCCTGCAGCACGCTCAGCCCAGGCTTTCGTCGCTTGCTGGACGGCGTAGAGTGCAAAGACTCCGGCTGCCGGGTCTGACTGCTGGCGCTGGCGCGGGAGTCGCCGATCCATCGCGGCGCATGGAACCGGAGGAACTGCTTGAAATACGGGAGACAGCCGCAGATGATGATGAAGTTGGCCTCCACGATGCTATTCCTCGTCAGCGTGAGATCATCCGGTGCATCCGGGGGAGTGGCAGGCTCACACGAAGATAATGGCCACCGCGATCTTGTAGGATTGGTCTTTGGATGTGACCAGAGGCATCAGGGTCACCAATCGGAGGATACTGGTGATAATGGTTCTGCAACGAGGTAAGTCCAGTACCTGTCTCTAAAACGGACTCGTGCAGCTCCTGGGTGGCCGCGTCATGGGGTGAGATCCAGGGAATACCTACAGACAGCCGATCCCAAACATGCAGCTGATCCCAAGCTTCTGGACCAGGGGCAGTCGGAGCCGGAAGACCACGGGAATGGGAATTAGGACCAAGATGATATCGCTGACGGTGTTGGTGATGGCGGTGGCGAGATAGAATCCCGTCCGGTCGATGCAGTGGCCATGGGTGATGGTCACATCCCAGTTCTTGGCAATGGGGTTGCAGGCGAAGATCAAAGACAGGGTGATGGCGAGGGAGTATCCTGCAATGATAAAGGCGACAACGTAGATGATGCGTCTCCAGACGCGTAGCATGCTCATCAGTCGGTAGTAGAGCATGAGGAGGGCAAACTTGGCCGTGGCCAAGGCGGGGAGGTAGATGATGGTGCCGGCGAGGATGGTCTAGAGGGAGGTGGCTACTCTCAGGGACTCAGATTCAGCAACAAGAAACAATGTCGATCTACCTTGGCATAGAGCTCGAGGACAGGGACCGTCAGATTCCACATGTGGACGCCATAGCCGGCATAGTTATACCCATCTGCAGGCTCGGTCAGCTCGGCTTCCACCGGATGGGGGAGACTCCGGACATACAGAGAATGATAGCCTGCGTCCCCACCGAGAAGGCCTGATTGGAGTTTGAAGATGTGAGTGCACGTGGTGACCAAACGAGGGCATCGAGGCCAACCCTACCCATGCGAGGATCAAACAAACTGCCAACTGGGTGAGTCCCCAACGCACGCCGGCATCACGCCCGGGCTCGAACAAAACAAACATACCATCATCCCACCAGAACTTCCGCATGATATGGATTTTCGTGTAGATGCGCATGATGAGGAGACCGGTGCATACCGCCATGCCCACCGCCGCCAGCACCTGGTTGGTGCTGCGCAACCATGGATGCGCCAGGTCGTATTCCGCCGCCGCGTTCCCAACCGGAACAACTCGAGCCCCCTCCATGCTGAGGGGCGAGGAACGGACGCCAAAGTCCCCAAGACACGGGCATGCTTATTCCTCTGTGTCAGGTGGATCTCGTGGAAAGTCGACAGGAGGCCGAGAACCCACCCCGGTCTCCTTTTAAGTAGAGGCAACGCCGGCCGCTGGTCGAGTCGCGGGGTGGCGGAGCCCGGCAGAGTTTCAGCCACGGCATCATTGACCACACTCTCGCGGCACCTCCCGAGGAGGGCATGTCGAGCGAGATCGGCAGAAGGCCCGGTGTGTAGTTTGTCTTTCGGCACAACCAAGTGAGAGAAGGGATATCATTACTACTATTCGTCTATCATGAAGTCGAGGACACGGTACAGCATCATCCTCGACCCGGGTCCACGCAATTAAGAATACAGAAAAAGCAGCCGCCTGGTCAAGGGACGGCCTGAACGCAGCGATCCGCCTATGATCGCGCCGCCTGGCATCGATCAGTCCAAGGCAAAGCACCGTTCCACCGAATCCGCGTTATTACCCCACCAATTCGGCATCGAGATTTGCTTCCCCGACCCAAAGAACAGGAAGATCAACAGCATGTTCAAGTTGAAGCCCGCATCGAACGCCGCGGCCACCATGTAGCTGTACCGCTTCCACACCTCGAATCGGTGCCGGTAGGCCCAGTACATGACCACATACCCGCCGATGAACGCTGACGTGTAGCCCGTGCTGATATTACCGTAGAAGACCGACAGGCCCGAGAAGAAGATGCTGACATTCCACAGGTCGATGCGCAGCCAGCGCGGCAGAGTGCGGTGCGCAATGTACAAGATTGGAGGGAGGACCGCCCCCACCAGGAATGCATACGGGAGAGGCCGCATTTCTGCCTCCTGGAACAGCCGGCTCGGTCCGAGGACCGCGTACTGGACACCAAGGGTGTTGGACGACTTCAACGACTGCCCAGACCACTGGTTGAGCGGATCCGTCTTCTTCCCGGACAGGTAGTCGCCCTTCGTATTCAACACCCACCGGATCACGGCGTAGTTCACCGGGATACCGAGGATGGTGCCAAACACCTGGGAGAAAAAGACGGTGCGGGGCGGAATATGCATGTAGTGACCGATCTTCTGGTCCTGCAGCATGTACTGGGCGCGATACCAGGCATCACCGGCGATCGACCCGTAGGTAGAGGGGCCACAGGGATGCCGGTGGCTTTTGCCGGCGGGGGTTTCCACCATGTAGCCATACACCAGCTCGTTGAAGGATCCCACCGCCAGCTGGTAGTTCGAAATCGCGTACAGAAAGCCAAACGGGACCACCAAGACGGCGGCGCTCGCCAGCGCGACAAACAACGTCCAAATCGGGATCCACAGGTAGCCACAGGCAATCGTGATGATGAGGACCAGGAACCCAGCCATGAAAAGCGCCACGTACCACCAGAGCGGGATTTCCTTGTAACTCCGCTGGAGAACGTTCAGACGATCGTGGTACTGGTGGTTGATGCCTTGCCCACTGGCCTGCGAGTTCTTGCCCCGAGACCGGATAACCTTCATCAAATTGGTTCGAATCTGCACAAAGCCAAAGGTCAAGATCCACGTAATTGCGGCCGTCACTTTGGCGTAGTCGAAGAAGGTCGCCCAGAGATTCTGCAGACCCATGTACATGGGTCCGTACTCCGCGTAGGCGGTTTCATTCAGCTGATAGTCGGAGGTGACGACATCGAGGGTTGGGTACTTCGTTCCGTTCACCGTGAGCAGGGAATTCGACATCAGACCGTGCTTATACGACCCCAGGTTTCCCCACTTCGCAGCCGGAAGGAGGACCCAACAGTTGAACGCAAAGGCCAAGAACAAGACCACCTGGGTCCACCATGGGGTCAGGAGGATGGAGGAGCCGTTCCAATTGATGTTTGACCAGTCGAGCGACAGGTTCAACAACCCCATTCCACCCAGCCCAGACCCGATGAAATTGGCCACCGGGTTACGGGGCGCGACCCAGCACAGGAACGCCAGAGAGGAGGTGAACGGGAAGACATATTCGGGCAAGAACTGCCAGAGGGTCATGCCGAGAAAGCACAAAAAGAAAAGCTTCATCTGCCGGCGGGCGAGAGGGGCCGATCGGTCCTGTTTCCGGAACGTCTCGAACAAGGTCGTCTGCATGAGAGCCTGGGGCCAAATGAAGTTGGGGTCGTACAGGAGGAGTTGGCGAGCCAGGGCTGCGAACGCGTATCCAATCCAGACGATTGCAAACATGAAGAAGATGGCCACGGCGGGGTTGACCCTCTCGCCATAATAGAGTTCCGCCATTGCGATCGGGGTATAGCCCAGGTTGTAGGTCGCTCCGGACGCCGCCGTCAGGGTGACTAGAACGTGCTCTTTAATGCTCCACGGTCCCGGGTTCAGGCTAAAGGACCAGCTCGTGAAAGGGACTCGAATCACCCAGGCCGGAAGGGCTCGCGCCAGGAAGTGACCGGCGTAGTGGCACGCGATCTGCACGAAGAAGACGGAGTAGGGGGCCTCCGTGGTACGGAAGTGGCTCATCATGGACAAGAAGGCACCGGGCACGACGGAGAGGATACAGAGGACGTAATACCGAAAGGTGATGGTCAGCATTTCGGGGTCGTCGGTCAGACTGACCAACTGGCGCACCTCGATGGGTAGCGCGGCGATCTCGGGATCTTCTTCCGCCGCCGTTTCGATGACATCCGGTTTGTCGGTCTTTTGGCTCCTCTCCAGATCGTCCGCAGACTGCTCCGTCACGGATGCGGCCTTGGATACGGAGGGCGGCGTCTTGTCCTCCTGGTAGCCGGTTGAGGTGGCCCCGGGCGACACGTCGCCATCCTCGGACGGCGGTGCATCCCGCTTCCGGCGAAGGATCGAGGACAGGCCCATGGTGAGGTGCCTGGGTTTAGCGATCAGGGGCGGATGGGGTGACAAGCGGCATGGGGGAAACGAACCATGATGGAACTGGAGGGCGAGCCAGGCTGTAGTTATACAGTCGTGAATGGACCAGTGACGCCTCGGCCTCTCCGCATCAGGTAAGGGGGCGATGGCGCAATCGAGCAGCAGCCACGCAGAATTAATTCGACCCCACGAGTGCCAAGTCGCTCGGGCTCGTGCCGAATACCTGCAAAGTGCAAAGTGCGCAGGTGACACAAGCTAGGGCAGAACATCGGGGGAAGAAAATCAAAACACGGTTGGTGATGGGAGCGGAAGTGGATGCCCCCCACGGTGAATCCGAAGGCGTGCGTTGATTCGACAGGCGCCGCCGCTCAGGCATTTAGCCACGACCGGTCCCTGGGCCAGCCATGGAACGGTGGTCAAGAGGCGTGAGGAAGGTGGAAGAGCCGAGCTGAGATTGGCCCTCAACGTGGCGGAGACTAGGCGAGTGGAGGCCCTCAACTTGCGCGGTGGCCTGTCGCAGGCTTCCTTCGGTCGGTCGCGCCCCAATAGGGTGCTTAAGCCGCTTAAGCTTAGATAAGAGAAATGGTCGGACAAGATTCGAATGGATAATGGATAAACGATCATTTCGGAACGCGCAGAGGGCCAGAGATAGCCAGGCAGCCACAGGGAGATGGTCGATGGGACCAGAAGGCAAGAGAGGAGTGAGGGGCGAAGAAGGAATAAGCAATGACATGCACTCATCGACGATCAATGCATCAGCTGAGGTCGATCCCTCTCCGTGCAATTGCGCAGAGGTTTTGGGGTGGTTCCGGCGCCTTTCCGCGGCACCACAAATTTCCGCAGCTGACCTGGTGAGCCTGAGGCCGCCACCCAGGAGTGATCGAACTTCCCCATTTCGTGCCATGGGTGTCATCGATTCATGAATACTCCGTGGTCTCTATTGGCATCCGACCAGTTCAATTCCTTCTAGGGAACGGGATGACCTCATGCCGGTGGTCTCGGTACGGCCGGACGCATCCGTGGCCAACCATGGATGTGCACCAGTCATCAAAAGCAGTAACAGGCAAGGACAGCTGGAGGAGCTCGGGGAAACCCTGTCCCCAGCGATGAATATGATTGGGTTGCCCTGTGAGCTAGGTTTGATGGGATCCAGGATGGAACAAGGGAGGAAGAGCTGTGACGAGGGCGATGACGTCCGTCTCACATCAGTCCCGGGCCGCCAGAACCCTACCTGGTCCAACTATAAACCGCAAAGGAAGGGGCACCTTCGCAGCAGTTGCCCTGCACAATCCCTTTGACTTGTTGGCATCAATTTTACTCCTCTCAATATGCCCGACTACACGCGAAAGCACAAGGTCACCGTGGTCGGCTCCGGTAATTGGTATGCGCGATCACTCCCGCGTCACACCCACGTGGTTTGCTAACGGTGTTTCGACCGCAGGGGCTCCACCATCTCCAAGATCATTGCAGAGAATACGAGGGAACATTCCGACCTCTTCGAGCCAGAGGTACGCATGTGGGTGTTCGAAGAGGAAATCGAGGTCCCCGAGTCGTCCAAACACCACAGCAAGCTGGGCGGCCAGAAGCGCAAATTAACCGAGGTCATCAACGAGGTTCACGAGAACGTCAGGTACCTGCCCGATATTGCCCTCCCCGACAATGTCGTGGCCGACCCAGACCTGCAATCGGCCGTCAAGGACGCCACCTTGCTCGTCTTCAACCTCCCCCATCAATTCATTGGCAAGACCCTCGATGGTATCGTGGGCCACCATCTCCCCTATGCTCGGGGCATCTCCTGCATCAAGGGCGTCGATGTGTCGGACGGAACCGTGACCTTGCACTCCGAACTCATCATGGAGCGACTGGGTATCTACTGCGGTGCCTTGTCGGGCGCCAACATCGCCCCGGAGGTGGCCGCGGAGAAATTCTGCGAGACCACCATTGGCTACGATACTCCTCCGATGGACCTGAAGCAGCGGAATGGTTCGCCCAAGGACAATTTGATCAAGGTGGATGAACAGCGACAGCACAAGACCAAACCCACACATGTCAAGCTGGAGCCGGTCCCGCAAGACCTACCCCATGTCGATGCCGAGCTATTCGAAAGTCTGTTCGCCCGCCCGTACTTCCATGTTCGCCATGTTCGCGACGTTGCCGGGGTTGCCTTGGGTGGTGCGTTGAAGAACATCGTGGCGTTGGCGTCGGGATTCGTCGCAGGCAAGGGCTGGGGCGAGAACGCCAAGGCAGCAATCATGCGCGTTGGCATTTTGGAGATGGTCAACTTCGGTCGGACATGGTTTCCAAAGTCCGTGGATGAGCGGACTTTTACGGAAGAGAGCGCTGGTCTGGCGGATGTGATCTCCTCGTGTAGTGGCGGGCGGAACTTCCGGTCGGCCTGCCATGCGGTGGAACAAGGGGTCAGCGTCAATGAAATTGAAGAAAAGGAGCTCAACGGACAGAAATTACAAGGAACGTCCACAGCATATGCGGTCTATGACTTTCTAGCGAAGCATGACCAGCTGAAGCAGTTTCCATTGTTCGTTGCGGTTCATGGTGAGCAACCCCTCGTCTCTCTCAGTCCCCTCATACTAACTTCGTGTCAGATATTCTCGAAGGAAAGGCCACTCCCAATGACCTCCCGGCCCTGCTCGATGGGAAGAAGAAGACTTGAGGGGGATGATAGTTAGTATGGTGATGCTGTGCAGATTAGCAGCGTATCTAATGAGACACGATCGTACCTAATTTGCTGCCAAGGTCCCTACCTACCTGCCTTGCATCCCCAAGTCGCAGCAGATCTTCAATACTAGTAGATTGTTACCGAGGCACCCGTCATAGTAGAGCGCCAGTCGAAACGTAACACACAGGGACATTGAGGGCTTTGGCTGCAGAGATACAGTCTGCAACTGCAGTCAACAGTACCAGGCAGTTTTCACGATGAATAGATTCAGCATATTGTCAAGGTTCGATCCTGTGGTGGTCTTGGGAGAGCCAGCCGTCAACAGCAAATCGCTCCTACCGCTTTGCCCTTCGCCGAGTATGTCTGGCAATAAGTAGGCGGTGGCTTTTCGTGGGGGTGGCTTTCCGGAAGCAGGTCCCGATCTCCACAATCTCCGCCATGAAGATTCCTCCGGGCTGCCGCGCCGTCTCTCATTCCTGAGTTCTTCATCTACCTCTACTGGAAGCTTCTCAATTCTAGCCATGGACTTTTCCGGAGGCTGGTCATAGCTCGGGCATAACCGACCTCCCTCGTTGGCTACGGACCCTCTTCCCCTGGAGCGGAACTAGACCCTTGAGGGACAAGATCACACTACCTGTTTGTACTCTGTACTCCCGTACGGAGTCTCCTTCTGCGCGCGTACGAATACTCAATGGCATTCTTTTTGATCCTCCGGGGTCACTGTCTCCTATACAGTACTGTCACTCAGTGCTCTTCTACTCTGATGGCTGCGGTGTATTGACGTTTCATGGCATAGCGCAGACCAGGGTTCTATTTTCCAACGCGTCACTGCCGTTCAAATAAGGAACTGTCATCAGTACTCTACCCCTATAGGACGAAGAATCCGAAAATGCAAGCCCCTCGCCATCCCCGTGCCGCGGCGGCCATGCTTGTGGGTCTGGAGCAAGGGGACACGCCAGTGGACCCACGGTTTTATCCCTGTCGATCTTCACGATAACATGTAGAGCTAGTTCGAAGCTTAGCTTTGAACTCAGACGGGTGCGGTGACAAGCTCATCGTGGTACACAATCATTGATACGGAGTACGCCCGACAACTATCGAACCTCAGTCCAGACCCCATTGAGCGACATCTTCTGAAAGATGGGCCTCAGGTACACGCATCATTCCTTAAATGGACCGCGTATGACAGGACAAGCCGTGGTCAGTCATCTAGGTCTCGCCCAAGATTGTAGGATGTCTACCCCTTTCACAGGGTCTCCCATTCCGTGTACGTTCTTACGGCACGCAGGCTCGAGACATCAGACCTTCGAGGTATAAATTCGTCCTCTTAGCCAGTCCCTAGCTCTTCTCCAGGAACAAGATCACAACGCAGTCACAGCAAGCAATCCCAACCTGAAAGAGACCCCTTGAAATCATTTTTCCATCCAAACCAGTACGTCTCCCACCCCTCTCCTAACACCACACCTAACACCCTCCAGAGTCTCGACCATCAACCACAATGCAGTTCACCTACCAAGCCCTTACCATCTTCCTCACCTCCCTCCTTCTCAACACCGCCGCCGCTCACTCTTGCGACACCAGCGTGGCCTGGGCTGATTCCACCGACTGCCATTACTTCTACCAGTGCCTTCCGGGCGTTGAACCCGCTCGCAAGAAGTGCGGGGCTGGCACAGCCTTTAACCCTGTTATCCAGGCGTGTGATTATCAGCAGAATGTCCCGGCCTGTTATAAGGAGCCACATCATCCTCACCCTCATCATGAATAGATGATGAGATTTGTGGATTTGCTTGGGTATTCTGTTTTCGTTGGGTTAATGGGTCAAAAGTGAGATTCGGGTCAATTGCTGGTTTCAATTGTTTGTCTATTTTGTTCAATGTGGGGAGTGAATCATCTTTACGATACAATATTAGACTTCCAGGAGTGATACTGAATTGATTCTGCTTTTCGAAAGTACTATCCTACTTGATCCTGGTTATGCGAATCAGATTTACTCAATTCAAAATCTAAAACATTGAAATGTCTATTCAACCTAGCTAAACACTCAAAGTGGTATCACAAACAAATCCGCTCACAAATGGTACTGCGGTGCGCCATTCTCCGGGAATCCCATCCGATCCCACCATCTGTCGATGCCCATGTCTTCTTGCGAGCTGTGCGATGCATTAGCCAGGGTTCAAATACTACACAATAAAAGATGAAGACTTACTCCCATGATTCTTTAATCACCGGCTCATCCTGGCCCTCCGCTGGGTTCGGGTTCCGGAAGACGATGTTGTATTTCTGCACCACAGCCACATATTAATACCTATCCCGGACACAGTTTAGGTTGAAGAAACTCACCAATCCCAACGTAATATGAATTGCCATCGGAAACGGCGGAAAGACATCCTCCGGCTTCCTCCCCTCAATCATGGCTTGGATATTCTTCGCCACGGCCGCGGCCTGGCCGCCACCTGGGCGGGCGGCCTTGCGTAATCCGGTATCGGCGATGTCGCCGAGAGCAAATAGGTTCGGGTACTTGGCGTCTTGGAATTGGAGGGTCGGGCGGATACGAATGAACCCGTTGTCGGGGTTGATGAGGGAGTCGGTGGAGGATGGGGGGAGGTCTTGGATGAGGTCGTTGTTGGGCTTTTGGCCCGTGGCGAGGATGACGAAGTCGGTGGTCAGGGAGGTGCCGTTGTTGAGGTGCACGGTGAAGGGGGTGCCGTTGTTGGGGAAGCCGGTTTCGGGGACCACGATGCGTGTGCCGGTGATAAGGCTAGTGGGGGTTAGGGTGTGGTGATTTTGGTGGGGAGGGGGGAGGAGGGGTGGGCTTACTTGATGCCGAGCTCTTCGAAGCGCTTCTTGACCAGTTCGTGCAGGCCGTGGTGGAATTGGGGCATCAGTTTGTCGCGCGACTGGACCACGGTGATTTCCTTCTCCGGGTAGAGCTCCTTCATGTCGGTGGCCATTTGCACGCCCACAGCTCCACCGCCCACGATTACGACGGACTTGGCTTTCTTGACGTCCGCTTGGTGCTTCTGGAGATAGAGCACGGAGGAAGGCTTGTCCTCGTCCTTCATGGCGGCGGGTTCGGCGAGGCGCGTGCCCGTCGCGACGACGAGATACTCGAATGGGATTTGCTTCTGTCCCTGCCAGTCACGGTCGAGGTTGACGTGATGCGGTTGGACGGATAGGACGCGCGCTTGGACGACTGCGTGCTGTGTGGAGTTGGGTACGGCGGAGAAGAGGCGGGTGTAAGGAATGAAGGCTTTCTGTTCGTGACCAGAGAGGATGGCATAGCGGGGCTGCAGTGGACGTTAGTTTGGTCTCTCGTCGATAGAATAGGTAGCGCATTGACGTACAAATGCGAATAGGTGGTGGAAGTGGCTGTGGGGTTCGATCAAGAGAACCTGTCGTGGGTTAGTATCGTTGGAAGACGCCACAACCTTAGTATGTGTTGGGTTGGCTTACTCTATGTGTGCTGGGAAGGATCCGTGCAATCTCTTGCGCCGCTCCCTGGAATGCATGTAAGTCATGGTTCCCATGAAGAAGTGATATTTAAATGTGCAATTACCTTTCCTACGTATGAACCGCCCACCACAATCACATTCTTCAGCGTAGCAGCCATTTCGTTAGATTGCGCTTGGCGATTTTCTAGTGGACTTGTTCCAATGGATGATAAAATCAATGCAATAGTCACGGTGCAAATCAGAAAGAAAATCCACGATGGCAGTCGCGTTGAAGCCAGGAACATGATCGATCCATGACCGGAGCGACAGCCCGGTCTTATATGGGCGGGAGAAGCATTAGCCCCGGGGCGAGGTGGGAAAAGATTGGCCAGGGGGCTCGGCAAATTCCTTATCTGATCCCCCGGACTGCCTGGTCTGGTATCTCCGAGCGCGGATTTCACCTCGGAGTGTCTTAGAACAACGCCGCATGGTCTCCGAGGCCTCCACCCGGGTCGGATCCGGGTGGCAGTGGCGTTATCTGATGGACTTGGACTCAATAGAGCTGAGACGTGTTGCAGCATTGCTGTGTATGCTGCTTTTGAAGGATGTCTCTTGCCTTCACAATTACTACACCGTGGAAACCAAGTTCTTCCGCGAATGTCATATGTTACTCATGAGTCACAACGTTCAAATGGCGATAGGCCCTGCAGTGGTCCATCATAGCGATCTGGCATCACGAGGATCACATCAAGATCAGATAACACGACAGGATCCTGAACCTCGCCCGCGGCCTCCGGAGCACAGCCGCCGAGACCCACGGCAGTTGATCGCGGATGAAGCCGTCGGAGATCCGGACATCCGGAGATACGGGTTGAGTGATGTCATTCCAGTCATCAACTGTTGCTTCACTCGTGTTGTTGGCCATGGCGTGGATCATATTCGAAGTCTGGCATTACGGCTTTGATCTCCTGTTGCTAGTCAACAAATGCTAAAAGTGATCAGGTGCTGGCGAGTTGAACGATACTCTGTCACACTCACCATGGATATATATCGGGAGGCACATGGGAAGTATATGATAGGTATCCATGAAGATAGACGAAGTTGTCAGTTGCCCACCAGAACAGGTATTGACAAACAGAATAGCTTTTATTGAGCATGAAGTATGTCCTGAATGATGCAGAGATGAACAGCATGTATGAATGTACAAAAGTGGTAGAGAGACTGGTGCCTGGGACCTCAGGCGTCGGCCACGTGGGGGCGGTCGGACCTCCCGCTTATCGCCTGCCAGCCTTGCGGTCTGCCACTCAGGCCCCTTCCATCCTCTACTAAGTACTAAGTACTATCTACTGATCCCTGGATATGCTGAAACCGATGCGCCGACTGGACCCCCACTCTACGAGCCCCTGTACCCCGGACTCCTCCGGCTCGGACACAAGCTCGGCCCTCGTCCGGAGGAGAGCCGGCGGTAGGAGGTCCAAGACCGGCTGTCGGACTTGTCGGTGAGTCCACCCTGGCAAGTAAGCAGCACAAGAACGCCTACTAACACAACCTCGGTCTTTTCAGAGCCCGTCATAAGAAATGCGACGAATCTCCAGGTGCCTGCACCAACTGCACATCCACAGGCCGAACCTGCGATGGATATGACCTCCACCGGCTGCCCCGCGAGGGACGGAGAAAGACACTGCGGGTGGAAACTGCATTACCCATGGCACTCGCAAACGGGCTGCAGTGGGTGAGGAACACTGATGAGCAACGATCGTTCTCTCACTTTCAGCATCGTACAATTCCCACATTCGTCGGATGGTTCGACTCGTCGCTATGGCAGAAACTGGTGCTTCAGATGAGTCATGCAGAGCCCGCTGTTTATCATGCAGTCGTGGCACTGAGTGCCATTCACCAGGATTCCGAGAAGAGAGGCATGCCGCTCTCCAGGGAGAACTTGGGGAGTACCTGGCATCGATTCGCTTTGGAGCAGGCCGCGCGGTCTTTTGCCTTGCTTCACGCGCGACCGGCATCGCAGGACCCCCGCTTGCGGGAAGCCACCTTGCTTTGTTGTTTACTTTATGTGATCTCGGAATTGCTGCGTGGTCAATATGACAGTGCCTTCAATCACCTTCGTGCTGGTCTTCAGATTTTGAAAGAACTGGGTGCCCACAAACAGCTTGAGCCCACAGCAGCCTCCAAACCAACAGTGGAGCAGTCTCTCGTCGAGGCATTCGCGCATTTGGATGTCCAGTCTGCCCAGTTCGACGTAGGAGGACCACTTTTACGTATCCATGAGCAGGACCACCCTCTGCCTCGGAAAGGAGAATATCCGGTCTTTCGAACCCTCGCAGAGGCACGTCAGGTTTTTGATCGTCTAATGGGTGCAGTGCTTGAATTTACTAGCCTGTCCTGGAACTCTACGCATATTCAGATCATCTCTGATTATGAAACGAGATATATGAATCAACTCAGTCTTTGTATGCGGGTGGAGGAATTTGCCCAAGCATTCAACACCTTTCGCAATCAAACACACCTTCACTTGAACCCGAAAGAGCAAAGAGGAGCAGACGTAATCTACCTACATCAGCGGACAGTAGCCCTTGCCCTCCAGACCTGCCTATTGGACGGAAATGAGCCCGTGCTTGACCAATACACTCCCGAGTTTGAGAAAATCTTATCCCTAGTGGATGCAATCATGCGCACGTTCCCAGAGCGACCGAGCGTCTGCCTGGACATGGGTATCATCCCGCCTCTATTGTTTGTGGCAACCGGCTGTCGCGATTACAATGTACGCTGGCAGGCCATTGAAGCACTTAGTGCTTGGCCCCACCGTGAGGGGCCGTGGGATTCAAATCTATGTGTGCAAATGGCTGTTGAGACAATGAAACTAGAGACAATGAACAAGCTCAACGTACACGGGAAAGGAACAGCATTGGAGAATCCGACACCGGCCATGCGGCGCATGTTGGTGACGGTTGCCCCTGACCAACGCCAGGCTCGGTTTTCATACGTTGTGGGAGATACAGAACACGAACGGTGGTTTGACTTGGATGGAGACATCCCTGTCAACGGACTGATTCTCTGAAATAAACAGCATCGCGTCATTATGCTGACCATTCCATGGCCCGGAAACGATGAGTATTCTGGATAACACTATTTCAGGACGCCGGAAATGCTTGATCAATTATTAACACATCTGTCACAGCTGATTCAGCCAACTCAATGTAGGGCTTGTGATAAGATTCTGCCTAATGATATCGCAGTCGTCGCTACTAAAGCCAATGGACAACAGATAGCCTTGACCACTTCCATAAGTCTGCCTGAAGCGCATCAAAAACTTCCGCATGGTGTCGGGGGAAGCCAAGAAATGCCTGTCAAGTGCGACTGGCGGGACTGCCGAATCGACCAGGAGCGGCAACTGCAATAACTTCAGCCGCCTCTCAGGAATGATGGACTTGATACCGTCCTGAGAGAGCTGATAGTCTCGGATGATGTGTTGATCGGAAAACCCCAGCATGAGAAGGATGATGGCCATGCAAATTCCGGTTCGGTATTTGCCGAGCTCACAATGGATCAGGATGGGGCATTGTGGGTTATCCCGCAAATACGTGAAGACGGCGCGGAAAGCTGCTGTTGACATGGCGCAGATCCAAAGGTAGAGCTCTGCGGTCACGGTGGACGTATCGTCCGTGGCGAGGCTTTCCAGATAGTCGAGTATCCGATCATCATTCAGGTCAGAGAGCGCTGGAGCGTGTGTGATCGGGATAGCGGATAGATGGCGGTTTGGTGGAGGGACCTCAATCCCGGAGCGCAGGTCAAATATGGCATGGATCCCATGGCGGGTCCTTAGCTTTTCCGCCCCGACTTTGGGGACATCTTGGAGATTGGATGAGCGGAAGAGAAGTCCCTTCTTGATGGACCCTCCTCCTGCCACAGGATAACCCCCGACGTCGCGGAAGTTGGACAGGCCGTCTATGTCAGAGATCACCGGCAACCGGCTTTGGATTGGGTAGGGAAGGTCTTGACTGGGGAACACTTCATAGCAGGAAGACATTTTGGGGAAGTTCAATGTACAGGCCAGGAATGGGAGTGAATGTCTTCTGCATCTTGTGGGCAGGACCATAGTTATATGATGTGCCTCTGCTGTCGACGCAATGTACCGCCATTATCATCTTCACGACGACATGATGACACGCCATGAATTTCATGCTTTGCTGAAGAACAACAACGGAGATTGACTCCACCGATTCTCACAGGGCGACATCTATACTGACATGGCTCCATACTTGTTATTCCGCCAGCAAAATTCTCGGCGATATATCGGCACCATCACCGAAGTTGAGCCGGCTTCCGACCGGAGACAGGGCCTGGCAGGATATCAAAGAGCTGGCAAGGAGTGCATCAAGCCAAAACAGGGTGGGTTGTGTTCCGGACCGGGCACCCTAGCTGACTAGGGACGAAGGTTCCGGGCGCATGTTTTGCAATCCCCGAAAGTTTATTCTGATGCCAAGTGATGCATCTGTGGCCTCATCTCGAGCTTATCGACCTTTAAGGTCCAGTGTCTCCTGGTTCTGCCGCATTATTTGCGTCTGTTGTATCAGTCCTTCCGGAAGTTAATGACCTTCGATTCGCCAGAATACACGTACAAATGATGATTCCATGTGAGAGATACTGCGAATGAGTTCCGAAATGCGACTGCTTGTCTCTAACCTTCTCCGCACTGCCCCAAGCCACAATTATTAAGTCACCGCGTGGTGTGTAGTCAGCTGGAGTGGCCATTGAGGACAGCTATAGCAATAACCGACCAATCAACGGCCACAGTCCCGGCCTGGCAAGTTCCAGCTGGCTATAATTTGATTTGAAGAACAATACAACATAGATATGTTTTAGAGGGGTTCTAGCTGACCCCCTCTCTCTAAGTCTCCCTCCTCTCAGAGGCTAGAGTGGTACGAAAAGGTAATACGCTTAAGTCACGTGGCAGGGAATAGGCTCATCGTGGAGCAGCTGGACAGGGTACACCCTGAGGATGCATACTGGGTGGCGAGAGGCATGATGGGGATGGATCGTTCGGAGGCTTTTATAGTCCCGTTGCCAGCTGATGATACATGCACCGCGACGACGCTAATCATCCAGCGGACATAAACAAGGCATCTACCGGCGCGAAGTCATGATATCTACCTGGCCAGGTAGACCACAAGCCCCCGAAACCGATCGAGGCTTTCTCTCAACCGACGAGCAAGGGATTTGGCAGGGGGTTTGCGCACAGTCTGGCATCTTCTGGCATCTTCTGGCGTAGGTCGGCCTGACGTACCGCATCCCTACACTCCGTGAAGGCCATGCCGCGCTAGAGACAGGGGATTCCCGCTGCATGTCCTGTGCGACCATGGTATCCCAGATGCGTACACCAAGGCAAGCACGGGAGCTTGTGAGTGCGAAAGGAGTACAACGGCTTTCCTTCCTCTGACTTGGCAGAGTTGAGCTCGGATGTGCTCAAGACTAAGCCGAGGACTGTCCGAGCATCATGCGTCCCAAGATATCTAGCATTCCAAGCATGGGTCTGGGGAGAGAGAAATCGGCCCCGAACCCCGACCGAGCGGGACGGAATTGGAGTCAGTTGGGGTGGATGCCTGAGGGGTGCTCCAACGGAGGCCTGTCTGCCTGGATGCCTGACGGGCGGTCGGGATCCCGGCCCTCCCACCAGCTGATGCCTCATCATGCTTGGACTATGTACTACCCCTAGTAGTAGTAGTAGTGGTAGTAGTAGTAGTAGTAGTAGTACTACACCTAGATGATAGATATGAGATAATCATCCGATGAAATGTCAGCCCCGGTGGTCACACTGGGCCAATCTTGCGGCCCGGATCGCCCTAAGTACATAGTAGTGATAACCGCGGCGGGCTCGCCTCCAACCGCGGTGCGACCGCCCGTGCCGGTGAGCGATAGCAATTGGTCATCACGCTGATAACCGTGTCGCTCCCTTGCCGCATTCGTCAGGCTTCTAGAAGCTGTTGGGGGGAGAACATTGCTCCGTGTTTCACTGCCTCCATTTGCCATTTGCCATGGCCCGAGCCTCCCCTCCCCGGTGAGGCCTGAGACCCCCCCGGTGAGCCCCAGCATCCTGCTTCTGCTGAATTCTACGGAGTACCCTAGGTGCTCACTGCTCATGGCTACCTGCCATCCCTCTGCAGGCCTTGGTCACCAAAATAAACTTCGTGCCGGCGACCCCGAGAAAATTACTACCGCGTCGATCGGGCGGACGGCACGGGCTACTGCAACCGCAGCAGTTAGTCGCCTACTTAGTCCATCCTGCCAGTCTGGGGAGGGCGAGGCTAAGACGAATAGCCTTTGGCCTGGGGGACGCACTGCTGGCCACTCCCGCCCGCATTGGGCTAGTCTAACCCCAACGCTAAACCTGAAGCAGCGGCGGCGGCAGCCCAACGTCACCCTGGGGCTTAACCCCTGGTGGACGCTAGTCCGGAATCAGCTGATTCCACGGCCTGGGCAGAAATACTAAAAATTTCATTGGCTGGGAGACAGAGTGGCGGGAGCTTGATCCCCACGTGGATTTTGATAAACCTGCAAACCTTAGCAACCGCCACCGAATCTCATTACCAAATGGTTTCCACCGCATCGTGTGATGGACCCCGAACGACTGGTCGGCTGCTCGCTGTTTATCAGCAACTGGCGCGTGCCCGGATTCATCCGACCTCCGTTGGAGCTGCAGTGGAAAGTCGTGCCTGCGGTGAACTTCCGTCCCGCCCCATTCAAAACCGTCCTCTTCCCTCTCGTTCCTCTCGCTTCCCTCTCGCTCGACACTCTTCCTCTTCTTCTTCCCCTTCTTCCTCTCCCTCCCCCAGACCCCAGGCATCCGGTGTGACAGGGCATTGTGTGACCACCCACCTGACCCTCTCCACCCTTCCGCCTCTCGTCACCCCCATCTCCTCCCACCACTTCCACTTCACATCGCCGGTTTCCATCATGGGTTACGCCGACGAAATCGGGACGGACAACAAGTCCCATCATGCCATGGGCATGGAAGGAGAAAAGTTCGCCCCTCCGCCGTTCGACGGGGATATGGTCGACAAGATGAGTGAGAGTGAGCGGAACATCTACGAGGCGGGTATCGAAAAGTATAACCGTCTGGGCTGGAAGCGTCTCACCGTGGTCCTCATCGTCGAGGCCATCGCGCTCGGTAGTCTGTCTATCCCCTCCAGTTTCGCGACCCTCGGTATGGTCGCCGGTGTCATCATGACTGTCGGTTTGGGTTTCGTCGCCATCTACACCAGTTATGTGGTCGGTCAGGTCAAGTTGAAGTTCCCCGACGTGGCTCACTACCCCGAAGCCGGACGGCTGATGTTCGGCCGGGTGGGTTATGAGATCGTCTACGTCATGCTGGGCTTGCAATTGCTGTTCCTGACCGGCTCGCACTGTCTGACCGGCACCATCGCCTTCATCAACATCACCGAGAGCGGCATCTGCTCCGTCATCTTTGCCGTCGTGTCCGCCATCATTCTGCTGCTCTTCGCCGTGCCGCCCAGTTTCGCTGAGATGGCCATCCTGGGCTACGTCGACTTCGTCTCCATCATCGTCGCCATCCTCGTTACGATGATTGCAACCGGTGTCCGCAGCTCCAACGAGGTGGGGGGACTGTCGGCGGTGGACTGGTCGGCCTGGCCCAAGGAGGGCATCACCTTCACCGACGCCTTCATTGCCGTCACCAACATTGTGTTCGCCTACAGTTTCGCCATGTGCCAGTTCTCCTTTATGGACGAGATGCACACCCCTAAGGATTACACCAAGTCCATCTGGGCGCTGGGTCTGATTGAGATTGTCATCTACACCGTCACGGGCGCGGTGATCTACGCCTTTGTCGGCCAGGACGTGCAGAGCCCGGCGCTCCTGTCTGCCGGCCACACGGTCAAGCGGATCGCCTTCGGTATCGCGCTGCCCGTCATCTTCATCAGTGGGTCCATCAACACGGTGGTGCTGGGCCGGATGATCCACGGGCGCGTGTTCAAGAACTCGTCGATCCGGTTCATCAACACGAAGATGGGCTGGATCACCTGGCTGGTGCTGATCAGCATCATCACCTGGCTGGCCTTTGTGATCGCCGAGGTGATTCCGTTCTTCTCGGATCTGCTGTCCATCTCGTCGTCGCTCTTCATCTCCGGCTTCACCTTTTACTTCCCGGCGCTGATGTGGTTCCTGCTCCTCCGCGAGGGCAAGTGGAACACGCCCAAGAACCTGGCGCTGGGGGCGCTGAACCTGGTGTGCCTGATCATCGGACTCGTGACACTGGGGGCTGGTACCTATGCCAGTGTCGACGATATTGTACGTGTGGTGCCTCTCCATGGTCTGCGAGATGCTAATCTGTTTTCTAGGTGCTCAACTACCGCGACGGCTCGGTCCGCGGCGTGTTCTCATGCGCATCCCCGGAGTAAGCGTTCATCTTGCTTTGCATCTTGCATTTCTGTCATGATTCTTGACCCCCGACCGGGACGGGTGCCACTCGGCCCCGAGCATGCAAATACCCATAGCATTCATTCTGTATATATGTGCCATGTTTATGATTGTGAATACATTACGCCAGCGCCTGTTGATACACGAGCGGGTTTATTCGATATTTTTTTCTCCCCTTTCCTTTTTTTCTACATTGCACATAGATCTGCATATACCTCATTTCTAACGTTGAGAACTTGATAATCCACGATCTCATAGATAAGCCTCGTATCAGCCGGACGAACCATGTCCAGGGCAAGATAAGCTCGGGGATGGCCCGGTGGAGGGCCGTAAGGTTCGAGGAAGCGGAGGAGGAACCGGGCACGACGCGGGGGCGACGGTGCAACGTCATCCCCATCCGGATGAACCGATGGAGATCACCGCATCCAGCGGCGAGCACGCCATCGCCAGGATTTCGGTCTGGCGTTGCCTCGATGAGCACATGAGGGGGAATCATCCGGGGTAGCCGAGACTGTACACGGCACACTACTAGGGATCCGCTTGTGCAGAGGCCCTGGTTGGTCCGGTCCTAGGATCGCCGCTGAGTGAGAGGGCCTGATGTTGATACTGAGAGATGCCGATCAGCCACTGAATGACTCGACAGAATGGCTTGGACCTGGGCTTGGTCATCTGTCAGATTGGCGATACAGGTCTCACCGAGAGATCTCAGACCAGCCACTCCTCGTATATACTGTGATGTAACGCCTTATCCCGGTCCGCCTGATGCCAGATGTGCGCAGGCAGTCTCGGATAGAATAAACTCGGCCTGGGAATGCGACCGATCGGTCAGTCAGGCCCCCAGGCTACACCAGATCAGGTGACTTGTGCATCCGATGAGTCATTCACCGTGCATCCCGCTTGTGCATCCCTATGCTGTGTTGCTTGCTGCTGCAATCTGGCAGGAAGAGGCTCAGATTCGGTGGCCACGACCATCGCGCGAGAGTAGTTACTCGTCTCAACATCCCCGCTGGGCGCGTGTTTCTCCATTGGGGCACCCCGGATATCCCTCTCAGGTCCGGCAATGCGATGCATCACCTTGACAACCGATCGACACCCGCAGTTGAAACCCTGCCAATGAGATCCCTTCCTCTCCGCCCCGTGTTCCAGATAGTATCTATTTTGGTCGTTCATTGCCTGCCAGTCTGCAATATCTCCCCACAGCGGATCCATCGGAGTGTTGATGGGGTTGATATAAACAGGCCCCCTGGCCGGGTTGCCATTCTTCCCAGCTTCCATCCGTTCACCCATTTCATTCAACATTCCATCGTCACTATGAGAAATATCCTTGCGGTTGTGGTGGCTTTCGCTGCCGGGGCGGTAGCGCAGAATGTCTACATCGCTCTGCCCACGGCCGGGCAGACGGTCCAGGCGGGGGAGCAGCTGACCGTGCAGATTCAGCGTCCGGTAGGTCCTGCCATGCCATGGGAGATAGATCGAATGAGAACCGAACTGATGTGTACAGACCCCCCCCACCAACGTGCAAGAGATGAGCATCGCCATCGGCCTGCAGTCCTGTGGGTCGTCGACCTGCTACCCGGCCTCGGAGGCCCTGGGTACCATCCTGTACAACGGGGCCTATGACCCCGTGTATCATGAATACTACCTGCCTCAGTATCAGAACATCACCGTGACGATTCCGGAGGGCACTGCGGCTGGGGCAGCGACCCTGGGGGTGGCCCATGCGACGCTCATTGGGGTGAGTACTCCTGCTGGCACGGTGGACGGCTGACTGACTGCTTAGGCCCTGTACGAGCCGTACTTGCAGACTCTGAGCCAGAACCTCACGATTGCTTAGATGCCGTAGTGATTCACATGGATGAAATGATGTTTAGGTGTATCTTAGCGTTTGTGTTGCCGTTCGTCGGATTTCATTTCATTCCACAAGTACATAGCAGCGTAGTCAATTGAACAAGAGTCATGCTTATGCGTCCACCCCCGCTGATATAACAGGGATAACTCCCGCCATGGCCCGATGATGCCGGATTAGCGCCAATCACGCCATACTGCCGTGCCCGACACGATCATTCTTTGGCTTCTGATGGCGTGCTGTCATGCCAGGCACGGGAACTGCCGAGATAAATCAGCGTAGTCCCGGCAATTCATCAGATAAGCCCAGCTGCCAACCATGAGATTCCTCGCCTTTTTGGCCATTGCCGGCCTGGGGCAGGCCATCGCAGACACAAACGATACCAGCAGCTTCACAGATCACAATGATGCTGATCAACAAATCATCCTGGACGGGGACCATTCTGTCTCTAAAGACCGTCCCAACATCATCTTCATCCTCGTCGACGACCAAGACCTCCAAATGGACTCCCTCAACTACACCCCCCGCACGATGCACCACATCGCCGACCAGGGCGCTACCTATCGGAACCACTTCGTGACCACAGCCCTGTGCTGTCCCTCGCGCGTCAGTCTCTGGACTGGCAAACAAGCGCATAACACCAACGTTACGGAGATTTATCCTCCCTACGGTACCACCTCCACTGCACCAGATTCAGCGATTAGTTACTGACCATCCAGGTGGATACCCTAAATTCGTCGCCGAAGGCCACAACGACAATTGGCTCCCCCTGTGGCTGCAAGATGGGGGGTATGATACGTACTACACTGGGAAGCTGTTTAACGCGCACACCGTGGATAACTACCACTCCCCTTTTGCCACGGGCTTCAATGCCTCAGACTTTGTTCTCGACCCGTATACGTATCAGTACCTCCGCCCGGTGTACCAACGCAACCACGATTCCCCCCGCAGCTACGAAGGCCAACACACCGTGGACGTTCTCGCCGAGAAAACCCTCGGCTTCCTCGACGACGCCTTGGCGAGTGATACTGATCGCCCATTCTTCCTCGCCGTCGCCCCCGTGGCACCCCACTCGAACCTCGAAATGGGCGATGAAAACGATACTACCACGTTTCGCTTCTCGGCTCCGATCCCGGCCACACGCCATCAACATCTCTTCCCGGATGCCATAGTGCCTCGTACTCCGCACTTCAACCCCGATCACCCCTCCGGCGTGAGCTGGATTAGGACCCTCCCGCGACAAAACGAGAGTAGTATCGCCTACAACGATGAATTCTATCGGAATCGTCTCCGTGCGTTGCAGGCCGTGGATGAACTCGTCGAAGATATTGTACAGCGCTTAGAGGACGCGGATGCTCTGCAGAATACCTATCTCTTTTATACGTCGGATAATGGCTACCATATTGGCCAACATCGCCTCCATCCGGGCAAGGAATGTGGATTCGAAGAGGATATTTGCGTTCCGATGTTTGTGCGGGGTCCGGGGATTTCTCCCGGGATGGAGGTGACCTCTGTGACGACGCATATTGATCTGGCTCCGACGATTTTTCGGATCGCGGGTCTGCCGCTGAAGGAGGAGTTTGATGGGTTGGCGATTCCGTTGACGGAGACTGACATCCAGCAAGACGAACTCTCTCGCCATGAACATGTCAATGTGGAATACTGGGGTAAGGCGGGCTTCGAGGGCGTGTTTGGGCAAGCGCGTATGTCCCCCTTCACCTATCCCTCATTTCCCCGGCTATACCCCCTAAAGAATCACCACCACCACCCTACTAACCGAGGATAATGTACAGCGGACGGCGGCCCCACCACCTTCTACAACAACACCTACAAAGCCCTCCGCCTGATCAGCCCCGATTTCAACCTCTATTACTCCGTCTGGTGTAGTCATGAACATCAACTGTATGATCTTACGGTATGCCCTCCACCCTATACCTTCCTCCTTACCCCATAATCCAACCGAACTAATGGAATATCAGAGAGACCCCTACCAACTCCATAACCTCTATCCCGCCCCTAATACCATCCCCACTACTGATTTAAATGCAACAAGCTATATCGGCCCCTACCCCATCTCCCACATCATATCTCGTCTCGACGCCCTCCTCCTCGTCCTCAAATCCTGTCAGGGGAGTACCTGCATCTATCCCTGGAAGGAACTGCATCCCGCCGGGGATGTACATTCCCTGCGTGATGCCTTAGAGGGGAGATTTGATCATTTCTATGCAGACCAGGTGAAGGTCCAGTTCGGATGGTGCGAGTTGGGGTATTTGCTCGAGGCGGAGGGGGTACAATATCCCTTGGTCTATGGGGGTGGAAATGGGGATGGGTTGGGGTGGAGTGAGTGGGTATAGACCTACATCGTACTATGTATGTGAGGAGACGGGAGAGATGGGGTTTGTAATTGTGGTGGGTTCTGCGAAGGACATGGGGGGATAAAATGAAGTCGTGTGTGCGTGTGGATGGGATTAGATGTAGATGGAGGATACCTCTCTGATTTCCATGCATAAAGCCAGGCAGTTGAGCGGTGGGAATGTGGGACAAAAGTTTAGGAGATCGAAAAACAACAACTTGCGCAGGAATCGAATTTTTGAAATCACATCGCAACGCGAGGCCCTAGAGGCCTTATCTTTTGATAAGTTTCTTGTAACTCGCACCGCTATTATTTAATATTAATTTTATTAGGTTATTACAATGATGGCGTTAAAGACACTTAACTAGTCTAGTCTGGCTGCCTCTATAAGAAAATCAGAACATTTCTAGGAATATACTCTGGATCTCTAACATAATATAAATATAATACTTAAGCACCTAGAAATAAGTAAGAGCTCTCAAGTGCTTAAGCTAATTATTAATTATATTAAGAATATACAGGAATTCCTAGTAAATCTATTAAAAAATCCCTTTAGACATTTCTAGTAATAAGGACACAAAGCTTTTTACGTAAAGATTAAAACACTCTATTAAAATATAGAAGAATATTTATATTTTTTAAAAATTATTATAAAAAATTTTTTTTTCTACTAATATCTACAGCTGGACTAATATTACTATATAAAAAAATATACTGCTACTATTATATAGCTTAATATAGTTAGAATTAATCTTAATAAGCATGTCCTTTTTTAAACTAATAAAGAAAACTTAGATTATTATTAAATTTAATAATCTAAAGAATATAATTTAATTCTATAAAATACTCCTAAGGGATATTTTAGTGAAGACTAAGAAAATATATATTTAAATCTACTAGGCTAATATTTTCTTTCTTCTAGTTACTATAAAATTCATCACAGTATAATAATTTAAATTAAATAATTTAAATCTTAATTTTTACTCTATTATTGAAGCAGAAGCCACCCAGTAATATTTTTTATAGATATATTAATTTTAAAAAGATATGATTATTTATTATTTAATTTAAAGAATTATAATTTACAGAGTATAGATTAAATTAATTAATCTTATTTAATTAAAGAAGACTAGTAAGGCTTTACTAACAGATAATACCTACTACTAGAAGAATAATATTAAGATCTTTTATATATACTAGTTGACTATCTTTTTTTAAAATTTTAAAGAATAAAAATTTTTAATAATTATTATTAAATTTACCTCCTTTATTTTAGTAAATAAGATAATTAAATATAGTATTATATAAGACTCTCAGATCTTGATTGTGGTTAAATATAATTAAATATTATATATTTATTAATATTATAATTATTAATAATATAATTATATAAGAAGTATCTATTTTAATTAAATAGTTTATATATATTATACGGAGTATTACTAGACTCGTAAATATCTATAAAAAAAGATAAATAAAATTAAAAAACTGAAGTATATTAATTACGGAGGTATATATTATACATAAAACTAGATATATTTAATTTATAAGAAAAAAATATAATAGATTATAGCCAGACTTACTAAGAGGCTATTTAAATATTATTATTTTATTCTTTTTTATTTTTAAATTATCTTACTCTTAGTAAGAATAATTTTTATAAATAAACTATTATAAGATAGCATTTTTGGAGATAGTAATCCTAGAAATATTATTATATTTTCTATCTAATAAATTAATAATAATATAATAAATATAATAAATATAGAAATAATAGATCTAACACCTATTAAAATATACATGGTGGTAAAGATAATAAGTAAAAATAAGTAGACTAACTATAAAAATAGAAATAAGAAAATAATAATATTAATAATCTCTATAAAACTATAGACTAGACTAATCCTTGAGTTTTAGGTGAGCTAGTTATTTAACTATAAGATTAGATAATAATCTACTAAGAGAAAAATAATAACTAAAACTATATATATATAATTAGTAAGTAAAATAATTAAAATTACTAGTATATAATTAAAAAAAATCCAACAGATCCTATACTCTAAATCTAAATATAATTTTAAATATAAGATACTAGTAATCTTATAGAAACTATAACTAGCTTGGTTAAAGCCTATATGAAAAATAATAAAAATATTATTAAAAATTAATAATAATAACTTTAATTCTAATTTTTATATTTTAATATAGATCTTAAAAATTTTTTTTTAATTTTTAGAATAAAATCTAATATTTTTTAATTTAATATTAAATAAGCCACCGAGTAACTCTATATCTAATATTATAATATAATCTAAAAAATATAGAATTAATAATATAAAAAATAATTTATTATCCCACTACGTCCACCCACATTATAAAACTAGAAAAACTCTAGAAATATTTAAATAATAAATAAAGAACTATTATAAATTATCTAGTATAATATAAATAAATTAAGAAATATAATAATAAAATACTTTTTATAGAATTTTTAAATTTTTAAAATAAATATTATCACAATTCAAGAACTATGGAAGAACTTTATTTTAAATACTATATATAATTTTACTTATAATTACTAGTTATTATATCTAATAGCCATAGTAAAGAATTAAATATAAATATATATATTTATCTCTAAAAAAATTAACTCAAGTAAATAATAATATATAAAATACTTATATAATATATAGAAGCTTTATTTCTATAATAAATATAAATAGACCCTACACTTATTAAACATATATAATAGTAATGGTAAAATAATTATAAATACTTTAATAAATTTAATCCTATCAGATAATAAGTAATTAAAAGATAAAGACTAGTTTATACTAGATAATTTTAATCTTTATTATTTTATATAAAGCGGCAAGAACGTAGAATCTAATCTTAAAATAGATCTATTATTAATTCTTATAGATAATATTAATTTAGATCTCTAATTTAAACTAGGTATTATTACCTAAGAGTATATAAACTATTAAATTATAATTAATTTAGTTTTTAATATTTCCAAGCTAACAAACTACTTAATTATATATAAGACTATATTTATTATATACATTAATTCTAACTATTTCCTAATAACTATAATTGTTAACCTAGATATACTATTAGCAAAGCTGATACTAAGAAAAAATTAAAAAACTATAGATATAAAAAAAATATAAGAATTTATTAAAATAAATATAGAAAAAGAATTATAATAGAAGCTAGTAATAAAATATCTAATCTTTATATAAATTAATATTATTATAGACTATCTAGTAGAAATAGTAAAGCGTATTATTATAAAATTAATTCTATAGACTAATTCTAGTAAGTAAACTAATCTTAGATTTACTCTAAAATACTACAAAGTAATAAAAATAATATAAAGAGTAAGACACGCATATACAAATAAATAAATAAAAAAAAAGTAAAAAAAATATATAATAATAAGAAATAAAAAAATAAAAATTATTAAATATATTTTATAAAATACTTATTAAAATATTATATATAGGGCTATAGAGAAAAAATCCCGCAGAATATAATAAATATTATAATAAATTAAAAATAAAAGTAAAAATAATAGAATTATTCCAATTTTATAAAATTTTTCTAGTATTATAGAAACTATAAAATAAAAAATAAAAATTTTTTAATAAGTCTTCTTTCCAGAGTCTCTAGAGATTAATCTATCTAATATCAATATAACTAGAGAATTAAAGACCTTGGAATTTCCCTTAATAATAAAATAAAAAATATAGAATATTATTAAATATACTTCTATAGATAAAATATCTAGTATTAATATTATTTCTAATTATATATAGCACGTGCTAACCAATAAAAAAATATTTATTAATATATTTATCACGATCTTTAATATTTATATATAGATAGAATATAATCTTAAATATTTCTAGAAATTAATTATAGTAATTTTTTATAAGGAGGGCTCCTATAATTTTTATTTATTTAAATTATATAGACTAGTTACACTGCTTAATATTCTTAGAAAATTATTAAAATTAATTATTATTATACGTATTATATAAATAATAAAAAAATATAGTTTATTTCTTTATAGATATCTTGGAGACTATAAAGATATTTTAATTAATTATATAATTTAAATAATTTTTAATAAAATCTATAATATTTAAAAGAGAAATTACATTATTAATTTATTACTATTAGATGTATCAGAGATATATAATTATATATTATATATATATTTTTTATATAATCTTAGATAAGTAAAATTAGGCTACTTTATACTATAGATAGTAGTATTTTTATATAATTATATTACTTAGCTCTAGATATAGAAATATCTTAATAAATTATTATTAATATTAAATAATATTTTATAAGGTTTATTTATCTCACTAATCTTATTCCTATTATTTAATATTTTTTTTTTAAACCTGTTCTAAATTCCACCTAAAAAAAAAAATCTAAATATTTAACTAGATAAATAATATAATTATTCTAATTATTTTTAAAAGTTATATTACTAACAAGCAGCTACTTGAGAAAGTCTTTATTAAAACTAATATATAATTATAATATTATATATTAAAGTTCACGCTTAACAAGTTCAAACTTATCTATTTTAGGAATCCTTATATCTTTAATTCTAATCTAAATAAACTAAATAAACTATTAAAGATTATTAATATCTAGGATTACTACAAGTAGAAGAGTTATAACTATTTATTTATTATAATTTTTATTTTTCTAGGATTAGCAAGTCCATTAATTATTATTTAATTCTTAGAATTAGTTTAATATTTTAATATCTAGCTTAATAAAATCCTCATATTTAACATCTACTAGACTAAAGCTATTACTAAAATTAATAAAAGCCTTGAAATTCTCTAAGATATTACAGACTCTATATAAAATATCTTAATTATTTTTATATATAAGATCTACCGCGTAATAATTATTTTATAATTATTATATAATATTACTATATGGTATAGTCCTGCTAGCTAATAAATCTCTATTAAATAGTAAACTCATATAGAGATAGAATTTACTAAGATTTAGAGACATGTGGCTATCTTAATTAATAGAGTTTTTAAAAATATAGTTATAATTATACTTAATATTAAACTTTATTTACTATTTATAAAGTAGCTTATATAGTAGATAATTAAAAAAACTATCTTATATATTTAAATAAGGCTAGAGATTACCTAACCTCAAGGCTTAAAATACTAATATTATAAAAAGATATTCATGCTTGGAGACATGAGCTTATTTAAAATTCTTAAATAAATAAAAAATATAGTTCTTATCCTTATCTAGTAAGAAAAAAAATAAAAGATTTATAAAATATTTATATTAATATCTTAGAAATTATATATCTAATATAACATCTAATCCTATAAGATTATACTTACTAGATATGACTAGCTTTACTATACTAATACTATTATCCTATATATAAACAGTAGTAGCTACCATGGAGATGTAGAAATCTCTATAATTAATATTTATACTAGATAAGCATAATAAGCATATTTTAATACTAAGATAGATTCAACCATATATATAGCTAAACTAAAGAAAATTAAAATAGCTTTTTTTTTATAAGAGGTATCCTACCGAGATACAGCTAGACCTATTTATTTATTAATAATTAAATTATAATTTAGGTAGTAGGAGCTTCCAGCCACCTATTTAAATAATTATATATAAAAATTATTTATAACAAGTTCAGAATTCTATAAAATATAGATTTTATAATCTATTAAATCCCTACCCATATAGAGATTAAAAAAAATAAGATTATAGACTCTGAGATAAAGTAAGCAGTAAAAAATAAGATTAAACTAGAATAATAGATAATCTAATTTATATCTATTACTAAAAAAATTATTCGCAGAAGATTTTAGAAGAGATAGATTAAATAATAGAAGATAAAATACATGGTAATACTAACACGGAGATTAGTAAAAACTTTTTTTAAAAAAAAATACTAATACTCTACAAGAGTATTCCCAAGGTATATATATCTATAATCATATAAATATATATATACAGGATTGGTCTAATATATTTTCTATATAAAATTAAAATATAGGAAAGTAACTAATATAACTATAAAAAAAAGTTCTAGATCTTTAAGTATATACTTTTAGTGTGCTCTTACTTCATAAAACTATATAATTAGATACTTAATAAAATTACTATATAAAAATCCACTCCGAGAGATAAGATTATTAATTATAATTCTATTATATCAGACCCACAGGCAATCTACTATGTTACTAAATTTATACTATAAATAAGCTTACTCAGATAGTTCAATTAAATCAAACTTAATCTTAATCTTGATCTTGATCTAGACTAGGAACACATAAGTCTCAAGACTATAGAGATAGATACTAAAAATACTAAATAAAAAGACCCATACACGCCCTAGATTAAATTATCTAGAGAAGGTCATACGCACTAGAAGGAACACGTAAATTAGAAATAAAAATATAAATAAAAAATAGAGAAAATAATAACTTATAAATAACTAGCCAGTTAGCTGCAATACTTATTTATATTAATTTTTATATAACTTCACTTTACTTTAGTTATATATAGTTATATTAGGCTATAGCGATAATCTTCCTACATCATAGCATGCATTGTTTTATATATTTACTATGAATTTAAGAGATTTAACAGTATTCAGGGTTATATTTCTACTTCAAACAGTGAAGCACCTGCATAGCTAGCATCTTACTTAGCAGGCTCAATCAGGTATAAGAATATGAATTGAATTGAATTGAATTGAAGTTTAGGAGATCATGGGTTCTTTGTCCGGGTGGATCCTAGTATTGAAGGGATGGAATCGAACATGGAAAGAAACATGGTAGAAGTCACTCGTCGCTTCATGTCGGGTGGCATCTAGCTACAGCTTACTCCTCCCCGGCTCGTCCACCATCTTCACCTTCTGCAGCGCATTTGGATCCCCAAATCCCCGCTGCAACCGATTCGACCCCTTCTCGCCTGCCCCCAGCTTCCGCCACTGCAATAACTCCAGCAGGCCTGACTGCACCCCCTCCACCCGGTCCACCACCAACCCCCCCAGCACCGGCAGAAACTTGAACGCATGGCCACTCCCCCCCGTGGCCACCATCACCCCCCGCTTCCCCGGCACCCGGTCAATCACCCAGTGGTTATCATAGGAATCCGTGTACCAGCACAAACGGGTCTGCGAGATGCCGATCCCGGCAGCCTTGAGCTCGGGGAGATACCGATCGAGGAAGTTTTGTATCACGGTGGCCGATTTCTCTGGCAACCCCGTGATAAATGGGGAGGTCCATTTGGTGATCGGTGTGCTGCGCACGTGCCCGTCGGATTGGACTTGCGGATGAGTATATTTCGTGCCGCGATACCCGATCTTTAAAACCCCCCGGTCATCCAGAGGAAAGCCGTAGAGATTGCCATTTTCGCCCGATCGCACGTTCCAGTGAAACACCGGAAAGTTGGTCGCGGAGAATCGTTGCCGAAGGGGCGAGGATTCGGGAATCTGGATCATCGCCACCGAGCCAGCGGTGGTCTCTGCGAGTCCATCCATCTCTGGGAGAAGAGACGGGGTCCAGCCCCCGCAGGCCATGATGGTGAGGGAGGCTGGGTGTTGTTGGCCGTCCGCGGTCCGGATCCCGGTGACCGTACCCGTGCTGTCTTCAACCAAGCCCTCGAAACTGCCGGCTTGTCGGTCGAGCACGAGGTGGACTCCCAGCTGCTGCGCCAGGTGCAGCGCGTATCGGCATGCCTTGTCGGCGTACACGAATCCTCCGATCAGGTCGAGATACCCGGAGGGTTGACCCTCACCGAGGTGGAAGGGATCGACGGCATACCCGTAGCCATCCTTCTTGGCTCGCTCCACCTCTTCCGGGTTGGATGCAAAGAGGTACTGGGTGTGGCCGAGACCAGCCTTGGTGATGTTCTCCACCGACGCCTTTTCGAAAGGATTGAGTCCGGCCGCGTCGCCGTGGTCCCCGAAATGATAGTTTCCGCAGTTGACATAGATGCGCTCGCTGCGAGTCATGCCCGGGGGAAGCATCGTTCCCGTGGCGAGCGAGTTGTTCCAGGATTCCCACACCTGGATGGCTTCGAGGGTCAGGTTCTGGTACCATGTTTCGTGGCCATAGGCGGCACGGATGATCTTGTTGCAGTCTGACTGGCGTTAGTACTTAGTACTGTCTGGTAGCTTGAGGGGCTGTAGTACCGGCCGAGGCGGCATCGCAGCCGCGGTCAAAGTCATAGTGTGTCTCGTGGTAGGGCTGGCGGTCAAATACGGTGACGTTCGTGTATCCCCGCTTGACCAGATGGATGGCACTGGAGAGGCCAAACACGCCCGCCCCGATGATGACGATCGGGGCACTTTTATCAATCGAGGATGAAGACATGTCTGGTGATATGCCACAGCGCAGCGATGCTTATCGGGGGCGATGCTCGTCTTATAGCCATACAATGATTCCCCGCGACACAGGTTATGCCAAGCCTGTGACAGGAGATGGGCAGACCCCCACTTCTGCGGCGATCGGTGATAACGCGAGCTGCAGTGCGGGATGGCTGGACCTTCCCTGGCATAAAATGATGCCAAGCAGGATGATAATGGCGTGGACCGTGAGGGGTTGCGGTGGTGGTGGTGCAGACGACGCTGAGCTTATCGGCCAGGTCGGTGCGGGCTGAACCGCCGGCCTTCCCGTTTGGGTGAATTTCTCCCAGCCCTGATATGCTGCCAGGAATTCCCCCTCAGGTCTGATACGAAGCACTTCGACCGGATAGATTCGCTGTTCCTCAGCCGTCTTGTACCTTATCTATGCACCACGAGCCGTGTCGATAACTCAAGATGGCCATATCATCAGAGCAGTATGCATATATTCAAGCGGTCTCACCAGTGCCTGCCTTAGTGTCTTTACCAGAGATCGTCCCAAGAACCTGATCGCTATTCTTGATGCAACTCGATTGAAAGACAGTCTGATTGACCATGGAGCATACGCAAAAAGACGACTTCAAGGCAGCCGCCATCGCCGAAGAAGCTGGCGTCGTAGTCGGAGACTCCTTCCCCATCGATGCAGCGGCCGAGCGATCGGTCGTGCGCAAGCTGGATTTCCGGTACGTGAGCGCTTCCACTTGCGAGCAAAGCTCATGCCTCCAGACTGCTGCCGGCCCTCTCGCTCATGTACTTCTTCAACTCCCTGGACCGCTCCAACCTGGGCAATGCCAAAACCGACGGCCTCGAGGATGATCTTCACCTGATCGGCAGCCAGTACAATGTAATCCTGGCCGTGTTCAACGTCACCTTCTGTCTGTTTGACCTCCCGTCCAACCTGCTACTGAAACGCTTCAGCGGCAAGGTGATGCTGCCGTCGATGATGCTGGGATGGTAAGTCCCCAGACCCCATGGGTATGCCTGCTCACGATGGTCAGGGGCGCCATCACATTGCTGCAATGCGCGGTGTATAATTTTGCGGGCTTGCTGGTCTGCCGCTTGATCATGGGTATCTTTGAAGCGGGATTCTTTGGTATGTTCGCCCATCATTGTCGTCTGCTGCTGACCGATCCAGCCGGCGTCATCTTCTACCTCACGCAGTTCTACAAACGCAACGAGATTGCTTTCCGACTGAGCATCTTCTACGGCATGGTCACCATCGCGGGTAAGTAGGTTCCCCAGCAAGGGAAACGACCTGACATTACCAGGTGCCTTTTCCGGCCTGATCTCCTTTGGCGTCTTTCAGATCAAGCACCACCTTCCTGGCTGGAAATACCTCTTCCTCATCGAAGGAAGCGCTACCATCGTCATCGCCTCATTTTCGCTGTGGTGGCTGCCTGAGAGCGGCGCCAAATGCCACTGGTTCAACGAGGCGGAATCTCGCGCGGCCCAGATGCGCCTGCTCCAGGACGGATCGGTGCGAACAGGCGAGAAGCTCTCCATCACCGAGGCCCTGGCAGCGCTGCGCGACTGGCGTGTGCTCGCCTGGGCGGTCAGCTGCTTCTGCTACGGCGTTGCCCAGAGTTCCGTCAGCAACTTCCTGCCCCAGATGGTGGCTCTACTGGGGTATTCCACCGTCAAGACCAACCTCTACACGGTGGCGCCGTACTGTGTCGGCACCGTCGTCCTGTGGATCCTGTGCAAGTCGTCCGACCACTTCCGCGAGCGCTCGTTTCATCTGGCGGGCTCCTTGATGATCACCTTCGTGGGATACATCATCCTGATTGCGGTGGACGCGTCCGAGCACCAGGGCGTGGCGTATTTCGCGTGTTTCCTCCTGGCATCCGGAGCCTTCGTGCCCAGTTCGGTGTTCCATAGCTGGCATACCAACAATGTCACCGACGAGTCGCAGCGCGCCGCCACCGTAGGATTCCTGGTGGGCGCGGCCAACTGCGCCGGCATCCCGGCCAGCCTGGCATTCCAGGCGAACACAGCGCCGCGATACAAACCCGCGCTGATTGTCAATTGTGCCTTCCTGCTGTTCGGGGTGCTGGTGATCCTGGCCATGGGGGCGTACTTCCGCTATGACAACCGACGTCGCGATCGGGAGCAGGGGGTGAAGCTCACTGCGGCGGATGTGTCGACCAAGTCGCTGGTGGGCGGCTGGAAGGATCCCAACTGGCGGTGGACAGCCTGAAATGTTGAGATAGGATCAGTTGATGACTAGGTGTTGCCTCCGGCGTTATGATGAAGTCAATGATACGACGCCTTCTTATTAAGCATACAACATCGTATCTCAATTTCATCCAGTAGAGATACCATACTCAGCTCATCCAATTCGACTGAATAATAGTAGGAGGGTGAAGGGACAAGCTATACATGAAGATATCGGGCAGAAAGACGATCCCGATGCTGGTGGGTTAAAAGCATTCCCAGCTTCTTCACTGGTCACCATAAGGGATACGGGCATCGAATCTACCGGCCTATTGGCAAACCATGTAACAAGCCTCTGCCACGGCTGGACGGAAATCGGGCGCAGCTGACCGGGCGTACGACCCGAAAAGTGGGCAGGTTGACTACGGCGACAGGGGTCGAGCCAATCGACTGGCGTGGCCCGTTTTCCGAAGGAAGACCGTTGGGAACGTTGGATGCGCCCGGTGGTTCGCCGTAGGATCTTATCGGAGCGTTTGAACAAGTCAAAGCACATCAGACAGCCGAGGAAGCTGACAGGTCCAGGAATGCAGGCCTTAAGCACCCGGAGCGTCATCATCTCTCGCTTCGTTGCTATCCATCCGAGCATGGCTTCTCCTAGCGAACATATGCCCCTGCTGGGGCCCTCCAAGGTTCCAAGTCAGCCGTCTCGATGGCGACTCCTCGCCTTGATCTGCTTCGTGGTTCTCGTCCAGGATTTCGCCGAGTATATCGCCCGGGCGCCCCAGACCGAAATCTGGCTCGAGATCGTCGCCCGCGATTTGTGCCCCGAACTGTAGGATGGACCGGGATGTATGGACCGCGTGCAGGGCGAGGTGGCCCTCGTGGAGGGTTGGAAGGATACACTGGAGCAGGTTCCGGGTGTGTCTCGCAGCATCCGAATCATCCGGACGCGACTAATCCTAGCCAGGGATCTTGTTTGCAGTGCCCTATGGTGTGCTGGCGGACCGAATTGGACGCCGACCCATCCTGCTCCTATGCGCGCTGGGATTCACGCTGAGTGATATATGGGTGAAAATTGTCTGTGCGTGCATAATTCCATTGACCCTGTTCCTCGCCACGTCCTGATGATCACGTCTCATCAGGCTGGTTCTCTGACAAGCTTCCGCTGCGACTGATCTGGCTTGCCCCAGTTGCTGAAGTCGTCGGTGGCGGCACTCAAGTGGCCACCTCTATTATGTTTGTCATGCTGGCCGATATCTTCGACGACGAAGAGCAGTATGGCCCAACTCCACGGATGGGTGACTGCCTGCTTACGGATGCTAGGACCACCGCCTTTCTCTATGTCTCAGCCACGGCTCTGCTCAGCGAAATCCTGGCCACGCCGCTAGGAACACTGCTCATGACGAAGAACGTCTGGCTGCCGTATCTACTCTCCACCATGGGAACTGCCGGCGGCGGGCTCCTCCTTCTCTTCCTCCCGGAGACATTGCCGCAGAGGCTGCCTTCCTCCCCCGGCCAACCGCCGTCTGAACGAGAAGCGGACAAACGGGACATCCAGGGTCGCGTACGAGCCGGGATGGATGAATTACGCAGGTCGACTGCAGTAATCCGGCGCCATCGCAGCGTGCAATTATTCTTGTTTGTGTTCTTCGCCGCCTATCTTGGGAGGCAGGTCATGAAGGTGTTGCTGCTCTTTGCTGCCAATCGGTTCCACTGGACAATTGCTCAGGTGAGCTCCTGCACTGAATCCCCGGTAGTTGATGGGCTGCGTAGGGTCTCGCCTTATCCTCGACTAATGAGAGTGCAGGCCAGCCTCCTCATTTCCGTCCGAGGATTTACCAATCTCCTTCTGCTGGTCGTCATCGTCCCCATCCTATCGCGATGGCTCCTGCGGCGATGGGGTATGACCCCGCTGTCTAAAGACACGGGGCTGGCCCTGGCGAGCAGCGCCTGCTTGGGCGTGGGATGTCTGCTGATCGCAGTTTCAATTCATCCGGCAGGTGCAGTGACAGGGCTGGTGGTGTTTGCGTTGGGGTCGGCGATGCACCTGCTCGCGCGGCGCATCATCACGTCGCTCGTCGACGCACACTACCTGGGGACGCTGTACACGGCGATTGCGGTGATGCAGGGGATCGGGGTGGTGGTGGCGGGACCGACGATGGCCTTGGCATATGGCTGGGGACTGGCGCAGGGGGGTGTGTGGACGGGGGCGCCGTTTCTGCTGGTGGGCGGACTGTATGGGGCGGCCGGACTGGCGATCCTGCTGGGGAGTTGGAACGGTGGGAGGGGCGATCTGGAGAGTGGCTAGGTGCTATCGGGGATGGCCGTTATCATTGGTTCAATGGCAGTTATATCAGGAAGCTTGGTATGTACCTTGTTTCCACTCATCTGGGAGGTTCCCCCGATTCCTGATCAACCGTGAAGTGACAAGTAGCGCGCTAGTGCGGATAAAAATAGATTGAGTCCTGGTGGCGGCACATAAAGTCAGTCCGTCGAACGCCGTCAGCCAGGGGAGATATCCTTTCTGAGCCAACATTTCTTGACGCGAGAGGTTCTTACATCTTGGAATGTAATAACTAAGAACTGATGAAGTCGACGGCGACCATAGGTTTTTTCTGGGAAGAGCATGACATGGAGAGCAGACAGCAGAGAAGAGGAGCGAGAAGCAAGAAGCGAGAAGCAAGAAGCGAGAAGCAAGAAGCGAGAAGCGAGAGTCGAATGTGGGTGCCTGGCACTAGCCCCGTGAGCACCCGGCGTGGCTGCCTGGGTGCCTGATGCCCGCGATTTGTCTGGTTTGCCTCCTCGCTTCTCTGCTCTTCGCCATCTCTTCGTCCTCATCGTCTCCCTTCCATCAGCAGTCCAGCGTCATCCTCCTTCAGCACATCCCGTCATTGTCTACGTTTTGCATCAGCATCTGCATGGCATCTCGCTCAGGTCGTCTGGTGGATCGGATCAATCCTCTCCCCGCCAATCACCGCGGCTGATCAATCGGAGCCCACCCACGCCGGTCAGATCCTTGGAATCTGGATTCGCCAGCAACGCGGCCCCCGGCTAGCGGCCCCTATCCATCCATCTAGCCCCTCCAGTGGTCCAGCCAGCAGCCACGAATCGGCGCTCCGGTTCCTGTTTCAACCTTCAATGCTTTTCTCCTGACCCACCCGGTCTCCGGGCTGAGTCGACTCCCGACGCCGCCGCCTCGCCTTCTCCTGACCGTTGATTCTTATCCCACCCATTCCCTCATTCTTCATCTTCCTCCATCACATAGACACTCGCTTCCCCCACGGTCATCCCACTTGCTCACCATGCAGTTCAAATCCCTGTTCCTCGCTCTCGCGCTCAGTGCCTCTGCCCAGGCCTGGGTCATCCATGGCTACACCGAGAAGGATTGCAAGGGCAGCGCCGACACGGGTGCTTCGGACGGCGACCTCGAGAAGTGCCTCAGTCTCGCGTCCACCAAATACAAGTCCCTCAAGGCCCAGCCCGGCGACTACGTCCTGACGGCCTTTGCCCAGTCCTCCTGTGATGGCACGGGCTATGCCCTGCAGCCCGGGAAATGCGTCAACGGTGACTTTGCGTCTTATGAGGTAGGCCCGCCCAGCCCGCATCCCCTGTCGTGCTTCCGAGCGGACTACTAACCGGACCGGTCGTGCAGCGCCAGTTCATCGCCATCACGAAGCGGGACAACGCCACCCTGCTGGAGGAACACGCCGACTACTTTGCCGAATTTCCCGAGGAGATCGACGAGTTCCGGTGAGCGGGAAACGGGCCAGATCCAATGTACCAAGATTTTGTGAGATTCTGCATAGCTCAACGCCGCGCTTTTTTGTTTGGGATACCATTTTGCGAGATAACTAGCCACTGTGATCGGAGGACAATACAAGCTACTTTGTTTATGGCATGGGATGCGGGCTATTTTCCCTGGCTGGTCGGATTGACAACTGGGTTGCAGACTGATCCACTCTTCGACGGAGCCCATAAGTTCTATTCCCACAACCGAAATGGAACCATATTGTACAAATCTTCAGATTGACCGAGATACCACCCAGCCTTAACGCCACTACTCAACCTCCAGTTAATGACACGCCCTCCCATACTTCCTCAACCGCGCATAATTATACGGCAAGGCGGCCAGGAACCCTGCACCAACGGACACCACCGCCGCGCCCCAGAACTGCGGATCGTCCAGCGCCACGCACCCCCCGGTCAGATGGTAATCGACGGCACTCTCGGCGATTTCCATGGCCAACATGGAGATCAGACTCATGCCCGTGGCGGTGCGAAAGGCAGCGCGCCAGGGGAGTTGGTCTCGACCCAGCCGGAGGAGCGTCGTCTCCAGTAGGATGGAGGAGGCGATTCCGGCGGCCACTGTGATGGTGAGTGGATGATTGCCGAAGGGATGGGATGAAGATGTAAACTGGATAGTAGATGGGGTGTATACGTACTCGATGTCCCCATGATGGCTCCCATCCCCAATGCCGGGTAGTAGGCTTGTAGAAACCAGAGCATGGAGAAATCCCCCACGGTGCAGCCCACTAGGCAACGGAGGGTGTTGAGGGAGGCGCGTTTCCAGGCGCTGGGGGTGGTCCAGAAGGTCGGCTGCAGAAGGGAGGGGGCGGTGTTAGAGTCAGAGGGACAGGCCGGGCGGGGCGTGCTGGTGGTAAAGGCATCGGAGAGAGCTGGGAGGCCGGCGGTGATGCGGGGGCGGAAGAACGGGGACAGTCCATGGCACAGGCGACCGCATGGCTGGCGGAGTCGAGATGTATAGGCCATGCCTTACCAGGAAGAAAACCCACAAGAAAGAAAGGGAAAGAAGAAAAAGGGGGAGAAGAGCAATGTAGAGGGAGGGGTAAGCAACAGTATAGACAATTGGATAAACCAGGTATAGAACTGAGATCAATTTAGCGGCTGCATCCACGGGAACTATAAAAGGTGGGAAAATGGCAGAATGATGGGGAGAAGAGCGGACCGAAGAGCGGGCGGGAAAGGGCGATTCTTATGGATCATTGGCCCGGGCTCGGGGCCTCCCGGACGACGCAAAAACCGCGCATCTCCAAGTCTCACTTCTGCTTCTCTCTCTTCTCTTTCTTCTCCCCCGATCGCCACCTCCGGATGATGGCGGAATACCCTCGATCCATGACACAGGCATCTTCCGGGCATCAAATGGATCCTCCTGCAGAATGGCTCCTCTAGCCACCCCAGTTCCGTCAGTTCGGGCGGGGATTGAATCCATTGTTGTCAAACGAGATGAATGATAATTGAATTCTCTTACTCACTAACTACTAATATACTAACAAATTCAAGTACCGACTAAATACCGAGCTCCTCTTTCCACTTCCTCCTTCCCAACTCAGGAATCCATCTCATCTCGCCTCCGCATCAAGATCACCATGTGTGAGGGGAACCTAGCACAGAAGTGCCGACCACTTCTCCTGCGGTCCCGTGTACTCGGCCATCGGATCCGCCAGCCACCACAACCGGTCCGGCGAGGTCAGAATCATGTACGCGCTGATCGTGTTCAAGCAGCTACAGCCCGTGTACTTTTTTCTGGTACGCGGCTCCAATGGCCGGAACACGCTCTTGCCAGCTCACCGCATCGTATCCCCAACAGTTGGGGCATCCCTGGAAATGCCGCACGCAATTCTGGAGCACCTCGTCGTAGCGCTTCTGGTTCTCGCAGCGTGCCCGCAAGTCATAGTTCTTCGGCTCGAGGCTCCGTCCCACCGGCTTCGCTCCATTCAGCAACGGGTTCAGACCATTCAATACCGCATCCCCGTACGGGTCCACCTCGGTCCTCTCCTGGTCGGATCGAGGGGGTAGGAGTTTATCCAACAAGAGACCTGTCTGATAGCGAGCCATGTAAAGCTGCCAGGCCAGCTCACGCCCCGCCAGATGGATCGCCCACAGGGCCCCATTATCCACGGCCCAGGCCCAGACGTCAACGCAGAACCGCCGAACCATCGCCACGCTCAGAACCCCTGTATGTGCGCTGACGATCGTCAACAGGTTATAGTACTCATTGGCGCTATTGTCGTGGCGCAGGTCGCAGAGATCGTGCATCACGGTCGATGCAAATGCAACGGCGTTGACCTCCTCATCGTTGCCAATCAGAGGGTTGGGCTGCTCCAGCTGCGCATGTAGGGCCAAGGGGCGTCCGGCGGAGCTGATAAGTCGGTACTGAATGCTCTGGTGCTCATTGTCCGGGAAGCGCATATACTCCGCCTTCGGGTGCAGCACGTCAAGGTACACGGCCTGCACGCACATCAGCCAGGCGTCTAGGATCTTCCGCTCTGGGCCAATGCCATGGTCCTGGTGCACGTGCTCGATATACTCGATCACGCGTTGGGTGCAGACATCCAGGATCTCGGGCAGGTCCCCCAGGAAATGAAGGTAATCCGGGAAGCAAGCCAGCACGCCGACGGTACAAGTCCCCTGCACACACTGGCGACAAAGCACGTTGGCATCCGACAGGCACCAGGTGAAGCCGTACACCTGTTCCGCGACGGCGTGCCAGAAGGGGGTGTTCGCGAGGGGAAAGACCTCTCTCATAGCCCGAAGGAGGAATTTGCCACGGGGCACCAGTCCCAGACGGCTGGGGGCTGCCATGGCCAGCAGTGAGGGGTCAGGGAAGTTCTTGACCTGATTCACCCAGGCCTGACATTCTTGGAAGATAACGGAACGCATGTGGGTGTCTTAAGTCCCGACGGGGCTGCGGGTATGAAACAGATGAGGAGCCATGCCAGGGCGCCAGGCTTTGCGTAACTCTGGGACGGCCTTCATGTCATTGGACAGCTGACTGGCAACGCCCTCGACAAGAGAGTAGAGGTCAGGTCCGAAGAGGGCAATCTCCATTTTGACGGGGGAGGTGGACATTGAAGAGAGAAACGGCTTCTAAGAGACCGTGAGGAATCGAAATGATGGTTCGACTCTATCCCAAGAAAGATGACTAGTATTGAAGGGAAGACGGCTGGCTGCTGTCCTGCCCCATGAAGAGGCCCACTCAAGCTGATTTCAATATGGAAAATAATCTAGTGGCTACAAACTCCCCATCCCGTCAACCTCATCACCGTGCACCTTCCTTTTCTCAACAAAGTTCTTCTCCCCAAAAGCCTGCCTCACCCCCTCACTCCCAATCGTCCGCAAATACCAGCTCACGATCCCCGGATATCGCCTCCGCATGTCCCGGTCCACCACAAACGCAAACGGCCAATACAGCGCTGAGGCGAGGGAAATATCTGCCAAACTGAGCTCATCGTCTGATACCATCCATCTCTGCCCCTGTCCCTTCCCTTGGAGGTACCCCTCCAGACAATTCAATCCCCGCTCTAACCGTTCGAGCGATACCTTCTCGAACGCCTCGTTGTACTCCCGCCGTCCCATGCGCCATAACACGCAAAACAACACCGCCTCGATGATCTCGTTGTTGGCGAAGCAGATCCACTGGTGGATGAGGGATCGTTGACTCGGTGTGCGTCCCAGCAGCTGGGCGCTAGCGGGGCCGTTCTCGGCGATGTATCGCGTGATGGCGTCGGATTCGAAGAGTAAAAGACCATCGGCGCCGCGGAAGGTAGGGACTTTGCCCATGGGAAAGTCGGCGAGAAATTCGGGAGACTTGTTGTCTTTGCGCATGGTGAAGTTGGGGGTTAGGGTGAGCTCGAGCTGGTTGAGATTGGCGGTGGCTTGGATCTGGTAGGTAATAGCAGTGCTTGTAAAGCGTGACAGGGGGAATGCATACCTTCATGAGGCGTGGATTGGGCACGCGCGTGAAGGTGTAGATGAGTCCGAAAGGGGGCATGATGGGTATGCTTCGGGTTGAGACGCGTAAAGTGTTTTAGATGCCGACCGTAAGCAGACGCTGCTAGGGAACGATCACCGACGAGCCGAGTACATAGTGTGGTAGGTATTAAACTTCGACTCTCTCAACGCGATTGAAGGTAAATATCCCCGTAGGGAAAGACATGATGAAAGGCAGGTTCAAGGAGTGTAACTCCCTTGACCAGGAATCAATCCGAATTCGTCGCCCCAGTGCAGCACAGCACATGGCTGTATACCTTGACTTTCTCGATCTTCTGGGGCAACCATGCTCCGACAGGAGAGTTGCGCCGCAGGAAACCGGCTTCCAGATACCGGTCGTCCCGGAGGTTCAAACTCAGACGGCGGTCGGGGAGACCCGGAAACCTGTCTGTGCTGCATGAAAGAGCAGGCAAGGACGAAGGTTTCACCAGCCGGTGCCTTCCCATGGATAGATGCTGAGCTTAAACTGGCCACATGCTGGGTAAGGTTCCAAGGAACCTGATTTCTGTTCTGCAGTGATTGAATGACTCTCGATATCATGCTTCTCAACATGAATCCCTTGAAGACTACTTGAACGGCGTGCTATAGTGGTCATATCCACTGATCCGAGTCTCTCGGCGACATGAAAAAAAAAGGGATCAACAGTTAGCGATTCGGCGCAACATACTGGGTGAACATTGAATTGGATTGAGACAATACTTTGAAGAACAGTGCTATGTATATGTACATCATGCCAAATCCACGGCAGATTGCATATTCTGAATACCATCCATAATAGCCTCCGTGGTTCCCGCGTCCCAAGGAACCGAATGTCCTCCCTTGTGCAGCACGGTTTCCCGGTTCATCGCCCGGCAGAGCTTTTCCGTGTCCATGCACTGCTCATAGTACCAAGGATCATTGGTCCCATAGACATGCACAGTGGGCAGGTCGATCCGGTTCGTGTCCTCTTGGCTCACGGTGTACCTTCTCAGAAGAAGCTCATCTCCCAGACTGGGGTAGCGAGAGGTGTTCAATTGTGTCACTTCTGGGATAGACCGGGTCAGGTCAGCACTGGGTATTTCCTGCCCAGTGGTGGCGTCGGTGAAACGGTCCTGATCGATATATTTCCAAGGAGCCGACATGGGATCAAATGGCACGCTGGAGGAGAAGAACATGGCGCACGTGAGCGGTTTTTTGGCCGTCTCGGGCTGGAGGAGATAAGACGCCACTGCACCACCGCCCTGCGAAAAGCCAACCAGCCCGTCAAAAGGCCCGTCCGACTCCCAAGTCTCGTCAATCAAGGCAAAGACGTCCATGAGTCGATCCTTGGTGGGGAGGTCGAAGAGGGAATAATACGGACCAGGGTACGTGCCGTCCACGCCTGTGGATCCTTGGTTAGAGGATCAATGCAAGGCGACTTGTCACTCACCTAGCCCAGGCTCGGACGGAATCTCCCCTTGAAGGAAGATAAACTCGTATCTTGGCCCCAGAGCCTTTTGCAAGACTGACAGCTGAGTCTCGAAGATCCGGGCACTAGATCCACTCCCATGGAGACAGAGGAAGCGCATGTTGTATGATCTCGGAAAAAGGTCGATCTGATGTAGGCAAAGGGTTGCAAGGTTTTCAAATCCACTGCTCAGTATTCCAGCCTCTGGTGATCAGTCGAATGTCGCTTCCAGCCGTGAAGATATCTCACGTTACAGCGGGGGTCAGAGTCTGATTCGGGCCAGTGCGTCCAGTCTGGCCGGCGGGGACACGCTATCTGCAGGACGTGTCCTGCTTATAGATCCAAAGACTGGTCGTTATAAAGCTTGAAGCCGGACCCAACCAAGAAAAATCGGCTTGTGTAGGTCACCATCGCGTCACCTGTGCTCGGACACTGAGGCCGAACTGGGCAGTACAATGCTAGTGCTGGTACATGAAGGAGCAGACAAGGCAGTGGCGTAGCTCAGCGGTGCATGGCGCGTATATTATCGACGGTTGCATTGAATGATAGCTCGGTGCGCACGGAGTCAACTGGAACCGTCAAGTCTGCCGACAGCCACGACGAAGCTACTATTAGCGAAGGGAATCATCTCAGCTGGACTGCTCGGGAATTCCGACAACAGTGAACCAATCTTTTCTTTGTCCATTTAATCAAACATAAGATCAACCGTATAGCCATGCCAGCCACTCACCCAGATCCAGTCATGCCAATCGCCGTCACCGGCATCGGTGGCCGCTTTCCCGGCAACGCATCCAACCCGGAAAAGCTCTGGGAAGTACTTCTGAATGGCGAGAGTACTCTCACAGAGACCCCAAAAGACCGATTCAACATCGATGCGTTCTACCATCCCCATGCGGAGCGCTCGGACACGCAGCATTGCCGCGGCGGCCACTTCATGAATCGCCCCATCGATGCTTTTGATGCCCCGTTCTTTTCCATCACGCCCAACGAGGCCAAAGCCATTGATCCTCAGCAACGCATGTGTCTCGAGGTAGCGTATGAAGCCATGGAGAACGGCAAGTCTACACGTCGATGAGCCGCCCTTGGTCGCTCGACTAACTTATAGAAAGCCGGCCTCACACTCGAGGCAATGTCTGGAACGAACACCTCCTGCTACTTTGGATCGTTCAACCATGACTATCAGAAGAGTTTGGAACGGGATCCCTATAATATGCCCTTCTATGCCGCCACAGGCACCGAGGCTGCCGCCATCGCAAACCGCATTTCGTGGTTCTATAACCTGGTTGGACCGAGCGTGACTGTTGATACAGCCTGTTCATCATCGTTAGTCGGGCTTCATCTCGCATGCCAGAGCCTGCGAACAGGGGAATCGGATATGGTCAGTAAACTCTACTTCGACGCGAGAACGCGGGCTGACTGATACAGGCGCTGGTAGGCGGGGCGAACATTATATCGAGCCCGGAGAACAACCTAACAATGTCCACCTTTCACTTTCTCTCTCCGGACAGCAAGACTCAGGCCTTTGATGAGAAGGCCAACGGCTATGGACGTGGGGAAGGAACGTGCTGCCTGGTGCTCAAGCCCCTGGATAAGGCCATCCGAGACAAAAGCACTATTCGTGCAGTGATCCGAAATACGGGATCGAATCAGGATGGCAATACCCCGGGGCTCACGCAGCCGTCGCGGACCTCGCAGAAGAATCTGATTCTTCGAACCTACGAGGATGCGGGGCTTGATCTGGCAGACACCGGGTACTTCGAGGCACATGTAAGTCCGAGCCTCATTCCATATGCATTCCGTCACCACAGCCCAGAGGCAGTACGCTGATTTTAAAACTGTAGGGAACTGGTACCATAGCAGGAGATTCGACAGAGACACGGGTGCTTGGAGAAACAATTGGCAAGGCCAGGCCCCGAGGAAAGCCTCTCTGGATGGGGTCAGTCAAAGATAACATTGGCCACCTCGAAGGTGCCAGTGGCCTGGTCGGCATTATAAAGGCAATATACATCCTCGAAAGCGGCAAGATTCCGCCTCAGGTCTGGTTCGAGAAGCCCAATCCCCGCATCCAACTGCAAGAATGGAACCTGGCCGTCCCGACGGAGCTGATGGACTGGCCGTACGACGGGACGCGGCGCATCAGTGTGAATTCCTTCGGGTTCGCTGGAGCAAATGCTCATGCTATCCTAGAAGACGCATTCTCTTATCTGAGCACTCATAGCTTGGAAGGGTGCCACCACACATCGTACGCCAACGGGCTCCAGATCACGTCGCTGAAGGGTGTCCCAGGCAGCCCAACGAAGGGGACCCTGGACTCCGGATACAATAGCAGTAGTAGCGTTGAAGAAGACACTGCAGGGTCAGGGGCGTCTCCTAAGCTCGTTGTGCTCTCGGCGCACGAGCAATCTGGCTCAAAGCGGATATTTGACGCGTGGAACGACTATTTGCATATTAAGGCTTCCCAGCTCCCCATTGCGGAATGGTCACCATTAGTGGAGGACCTTGCGTACACGGCTGCAACAGGCCGGACGCGATTTCCCTGGAAGTCGTTCATCGTACTCTCTTCGCCACGGCAGCTCACTCAAGGCAAAGCAACAATGGCAAGCCCGATCCGCTCCTCGCGGCGAATGAAGACTGCCTTTGTGTTCACCGGACAGGGCGCCCAGTATCATGGGATGGGCCACAGCTTGATGGCATACGAGGAATACGCCAAAAGCATCAAGTCTGGGGACACATACCTCAAACGCCTTGGTTGTCCCTGGTCGCTCAAGGAGGAGTTGCTGCGAAACGAGCAGTCATCGAAAGTGAATGATGCGGAGTATAGCCAGCCATTGTGTACCGCTGTGCAGGTGGCTCTGGTAGATCTCTTGAGGAGCGTTGGGATCTCTCCCGTAGCGGTTGCTGGCCATTCTGGTGGAGAAACGGCAGCAGCCTATGCCAAAGGAGCAATCACGGCCGAGGCCGCGTGGACAATTGCATATCATCGCGGGAAGCTCTCTGGTCTACTCTCCACGATGAGGCCTGAGGCAGACGGGGCGATGCTCGCGGTCAGCATCAGCGAGATAGACATAGGCCGCTACATGGACAGAGTGACGGAGGGAAATCTCGTGGTGGCCTGCGTCAATAGTCCAAGCAGTGTCACGCTTTCGGGGGATGCTGTTGCCATTGCCGAGGTTGGAAAGATCCTCAAGGAGGCTGGCATCGTGGCGAAAGAACTCAAGGTCAACGTGGCCTATCATTCACCACATATGGAGACCGTCGCAGGCCGGTATCGTGAACTTCTGGGATCCATCGAGCCTCTTCCCGGAGCCACTCATCAACCCGTCATGTTTTCGAGCGTGACAGGGAAGCCCATCGACAACTGTGAGTTGGGTTCTGAGTATTGGGTGAAAAACCTGCTTAGCCAGGTTAGATTCGTCGACGCAATCCAAGCACTGGTCTCCTATAGCCCTCGGAAGTCAGCTAAGAAGGGGCCGGATTATTGTTATGTGAATGCAATGGTGGAAGTTGGCCCTCATGGGGTCCTGCAGACTCCCATCAAGCAAACCTTGACTGCTACCGGGGCAGGCTGTGACGTGATGAGCGTTCTGAATCGGAAAGAAGATCCCAGGCGCGCGTTCCTTGAAACCGTCGGCCTTCTCTTTCAGCGAGGCAGCGAGGCCGATATAGTCAAGGCCAACCAGCATGCTACATCAGCTCGGAAACTGCAAATACTGGTTGACCTGCCCCCATTCCCATGGAACCACAGCAACCGGTACTGGCACGACTCGGCCATTTCCGCCAATTTTCTCTTCAAGGAACACCCACGGAAAGACCTCCTGGGGGTAAGAGACAACGAGGGCAACCCTTCCCAGCCACGCTGGCGCCACTTCCTTCGCCTCTCGGAGAACCCATGGATTGCGGAGCACGTAGTGGACGATAGAATCCTATATCCCGCCGCCGGTATGCTGGCTATGGCTCTGGAAGCCGCCCGGGAGACAGGAGATTCCGACCGAGCTATTGATGCGTATGAGCTGCGTGATGTGGTGATCCGCAACCCATTGATCGTACCACGCACGGGAGACGGGCCAGAGACGATGATCCACTTGCAACATCGCAGTCCTGGTACTCGGACGTTGCAAGCACCGTACTGGCAGGAATTTAACATATACACCCGTATGACGGCCAAATCCTGGATACACCACTGCTCAGGCCTAGTGCGAATTCAATACACGGCCAAAAGGGAGGACCCTATGTCAGGCGTGGCTGATGAAAGGGCTCGGTGGGACGAGAAGCATCGGACCGCATATCATCAGACAAGCCAGAGCTGTCAGTCTGTCGTCCCCCCGCAACACTTCTACAACCGGCTATCAGAGCACGGCCTACATCTGGGAGAACCATTCAAGAATTGCATCGAGATCCGGAGAAATCAGACGCAGGTGGTGTGTGCGGTCCAGATTCCAGATGTCTCCAGCTGGATGCCCGGACAATTCACTCACGATCACTTAATCCACCCCTGTACCCTGGATAGCTTCATTCAGATTTCCATGGCAATTATCGATGAAGGCATGCAGGGGAAAGAGTTAGCGCTTCCAGTGTCTATCGGGAAGCTCTGGATATCCAACGGCATGCCAACTAAGCCAGGAACCATTCTTCGCGCGTATTCGGACGTCAAGCCGCATGGTCTTCGAGGTGCACAGATGGACCTTCACGCTTCGACGGATGACTGGGAAAGGCCTCTAATGACAATGGAAGAACTTACGGTGACCAGAATGACCGGACATCCGGACTCGGCAGATGATCAAGGTGCCAGCGATAGTGCTAGAAGGATTGTAAGCCGAATGCACTGGCAAGAAGACATCTCATACCTCGACGGGGAGGGCCTGGCGGCACTATGTACCGCTTCAGCGAAGAATGAAAACACGACGCAAAACCCGCTTCTGATGTTCATGAGGCTTCTAGGACATAAACACCCAGACCTGAGCATTATGGAGCTTAATGCGGAGGATAGCGAGATCACGGAAGATGTCCTCAAAACATTGCAAGCGGTTGACGGGGAAAAGGCACCTTGGTTCAAGCAGTACACGGTTGCAACGACTGGAGAGGCAAACGTATCCATGTTTGATGCCAAATTCCAGGCATGGGGACGCTATTTCAAATCCGTTGATTTGTTGTCTGCACGAGATCCTGAGTCCAGAGACATGCTATCTGACGTATATGACTGCATCATCATGCACCATTCCAGTCAAACAGATGATGACGCCATCGCGAGGGCAAGACGTCTGCTAAAAGACCGTGGCAGTCTAGCGATATTAGGCGGGAGCCTTTCATCCAAATCAGAAAGTGAGTGGGCGAACGAATTACGCAAAAGCCACTTCAAATTTGAGTTCTTCATTGCAAACAACCCAGTGCAGCAGTTGTCGTCCATACCATTCATGGTGGCCACCGCCACGGCGGAGATAGAAAATCCAATGCCTGAAAATATCCTCATCATTGACCCTCCCGGGGAAAGCAACCGGGTGCACAATCTATCAGCATCTATTTCAGGCATTTTGCACAAGCAAGGCGTGCCCACCTCACATGCCAGCTTATACGAATCCAAGGATATCGACCTGAGCACCCAATGCTGTATCGTCCTAGCAGATCTGGCACGCCCTATATTATTTGACACTGCACCAAAGGTGTTCCTGATTCTTAAGCGCCTCCTCCTGGAGGCTTCAGGCGTTTTCTGGGTGACGTCAGGCACAGCCTTCAAGTGTGCTAGACCACAGGCAGCACTGATAACCGGTCTATCACGAACGATTCGGCAGGAGGAACCGGACGTGACTCTGACAACGATCGACCTCGATTGGCCGAATGGCAATAAGGAATCGGACGCCGGTGCTATTGTGAATGTGGTCAGTGGATGGAGCCGTGGGGATATCGACCGCGAGTTTGCGGTTCGAAAGGGTCGACTGCTGATTCCACGGATCCGCCTGGACCGGGCCCTTAATGGTCTAGCATCTGCAGTGGGCGGGGCACCTAGCAAAGAGCTAGGTTTGCTGAAGCAGCCTGATCGAGGCCTGACTGTCGCCATCTCGTCTCCTGGTATATTGAGCTCAATCTATTTCCGAGATGATCCCCTGTACAACCAATCGTTGGGACACGATGACGTGGAGATCGAGGTCAAGGCATCCGGGGTGAACTTCATGGACACCATGGTCGCCTTGGATCAAGTTCCCGAGCGAAAGGTCGGCTTGGAATGCAGTGGGATTGTCTGCCGGACTGGCAGCGCCGTGACCAAATTCAAGTCGGGGGACCGCGTGCTGACCTGGAGACTGGGAAGCTTCAGCACCTTTGTTCGCAGCCCAGAATGCATGGTCCATCCAATCCCTGCGGACATGACTTTTGAGACGGCCGCGTCAATCCCTCTGAACTATGTTACCGCATACCAGGCGCTTGTAGAGGCCGCAAGATTACAGCACGGAGAGAGCATATTGATTCATGGGGCCGCGGGAGGAGTGGGCCAAGCAGCCATCATGATGGCCAAGGTCCTCGGTGCGGAGATCTTCGCCACGGTTGGTTCCCAGGAGAAGAAGGATTATCTGCAACAAACCTATTCCATCCCCGAAGACCACATTTTCAACAGTCGCGACCTGACCTTCGCCTCGGGCATCGAGCGTTTGACCAGAGGCCAGGGCGTGGATGTGGTGCTGAACTCGTTGGCGGGAGAGGGCCTCCGACAGTCCTGGCTGCGAGTGGCACCCTTTGGGCGATTCGTTGAGTTGGGCAAACGTGATATTCGTAAGGTTTCTTCTCAAATTGTGACCGCCATGCATCACACTGACTCCATCTAGTGGAAAATACCGGCCTTGACATGGCCCCCTTTATCCGAGGTGTCTCCTTTCACTCGGTCAACGTGCTGGGCATGTACCAACAGAGTCTCTCACGCGCCGCCCAGGCTCTGAACAAGGCACTGCGATTCTATAACGACCATGACTGTCGACCAGCCTCTCCCATGCATGTTATGGGCTACTCAGAGATCCCACAGGCACTACAGCGTCTGGCAAGTGGACAAGTGGCGGGCAAAGTGGTGCTCAAGGCCACCGGTCATGATCTGGTCATGACTGTGCCTCCACCCGTGCCTCCCATTCGTTTTGTGGAGGCAGCCACGTATGTTATCGTGGGCGGAATGGGCGGCATCGGGCAGTACATTGCTTTCTGGATGGCGGATCATGGGGCCCGACATTTCTTGTTTCTATCCCGCCAAGGCGCTGACCACCCTCAGGCGTCCGACGTATTCGCAGCTCTGTCCGCAAAGGGTGCGCAGGCAACGGCTTACCGATGCGACATCAGTGACGAAGAACAGGTGAGGAAAGCGTTTCGACGGTGCTCTTCAGAATTACCTCCTGTGAAGGGAATCTTGCAGGCTGCAATGCTGCTTTCGGTAAGTAGTCTGGCGAAGGTTGATCCTACTCTCTGACGCCAGGATCCTAGGATGCCACTTTCCGACAGATGACGCCTCAGCAATGGTATTCAGGCATTAACACGAAGGCTATGGGTACGTGGAACCTTCATTGCGCTGCGCCGGAGGATCTTGATATCTTTGTGATGCTGTCATCCTTGTCGGGGGTGATCGGCTGGCGCGGCCAAGGAAATTATGCGGCAAGTGTGTTGATCCTACTCCTCTTTACTGAATCATATCTCACGGGTCATGTGCTCAGGTAACACGTTCCTGGACGCCCTCGCGTATCACCGTCGGACACAGGGCCAGCCCGGCGTGTCCATCGATGTTGGTGCTGTGTTAGATGTCGGGTACTTGGCCCACAAGCCTGAACTCAAGCGATCCACCCAGCTGCAGGGTCTGGTCGGGATCAGAGGTGAGGAGCTGCTCTGTATTCTCCAGGCGGCATTGCAGGGGAGAGCAGCCCCCAACGACGCCACCTGCGCCCAGTTGATTCTAGGCGTTGCCACTGGAGGCTGGGCTGCAGGCCAAGGCCTCAATCCTCCGTACTACCACACGGCCGCGAAGATGGGACATGTGCGAGCAATCGGGGTGGCCAATCAAGGGAATACCGGCACAACACACGAGCTCCAGGATAGTCTCGGGAAGGCTCACAGCCTAGAGTCGGCAACGACTCTCATTTCCGATGCCGTCCGTGGTCGGTTGGCGCAACAACTCGGAATGGACGTGGCGGATATCGACGCGTCCAAGCCGGTCAGCGGGTATGGGGTGGACAGCTTGACCGCGGTGGAGATCCGGGCCTGGAGCCTCCGCGACCTCCAGGCGGAGATCTCCATCTTAGATATTGCTAACACCCCTTCGGTGTGGCACCTGGCGACGATCCTGGTCCAGAATTCGGGCCTGACCCCGCGTCACCTTCTGGAAGAACCGTGATCGTCGGTGTTGGACGCGAGTCTCCCGCGATCGGCGGGAGCGCAGCTTGGCGCGGAGAAGACCGAAGGTACGAGCTGCTTTGAGATTCAGTTAGCCAAGCGTCGCGTCAAAAGTGCAGTGAGACTGGGATGGTAGGGGAGTTCATTCGGAGGCCATGACTGGCGCGAAAATGCTTGGGGTTGAGTGTCGGATAGAAGAAAAGTGGCCACTGGATATATACTATCATGTGTGCCATTGTCCCCACCCGTGTCTCTCCCTTGAATATGATAGCAGTAATTGGCGCAAAGACAAATACACCCTCACCGGATATTGGTCCGGGGGCATTTCGGGGTATCGATTCGGTGATAATAGCCCAGGTGTTTCTGACAGTAGCCAGGAGAGGGGAGAAGGGAAGGGAGAGAGGATGGGGCCGGCGGGTGGGAATGAAGCCAACCCACGTGCTCCAATCACCTGACAAGAGCGAGGCACACACAAGAAAGCCATGAGGAACGAGACGGCTGGCAGGATCACCATGCTGACGAGGTTAATCAGTAAACACGGGGAACTGTGCTGTTTCCAAGCCGTCCAGATACCAAGACCAATCTACAACAGGGACGATGAAATAAAGTCTAGTCTATCATTGGTTCTATCAGATTCTATCTTTGGATTTCAGAAAGGCCAATCCGATCCCATGCATCCGTCCACCGGCAGGCTGTCCGCTCTACTCATAGCCGTAGCAGAGGTATCCTCCCTGGGTGTTCATCACATGGGCAATGGTGGTGTTCGGCATGATGTTGAACGACGAGAGCTCGTAGTGAAGGGTGGCGTTCTGCCAGCCACCGGCCGGTTCGACGTTGGCCGTGTGGTTGAGGGTTGGGCCGCTAATGTCGTACAACCGGTTGATGGGGTCCTGCTTCTGCCACAGCCACCAGACCCGGTCAATGTACACGTGGTGCATGAAGAAGATCGGGTCGCCGGGGGAGGACTTGATATCAGCCATCTGCACCCTCGGTCAGCCAGTTCTCGCGCGCGGTTAGGAAGAGGTCAGATGCGGCACCTACCACGCCACCGATGTAGGTGTGCACGCCCTTGTGGGGGATGTTGGAGATGCAGTCCCACCAAGGAGAAAAGGTGTTGTAGGCATTGCACATGTCGAGTGAAGTACTGTTGGCATTGGCAATGACATTCTCGGTGTCCCATGCGCGGCGCAAGCAGTAGTCGGTGTCCTCATCCCCGGGGCCAATGTGCAAGGTGTAGTTCGAAAAGCGGCCGTCACGCACGCAGAGGTCCGATCCAGTGCCATTGCCTCCAAAGGCGTCGGCGCCCCACATGGACGACTGCCACATGTTCCCACTGTCCGCGTCCTTTTGTTCATCCCACCAGCTGCACCGGACGGATGAGCATGCAGGCTAGACTTCATGGCGTCAAGGGGAGTGAGGTAGGAGCACTTACGGGAGAGGGCCATTGTAACCACATTCATCCCGAAGGAGAGTCTCGTAGATGTGCATGTAGTAGCGGTGCCACGGGAGGAATTGTCCCTATCGCCGCCGTTAGTCCCACCGCAAGAAGATCAATCATCTCACGTACCACATGGTGGATGATATCAGCGTAGGCCGTGTTGGTCATCCCGCGGTGCAGGGCCTGGAGATCGCTGAAGCGGCTGGTCGTCGCCGTCAGTCCGGATTTGGCGGGCTTGTCCATCAAGCACTGGATCGAGTCGAGGAAGCTGTCCTGCTGTTTCTTGGTCAAATTGCGCCATTCCTTCCGAACGGTCATCTTCTCGCGGGTGCAACTCTTGCTGAAAAACCCGGAGATCTCGTGGGAGGTGGCGTCCCGCCGGTCAAGATTGGAGGAGGCATGGGGCAATGCGGCAGCCGATGCGCTGGCTGCCAGAGCCAACGCCGCAGCGAAAGAGGAAAATTTCATCCTGTGAAGGGGCGGGCAGAAAGAAAACGAAGAGATTAAGAGAGTGACTAAGGGAGCGAACGTGGGCAGTAGACTGCTCAAGAAAAGAAAGAGAATGAACGAGAGTGAAAGGATGGGAAGATTGGAATGATCAATCGAGTTCCCAGGCCCAACCGGCGGTCTTTATAGTCCCCCTCATGGAGCCGTCAAGTCGGGCACGATAACAGAGAAGCTCCCGCAACCATGCTCTCAGGTCTGCGATCAGCGTTCGACGACATCGATTGGGAAAAGTCTCCCAGGCCATCCACGAGGTTGACATGGCCGGTGATTCGAGAACGGGTGAGTCTACGTCGAACGGTCCACATCAGCCATGCTCTCGGACGGCGGCCAGAGAAGCCAAGGTTTCAGCTAGTGCACTCAGTTCGACATGCTCGAGCTCTCGTTTGACTGGCTCCGCCCATCATCGCCGGCAGTGAGAGGAGGGAACAGTGGTGTCCCGGCTGGGTGTATTACGACTCGTCGACTTCGGTCCCTGGCCGAGGACGGGGTCACGATAGACGCCCTGCGAAGGCGACGTAACTACCGTCTGGCCCGGATACGCTTCAGCTCTCGAGACGACGGCCGAAGACTGGAGTGGCGTCTTTTTACGGGATCTGTTCAGTTGGGTGTCATCGGTGGATGGCGTCCAGCGTTTGGCGCGACCCCTAAGCGACAGAAGCCAACCGCGACGTGTGGAGCCTTGACACCTGAGTACCGTGTAGGGGTAGGCTTCTTCAGCAGCGCTGAGGGGATTTAATTTGGCTGCTCCATGCAAGATGGCAGCGGCACATGTGGGAATAGCTTCAGAAACCGAGCGGGCGATGCGTAAGGCGCCCCGTAGGGCGGGCTTGGCGCGCTCTAGGCGAGGGCCACGACGCGCGTCGGGACCGACAAGTCAAGCTTCGCTAAAAGTGGCGTCGGTGGAAGACCTTAATAACTTTATCTCCCGTCTTGACAAGGATTAAGGAGGCCATCCTGTCTCGATAGCAGAGAGTTACCGACTTGCCACCTGGGGGGGGGTTCATGCAGTCCATGGTGTCAGGTAGAGATAAATTGCCCCACTCGAACCCAAGACCCGACCAACTCGGACGGCTCCGATTGAGTAATGGGATCCCGCTCAAACTTCAAAGCATCGGACCGCTACTTCCTTGCATCGGAGTGCCAATCGATTAGGTTTTCTGATCGACAATCCGACCGGGCCAACGTGGCCAGCCAGCCACACCTTACTTCTGCCATGGGGATCAAGGTTCCCGAGTTATCGTCATGGATTTGTTCATCTCTGCGGACTCGATCGAGTAGGGTGTCATTTCGCATGCTTGCAGGTGAGATGTTGACGGATTGCACAGCGGTGCGGGGACCAGCCGATGGATGGATGGCGTGCATGCCACTATCGACGCGCTAGCCAGGGTCTCGAGGCTCAGCTGCTGCCAGGGTCTTCCCATCGCCCCCTTCTGTTGTGACCGCGTTTTATTCCCCAGAAATCGTGCAAAAATCCCACCAAGCTTGCATCATCCGTACCACTCACCCATGACCGTTTTCTACCGCCTGGCCGTGTTGGTTGGCGTCGCAGTCATCCTGCTGGTCCGCAGGGCGCTGCTGCAGTCCCGCCGGGATCAGAAGCTGCCTCCAGGTGGGTGCCCCCGTCTCAGTCCCCGGTCTCCCCATACCAAGTGACGGGATTCAGGTCCTCCTCGCCTGCCGTGGCTCGGAAACCTGCATCAGATTCCCAAGCGACGGGCTTATCTGCGGTACCTGCCCCAGCCAAGTCGACATGCCCCCAGACTGACTCCGCCCCGCCAGGTTCACCGAGTGGTCGAAGCAATATGGCCGCCTCTTCAGTCTCAAGATTGGGCCTGCCACCGCCGTGGTCATCACCGATCGCCGTCTGGTCAAGGACCTGCTCGATAAGAAGAGCGCCGTCTACAGCGCCCGACCGCCCTCGTTCGTGGCGCAGGTCCTCATCACCGGGGGCGACCAGATGCTAATGATGAACTACGGGGATACGTGGCGCCGACTGCGCAAGGCGGTGCATCGCGACTTCATCGAGTCTGCCTGCGAGACCCGCCATATCCGACTGCTCGAGGCCGAGCATACGCAGATGCTGCGGGATTTCCTCGTCCGCCCCGACCAGCATATGCGGCATCCTGCCCGCACCACCAACAGCATCATCATGAGCGTCCTGTACGGCATCCGCACCCCGTCCTGGGACACCCCGCACGTGGAGTTCCTCAACGATCTCATGGACCGCTGGTCGAAGGTTATGGAGATGGGCGCGACGCCGCCCGTGGACATCTTCCCCTCGCTGCACTGGATCCCCCAGCAGTACTTGGGCCACTGGCGGGACCGCGCCCTCGATGTTGGCCACCGCATGAAGTCGCTGTATCGGTCTCTGCGCACCAAGGTGGCCGACCGGCGCCAGCAATCCGTAGGTTGCGTGCCCTGCTTCATGGGCGGGGTTCTGGAAGACCAGGCCAAGCTGGGATTGTCCGATAACCAGGTCGACTTCCTTGGGGGCGTCCTGCTGGAGGGCGGCTCGGACACCGGATCTGCCACGCTGCAGGTGCTCATCCAGGCGATGGTGCTTCATCCGGAGGTCCAGCGGCACGCCCAGGCCGAGCTCGATGCCGTCTGTGGGGACCAGCGGTCGCCCGTCTGGGACGACTTTCCCCGGCTGCCTTACATTAGCCAGGTGGTCAAGGAAACCATGCGCTGGCGCCCAATCTCCCCGCTGGGAATCCCGCATGCCTTGACGGAGGACGACTGGGTCGACGGGCGTTATTTTCTGCCGCGGGGGACCACCGTCTTTCTCAACATCTGGGGCCTGCACCATGACGATGCCGTCTACCCGGATCCCGATCGCTTCAACCCCAACCGATATGACGGGCGGACGGGGCTCGCGGCCCAGTACGCGGCATCAGCGGACTATGCTGCCCGTGATCACTACGGCTACGGGGCGGGACGCCGCATTTGCCCCGGCATCCATCTGTCCGAGCGCAGCCTATTCCTCGGCGCAGCCAAGTTGCTCTGGGCCTTTCGCTTCGAGCCACAACACGATGCACACGGGGAGCCCATTCCCATCGACACGGACCCGATGACGGGCTACTCTGAGGGACTCCTGGTGGCTCCCCGGCCATTTGCGTGTCAGGTAACCCCCCGGTCCAAGACGCATGAAGAGGTGATCTTGCGCGAATTCGTCGACGCCCAGCGGGGCGTGTTTTCCCAGTTTGAATCGCCTAAAGCGTGACCATTGCTGCCAGAACTCCACAGTTTTATCTGGGGATGAGCGACCTGAAACAATGCAAGTGTCGCTCCACGGTCTTGGGTCTTTTCCTTCAATCAGGATCAAGGGCGTTTGCTCATCGCTTGTGTGATTGTGTCCACCCAGCCCTCTGTGTTGGGAATCGGCCCGCCTGGGGATGGAACCGTGATTTTGTATGGCATTACTTAAATACAAGATAGCTGAAAACAGTGAGCGCCATCATCCATTCGCTGGTCTTTCGTGGTATAATGGATTTTTGTCATTCGATAACGAGAATCACGTCCACATGACCTGTGAGAGGACAATGTAGGCCTGAGGGTCCGTACTTCCACAGCTTGGCATACGATAAATCACTATGAGATTAGTAAAAATGACTGTCATAGTGATGGTGGGACCACCAGTGTTTCTGGTCGCGGAAACGTATCCCGGAGCGTTTCAAGGGAAAAAAAGCGTGGTGATATGTCTATGTGCTCACCACCGACGGTAAAGCCTCCCATGAAGTCACACCCCCGATAACCCGGTTAAATGTCGCACCCGAGCGCCACCTACGACAATTCTTTCAACCCTACCATGATGAGACAAGCATGGCTGCAGCTAAGGCCGCCAAATGGGAGCTTTGGCGCTCTCGGCTTGACGATCCTGATATGTGCTGCGTGGTATGCGGGTCTTTGATTCCGATTACGATGAGACCGGAGCCATTATGGCCGGAGAGAAGCCGTCTGGGTTGGCCTTTGGAACCCAGAACTGACCCGTGTGCCGAATTAGAGAGTATGGAGTATCAAGTGTATCCATCAGCGGCTGTGTCCCTTTACCATGCAAGTCAGTCCCGCATCTCATGGATCCGGGGTCACTACACACACGGATGCTAATAGTGTCATGTCTCCGAATATTAGTTCTCGATCAGCCCAGTGAAGGGCCTCCCCAGGTTTCGGGAATTGCTCTCTGTCGGGTTTAAAAGCCAGGGGATCCACGTTCGGTCCCCAAGGACCCCCTGAGAGCCATTACTTTAACAGTACCTGAGACAGTCGAGGACGCGTGTGTCCCTTTCCATGTGGCTGACATCTTGAGACCGGACATCAACCGAGCAGAAGGGCGGTTGGTTGGATATACAGTTCACATGCCATGCTGGGTACTCCTAACCCGGATGATCGGGAAGAGTCTACTGGAAGCGAACCTATCTGTCCTGCTCCGCACCGTTGAGAGTCACTGGAGGGCGAATCGCAGCCACTGGCTGACGCTCGGTACTATATATGGGTATGAGGAGCACACCAGTGGCGTATTGCCGTGGGTACAAAGACCCCCAATGACTCCTTTTGAGGCGGATGAGGAAGACCACGGCTGGAGATGCCTTGAGACCGTAACCAATCCGGTGGTGGTTCCTGAGATTCACGCGGTGATCGAGAAGGCGAGGCGCAACCAGCCGAGGAACTGCTGTCGACGGCGTGGGCAGCATATTGCGGCTCAAGTTCCCATCGAGGTCGTCATAATGATCGTAGACGCTATCTATAAGAATCCGGGATATGGTGCGGGTGGCATCACCGACACCCGCCATTTGCTTGCCGCCTTTGCATGGCATCTACCCGATTGGTACTGGCAGGCGCGTTGTCATCCATGGCTAGTCCTTGAGATCCATGACCTGATGCGAGGAGACCAGGTTGTTGACCCCAGGAGCTGTGTTTTGGGGTGGAGGAGCTCTTTTGCAATCATCACTGGTACTATCACAGTGGCTTGAGGAATCGGGCTCGGATCGTGCGGTGGATTCAGCGGATTCGGGACGGATTCATATCACGGCTTAAGGTCACCGATGAGAGGAAAGATTCGGGAAGGAGAGATCTGTAAGAGCGACTAGATTAACTCAGGATCGATAGAATGAATGAAGTGATGAAAGTTGAAAGGTGAAGCTGAAAGTGAGCCGAAGTACGACGGATGAGGAAATCCACGGTCACGTGGTTTAGGCGAGTGCCTGCGCGCCTTGGCGCCTTGGAGCCTTGGAGCCTTTGGAGCCTGGCGTTGTGTTCCAGGTGTATTGCAGGTCACCAGACCTCCACGACGTTCCCCTCCACACCATCATCACTGCCACCGTCAGCTCTCTTCACGCTGGGTCTTTTGCTTTCTATCATCATCCTCCACCCGCTGCGCGGACTCTCCCGTGGGACCACCGAGGTTAATCGAGATGGATGAAGCTCACAGCCACGCCACCACACGCTGCTAGCATCATTGGTCATTATATGTTGAGACATGCCATATTTCTACCTTCTACGCCCGAGGCTAAGAAGGGATATATTCCTTTTGGCCTACGTGGTTCTTGACATTATATCATACCTTGTACGCATAGTCGAGATGCGACCCCTGGTGCCCGCTCTACTGCTTGTTTTATTGCGCCCGGCTCTAACGCTCACGAGCGACAGTCTCACAGTGCAGACTGCCAATGAGGCCATCACCGGCCATCTGTCAGCTAGCCACGGAGAGGTGATAGAGTTTCTAGGAATCCCCTTTGCTCAACCACCCATCAATGACCTGCGATGGGAGCCCCCGCAGACATACCAAGGCGATGGTCCCTATATTGCTGACACGTTCGTGAGTGGTCGCCATCAATATACCCCTCATGCCACGGTACATGATTAACCAGCGGATTTACAGGGATAGTGAGTCGAGCCCGTGAATATATCTTCTCTACCAATCGTCGTCTGAGGCTGATCTTAAAGTGACTGTCCCTATACCCACACCTCTCTGTATACATACCCGAATGAGGCGGGGCAATTCCCCAGCATCATGAAGGCCTTCATGGCATCCGAGGGCAACAACTCGCAGAGCGAGGATTGCTTGACCCTGAACATTTGGACTCGGCTCTCCACTTCTCGGGCTCCTAAGCCAGTCTATGTTCACTTCTATGGAGGCCGTATGTGTTAATGCGGCACAAAACTCCGAACGGCAGCAACTAACTCCTTCTTCGGTCTAGGTTACACCTCGGGCACCACGAATACCCCGTTCTACTTGGGGGCTGGTCTAGCAAGCAGCCAAGATATCATCGTCGTGACGGTGAACTACCGCACGAACGTCTTCGGTTTTCCAGGCATCCCAACCCTGGCAACTAGCAACCTCGGTCTACTGGATCAGCGTGCCGCCGTTGAATGGCTTCATGACAACATCGAGGCCTTTGGCGGCGATGCAAACCGGATTGTGATCTCAGGCCAGTCTTGTGGAGCCGCAATGGTGGACTACTGGGCCTATGCCTGGCCGAATGATCCCATCGTGGCCGGATTGATCTCGCACTCGGGCACAGCATTGAGCTTTGGGGGTAATTCAGCAGATTTGTCCGCGCGAAACTGGGACAATATCACTGTCCAGTTAGGGTGCCATACCACTGCGCATGTGCTGGCCTGTATGAAGCGCCAGTCAGTATCGGTGGTGTTGATCGCAGCGGGTAAGCTACCCACCTCCTCGACCGGCACGGTGGGCCGCACTCTGCCCGCCTTTGAGGCTACGATTGACAACGTGACGATCTTCGATGATTACGAGGCTCTGACTTCGAAAGGACGGTTCGCGCGCGTCGTATGTTCTTCCTTTGCAACGTCGGCCCTTGGTTCCGGGCTTTTTTTTTTTTTTTCTTTTTTCTTTCTCCTTTGCCTTACCCTGACTAACTTTGAAAAGCCCTATCTTCTCGGCCACAACGACAACGAGGCCGGGTTTTACAAGATCGCGGTTCATATGCAAGGTAAAAGCCTCACTGTCGAGCAATGGCAAGCATTCAACGAGAACACGTTCACCTGCCCGACGGACTACCAGGCTGCTCAGCGGGTACGTTTCGGCGTGTCCGCCTGGCGCTTCCGCTTCTTTGCTGACTGGAACAACACACGGCTGTATCCCACAAGTGGCGCGTATCATGGCGTCGACATGAATATGATCTACGGCAACTCCGAGTTGTTCACAGGTCTCCCCGCATCTGCCGGGCAGGTCGAACTGGCGTCTCGAATGCAAATGGCGTGGGCAGCGTTTGTCACCGATCCTACTGCGGGGTTGAGCAAGGTGGGATGGCCCGTCTTTGATCTCAACAGTATGTACTTCATTCTCCCACCTGATCAATTCAGCTAACATGGCGGTACCATCTGCTAGATAACACATTGATCCGTCTGGGGTATGAGAACCAACCTGATGTGGAATTTGTCAGCCCCTCAATTTACAACCAGGCGTGTACCAAGTCGCCTCAGTAGATACGGGGTTTCGCCGCTGGCACTGAATGACATTGTTCGCAGTTAGTACGCCCCTGAGGCCGCACTCGGGTCACCCCCGAGGTACTCCGTACACAGTCAGGTCAAATCCGCGGGCTTCCGTATGGCGCTCCAAAAGCAGCTACAATCTGTTTCCTCATCATTGCACACGTACTTGGCTCCACTCCATTGCTTATCTTTGATCCGTCACTCTACATCACCGGGGGCTATTTCTTCACAACCTCCCGCGCCCCGATATACGTTGCACAGAATTGGGGTCTAAACGGAAAAGGGGGGGCTGGACCCGTTAGGCATCGCCGAGGTTGAACATCGGGTGCTACCGTCGCTCCCATTTTGGCATTATATCCGCGCCGTTAGGGCTAATACTTGACTCTGCCAGGTGATGATATACCGGAGGGAAATAATCAAAGCCGGAGAATGGTGTTGATAAGAGTTGAAGCGTCATGCCTGGGCGGGGCTGAAGAAAGCCCCCGGGGAGTGGGTGGATATCCCGTCGGACTCCGGGCCGTTAGTGCCTTGGCCGTGCATTACCCCTCTGCCGGTAAGTGTGGCTCGTCAGGGGCTTCATCGCGGCCTCCAAGTTACACTCAATTGCCTTGGAGGCCTGGATAATTGAAAGGGAGAGCACAACCCTCCAACATCCAATCCGCTCTTCGAACTCAACCTTGGTACTTGGAGGTTCGCCCCGTTTGCGCTCCAATGCGGTCTGCTCCATCCCATTTCTTGCCCTTGGTTGTCCTTGCTTGTCATTGCTGGGGAAGGCGGGGACGACGAGGTTAATTAAATTGAATTTGCCGGAACCTGCAGGCCCGGTAAAGAGGAGCGAATCAGCATACGCCGATCTGGCCGTCAACCCACCCCCATCCCTGGTCCTAATCGGACTCTATCTCTCGCCGTGTCACACACGGGACGATCATCGAGGAACCAATAGACCTGCACGTCTCGTTATCATCATGCCATGGCGGCACAGCGGCACACCCCGTGGTGCCAGTCTGATGAACCTGCCGCTTAGGGGAAAGCGCTCCCGCATACCGCGCTGGTCGATGGCTGTTCTGCAGACTCTCCGCGGGGCTCCAAAGGCCATCGACCTGGTCGCTGTTTCACTCCAGAGATCGTCCCGTTGAGGTTGCGTTCTACACTGGAGCGCAGGCATCGTTCGTGTCCCATGTGGAAGACGACGATCCACGGGTGGTTCTTGAAAAGCCGCCCATGATCCCTCCATCCAAAATGCTTGAACCGTTGAAGCTTTTGTCCAAGACTGCCCACTTCTTCCGACCCGGGCTAGGCGAGATTAGACCTCCATGCTGGACGGAGAACACAATTTCCGTGGCGCCTTGGCGCCGTCAGCCACCGCCGGCTTCTATCTCAATTGCGCCGTTGATAAGCCAATGCGTCAATTTCGTATTCGGATAGCGCTATCTGCTCGATATTGCTCCTACGCTGTTGGAGCTGGCACCACCAAACTATGGCTAACACGGCCGGTCGACTTCAAGAGCAGTCCGGCGGTATAAATTGAAGGCCAATTTCCTCTCAGACATGTCTTATTCAACAGCACACAGCAAGACTCCTCCCTCCTCACAGATCACATTTCTCCCACCGGTTCTCTCCAGCTCCTCTGCTCTATCAAGATGAAGACCAGTGCTCTCCTGACTGCTGGCCTTTTGGCTACCACTGCTATGGCTGCTCCTCTCACGGCCAAGCGCCAGGCTGCTCGCGCCAAGCGTGCCGCAGGCCGCCAGAGCAACCCTCCCTTCAAGCCCGGCACCAACGAGGTCCTTACTCTCAATGGCACCAAGAACGTGGAGTACAGCTCCAACTGGGCCGGTGCGGTCCTCATCGGCACCGGCTACACTGCCGTGACCGCCGAGTTCACCGTGCCCACCCCCTCCGTGCCCTCTGGAGGCTCGGACCGCGAGGAGTACTGCGCCTCGGCCTGGGTGGGCATTGACGGTGACACCTGTGGCACTGCCATCCTCCAAACCGGTGTCGACTTCTGTGTCCAGGGCTCCTCCGTGAGCTACGATGCCTGGTACGAGTGGTACCCCGACTATGCCTACGACTTCAGCGGCATCTCCATCTCCTCCGGCGATGTCATCAAGGTCACCGTCGATGCCAGCAGCAAGACCGCCGGTACCGCCACCATCGAGAACGTCAGCACTGGCACCTCTGTGACCCACACCTTCACCGGTGGTGTGGATGGTGACCTGTGCGAGTACAACGCCGAATGGATTGTCGAGGACTTCGAGGAGGACGACTCTCTGGTTCCCTTTGCCGACTTTGGCACTGTCACCTTCACCGACTGCACTGCGACCAAGGATGGATCCTCAGTTGGCCCGGCTGATGCCACCATCATTGACATTGAGCAGAGCTCGGTCCTGACCTCGGTTTCGGTCAGCGACAGCGAGGTCGTTGTCAAGTATGTTTAAGTGATTCGGCACGAGACCCTTCTGCACGGATGGTGGACCCTGCCTTGAGCAGTTGGGCGGGGCGCCTATGTGGGACGAGCTTCCTCCGCCGGACTACGGGGGGAATGAGTGATGGGTGATGATAGGTTTGGATATCGTATGCATTTCCGTGATATTGGACAGACGGCTTCCGCCTTTGACAAGGTCGAAATGTCCTGTTCTTACTGTTTGCTCTTTTCTTTACTTTGAATTGAATCATGTTGGATGATTGCCATCTTCGTAGCGTATATCTGACTAGACCCTTCCCATTGACGCGCAGTAGCACGAGAAGCGTTCGTCTTGGCTAGTGACCACTCTGCGCTCTCTTTTTGTGAGTGAGCGGAGTTCTGAATCTGCGTTAGAGCCTTCGGCCTAGAGAGCACATACATGAGGACCATTCTGGAGCCATCCAAATCCTCCACCAATGATCTGCCTCCTGCACCATCCCAGCCATCCTGGCGCCGTTCTCACGACCCGTTCTATCCCGCTAGGAAAGGGAGTTACTCCCCTTACTTGGGACTGAAAGTTGTAAAGAGGGGAGAATAAAAATACAATTGATCACTATGACTACTTCTAATCTTAGACCCCGAATCTAAACTCGCGAACCTTCTTCTGGTAGTAGAAAGATGCCAACAAGCCCGTGGCACCCAGAGCCAAGGGGATCGGAGCCCTAGCTTTGGTCTTGATGGTCCGGATGGCTCCGGACACGAGCAAGACGAGACTATTGCCCAAGGCCAGCTCCGTACCGTAGTCCTTGTTTTCCTTGATCAGATACCCTGGTCGGGGTGGTTAGCACGAGTTGGGGAGGGCAGGGGTCATGCATAGAGGCAGGGGTGGTGTTGGCTACTGCCGGGGAGGGATTGGAGGAGTACGTACCGGCATACGCGTAGGAGAGTCCCAGGCCAACTCCGGCAATGAGAGAGGGGGCTGAGCGCGTCCGCATGTATCCGGCGATTCCGCCCACCGGGACTGTTGGGTGACGCGTGTTAGTCAGTCGGCGGGGTGTTTGAGTTCCTGTTGGATTAGGCTGATGTGCTTACGGAGGGCAGCCAGAGTGAAAGAAGGATGTTCAGCCATGGTGGTGGATGCGTGCGATGTCGAGGGGTGACAGTAGTATTCAATTGCTGGTTGTTGTGGTTGTGTCTGGTTGGGAGGATCATCAGTCATCACTGGACCCGGGGTCCGGCTGCCGGAACCACAAATCCCCGGCATCTAGCTCCCGTCCGCCAATCACAGGCAGCTACCATAACAGCTGGGTACTGTGTAGGGGAGCGATATAGAGCCATGATCTGGAATTTGACATATCTATTGAAGTACAAGGTATGTTTTTTCCCTGCCTTGTTAGCATTTCCCTCCAGCTATGCGTGGTGCGATTCGATGGAGCAGTAGACCACGGAGCTGGGCCGGTAATATATATTTCTCGGTGGTTTTCAATTGGGACTGCGGGCAAATGAAGAACCACTGCCATCATGACATTGAGTTGAAGCTAAGACGGGTATCCGATCACTGGAGGAAGACGTTGCTACTAAGGCTATAGCGTCTCATTGCGCACCCTCGGTTAGTCCCCTTCTGTCTCGCAGTGGTCATTACTGTGTACGGAGTATCTATATGGAGTACTGTTCTGCTGTCTTGGGCTGGAACCCCACCATTAGCCAAACTCGGCTTAGCGTAACCGTAATTTCACCGGCGGGTGACTCAGCCATGACTCAGCGGCAGGTGACGCAAGGCTGGCCCGTGGCCGATCCACCGCCCTCCCCACCGCCCCCCGATCGGTTGCTTCCCGATCCATGGAACCCGTTCGTCTTGAATGACAGACAGGAGCATCTGGTGGATGAGTTTATTCCATTTGGAGCATGGCTCTCATCTGCTATCTCGTGGTATACATCGGCCAAGCTCTTTGCGTGGGGCCAGCCGGCTGAAACCTCTTCCGCTGCTTCAAGTCCCGCTACACGCCCTTGTCATACAAGCGCCCGCCGGCTGCCAGATCCAGCGCCACCGCCTCTTGCAGCCCCAGCACGTTGAACAGGTCGCGGGGGCTTTCTCCCACTCGCACGGCCTGGGTTCCTGTCTCCTTCAACCGTCGCGCTGCCTCCCGAACAGCTTGGTACACCGGCCCCAGTGCCAGACCAGGGAAGATGATCAGGCGGAAGCCGAGCTCCTGAGCCTCCTGCACCGACAGATCCGGTGAAACGCCCCCGGGAACTGCATTGAATAGAACAGGGGTGGGTTTGAGCTCCTCGCAGACCTGCCGGGCTTGGTCCGTGGACGTGACGCCCTCCAGAAACGCGACGTCGGCCCCGAGGGCAATCGCCCCCTTGAGTCGAGAAACCGCCGCTTCATACCCCAGCGACTGTAGCGCATCCGTCCGCGCAATTAGCACAATATCCCCCCGGGAGCGAGCTCGCGCATTGATGGCGGCGCGAATGCGGTCCAGATATTCCTCCTCCGGGATGAGCTGTTTATTGCTGAGATGCCCACAGCGTTTGCTGGTGGGCTGGTCCTCGAGGTGCAGGGCAGCCACTCCGGCGCGGATGTATTCAGTGACGGTGCGGTGAACCATGAGAGACCCTATGGGAGTTTATGTCAGCCAATGCGATCGCATCGTACAAAAAGGTTGGAGCTGATGTACCTCCGAAGCCCGTGTCCGCGTCGGCAATCAAAGGCACCGAGGGATCCAGGCTGGCGATCATCTCCGCATTACCCCGCATTTCGTTCAGGGTGACCACCCCCAGGTCTGGCTGTCCCAATCGCGAGGCCGTAGTCCCCGCTCCGGTCTGGAGGAAGACACCCAGGTTAACAGAGAGAACTGGCCGGTGTGCTGGAGGGGTGCAATTCCTACCATGTACAGCGCATCGAACCCCTCGTGGAGGGCGATTCTGGCCGTGAAACCATCGTAGACCCCGGGGCAGACAATGATCTTGCTCTCGTCGGCCAAGAGCTGGCGCAGTCGAGCCACGGCGGGAGAAGCAGTCATTGTGCGAGCGAGAATCAAAATCGCTGCCGTGTAGCCGAGTGTCAGGCAATTGAGGGAAATGCGACGAAGGATGCTGACGGTGCTGATATATGATTGATTAGCTGCGATCCTCCGGGCCGCAAGCGGGCCGATTCCGGGCACCAGGATGGCCAGGATGCTGACCACCGCGTATTAATATCGCATTCCACCCCGCCCATTGATGCGCATTCACAGCGCACATTCATATTCATCTTGGACCATGGGCGACACGGCTGAAACTACTTCCTCTCCTCTGCTGCAGGTTCTCCAGCAGACCCGGAATGTTACCCTTTCCGAGGCAGACAGTACGTCCGGAGCCCTGGGAAGACCGTACATGGCGATGGACTGACTCGGTGCAGCACACGGGCTTCATCCCCAGGGCAATGTTCTGACCCAACTGGGGGAAGTCATCGAGTTGCTCAAAGCACAAAACCTCCCCCGGGAAGCCAATGCCCTGTCCGACGTGCTCGTCATCAGCCGCCAGCCCACCGAGCTGGGAGGCTTGGGACTGACCGAAACCGACCGCCTGACTTCCGCGCAAGAGGCTGAAATTACCTTCCTTGTGGTCGCATGGCTCGAGTCGCTGAATTCGAGCGATCGCGCCCGGGCCCCGCCCATTCCCCTCGCGGTCCGACCCCCCGGGCGACGTGGCATGACCTTGAGTGAGAAGATCTTTGCGCTGCATGATATTGACCGACGGGGCTCCGTTGCCCCCGGAGACTTAATCCGAGTCGACGTTGATTGGGTCATTGCTTCCGAGGCATCCTGGGCGGTAGGTAGACTCCTGTTCCACCCGTGCTGGAATGTAGCTGAGGAATGCATAGGGCATGGAGCGCACATATGATACCCTCGGGAGGCCAGGCATCTACCGGAATGACCGTTTCTGGCTGGCGGGAGATCATATCGTAGACCCGCGAGTCAATGAACATCCGAAAGTCCAGGCCTTGATCGACGCCAGCGAGCGGGCCAAGCGGGTCTTTAAGATGACCGACTACCAGGGAATGAACGTACGTCTTCTGGCTCGCTTGGGCAGCTGTATACTCATGCCTTGTAGTATACCATCCTTCACACCGAGTTCTACCGCGAACGAGCACAGCCCGGCATGGTGGTGGTGGGCTCGGATTCCCACACTTGCTCCTCGGGGGCATTGGGCTGTTTGGCCATCGGGTTGGGCGCAGCCGATGTGACACTGCCACTGGTGACCGGCGAGACCTGGTTTAAAATCCCGGAATCAGTCAACATTCGTCTCGTTGGCGCCCCCAAGCCTGGGATTGGAGGCAAAGACACGATCCTGTACATCCTGCAACAGTTGAAGCGGAACACCGTAGCCGCCGAGCGGATCGTCGAATTCACCGGGCCCGGTGTCAAGCATCTCTCCTGTGATGCTCGATTCGCCATTAGCAACATGACTACGGAGTTTGGCGGCATCACGGGTGTTTTTGTGGCCGACCACATCACCAAAGAGTTTGTCGAGAAGCGACGCCTGCCCCGGAACAAAGCCGCCAGCATCTACTTTAAGCCCGATGACGACGCCGAATATGCCGAAACCCACGAGATTGACCTCGGACAGGTCCGGTCATTCCTGGCCAAATACCCCAACCCGGACGACGTGGTCCCCGTCACTGAGCAGGAGGGCATGCACCTGGATGGGTGCTTTATCGGTGCCTGCACCACGGCAGAAGAGGACCTCATCCTCGGGGCTCTCGTGCTGGAACAAGGGCTCCAACGCGGCCTCAAGCCGGTTCCTCAGGGAAAACGAAAGGTGGTGCCGGGCTCGGTGCCAATTTTGCGCCGGCTCCGTGAGCTGGGACTGACACAGATCTACGAGGATGCTGGCTTTGAGATTGGGATTCCGGGATGCAGCTACTGCGTTGGGATGTCAGCAGACAAAGCCGCCCCAGGAGAGGTCTGGATCTCGTCGCAGAACCGCAACTTTGAGAATCGGATGGGACAGGGTGAGTTTGTACTTTCAAAGATCTTGTCATTCTTCTCGGAGCTAATACCACTACCAGGATCCATCGGAAATCTGGCATCCGCTGCCACCGTCGCTGCATCGTCCTTTGAGATGAAGCTACGCGATCCACATGAATTCCTCGATGCCATCGACCTGGGCCGGTGGCATAGCCTTCGTGGCATTTCCGTGTCCGCCACCGAGCCCGCGGAGGAGAGCCTAACCTACGTCGAGCCCAGCGGGTCCGATGCCGTGGACACCAACACCAGCCAGCCAGACCCCAAGACATCCGAAGCAGGAGCTCCAGAGACGGAAGCCCCACAGGCAGAAACATCCGAGTCGCAGGACGGCTCCTCAGATATCCTGACCGGCAAGGTGCAACGACTAGGTGACTTTATCGACACCGACGCCGTAGGTCATCCTTCTACTTGTAATGCAATGAGTCACTAACGGGTAATAGTTGGCCCCCGCCGAAGCACTCATTAACATGAAAACGAACGAGATCGCCGGTGAACACTGTCTCCAGCACACCAACCCCGAGTTCCGACAGCGAGTGAAAGATGGCTTCAACATTGTGGTGGCAGGCAAGGCGTTTGGGTGTGGATCGTCGCGTGAACAAGCGGTCATGGCTCTTCTCGGTACGAGACCATCAAAACAGCATCTGACCGCCATACTAACACATCGTCTAGGCTGCGGTGTCCAATGCGTGATCGCCAAATCCTTCGCCTTCATCTTCCAGCGGAACATGCCCAGCCTGGGCCTCCTGGGGATCACCTTAACCGACGAGGAATTTTACGCCGCAGCCGCAGAGGGCAGCGAGATCTCCATCGATTTCAAGGCTAAGGTGATTGACGTGGACGGACGCAAATTCGGCTTCCAACTGAGCCAGATGGAGAAGGAGCTGTTCCAGTACGGCGGGATTGCGTCGGCGTTCCGGAAGTTTGGCAACCGGTTGTTCGAGCAGATGACCCGGCCGAAGAATCTGGGTCCGGCGAAGACGCTGGCGTCGCGTCGCGGGGAGAGTGCCGGGCCGCATGCGGGCTTGCAGTGGTAGGACTTTCGAGCAGCGAGTTTATTTGAGAAGCGTTCATCTTACGACCTTTCACGTATGAGAACAGTCTCGTCTGATTTGTTCCCCTCGTGCGTCCGAGTAGGAAAGATTCGATCTTCCCATATGTACATCCATCAAATATAACATTAGCATCCCCCCGGCGCAGTGAGCATCTCATCCCCCTCAAAGCTAAACGGCAACAAGGCCAGTAGTTCCGCATCAACCACATCCTCCAGCGTCAAGCCATCCACCCCACTTCCCTCGTGCGGGACGGCTATGCCCGGATCCTGGATGGCCGGGTGCGGTCCTCTGATCCCTAGTCTCACGTCAACAATCCCCTCTCGCATCATCCTGCTGGGGTCACACATACCACCCGACGGCGTCGTCGTGCCACTCATCTGGCCCCCAAACTGCTCCCGCCACGCCCAGATGGAATCATGCAGCAAGCTCGCTGCCAATCGGGTTTTCAGTCGTAGACCCGGTCCCTTATCTCTCTGTCCCCCACGGGCCTGGGCACTCCACAGCTGGGTGAGGATCTTGGAGGTCCTCCCCGGGAGATCATTGTCTTCGATGGAGATGCGGCGCGTGAGCATAATGGCCGAGTTGAAGGCGCGTTTCCCCGTTTCGAGATCGAGAAACGGCCCGAGGTTGGAGTAGCTCAGTTTGAGGATGAACATGGCGGCAATGGAAATGACGCGGAAGTAGGAGACCGGCCCAAAGGCCATGGTCTCGGTGAGGGCTTCGAGGTGGTTGATGATGGTGATGGATTCGATGGCGATGCTGTAGGCGCGGAGGAGGCCGCGTTTACGGGTGTCGGAGTCGGTGTCTTCGAGGAGGTAGAAGACGTAGAGTTGAAGACCGATGCCGTTCAGGAGAATCTTGTGCTCTTCTGTGGGGGTGGGTTAGTCCGTGGAAGGAGTGGGTAGGGCGTGGAGGCAGCAGGAGGGAGGAGGGCAACCGGAGATTTGGCCAGTGAGGCTGGACACTAGTTCTGCGTATTCTCGTTCGAGTAGGGCTAGCAAGGACATGACCTCGCCGGGACGCGGCAGGCCGGTCGGTCCCTGGGGATGGCCGGACATGAACTGGCCGATGCGGGCCGAGAAGCGCGAGATGAGCAGTTGCTGCTTGAGGGAGGTGGGGATCATGCCGGTGCCTTCACGGTCGCACAGACGGTCGATCATCCAGTCGGATGTGACCCCGAGCTGGCCGTCTATGGTCGTGATGCTGCCGTGGATTGTTTGGTGAGTGGGGCGATGGAGAGGGATGGGGCACGTACGTTTGGGCGGCGATATAGCAGGTGGCCCAGGTCCGAGCGACTTCGGCCATCTCCTCCCCATTCAAGCGTCGCTTCGTTCGGGAGAAATCTTGAATGGCTTCGGGCCGGTGCAGACCCATTCGGACGGCGATGGTCTGCGCGGTGGAGACGAGAATGGAAGTGATGTCGGAGGAGAGGGATGAGGTGGGAAAGGGCCACAGGGACACGAGCAGGATGGACTGCACGACATGCCAGGTGTGCGGGGGATTGGCGATGGTGTCCCAGAGGAGCTTCTTGACCGGGGCCGTCAGGGTGACATACAGTCCCGGTTCGTCGGTGTAGCGGCGCGAGGCCACGAGGATAATGGTCCAGAACAAGAGCGCCGACCGCGCATAGTACTGGTCCGGGGCGATGGCGGGATCCAACACGGGCACATAGGGATGGTAGCGGTGGAAGAAACTGCCGGGACATTAGCCCTTTCCTCGTCAGGCAGACAGATCTCCCGACATGGTGAAGAGTATGTTGATTTGATCCCCCCGGAGGTGTAGGAACTCTAAGGACCGGGAACCGGTCGACGAGACTCCGGGCAGCCACGGTGGGGGCGGAGGGCGCTGCGGCGGCGGCGGCAAGGGATGGACGGGCGTTTGTGCCACGGGCAGTGGGGGCAGGGCCGGGACCAGGAGGCCCCCTGGGGCCCCGGACGAGTCGTTCTCCACCAGGGAGGTGTCGGTGCTATACGACTCGCTGGGCGTCGGGATGCTTGGCAGTGGTTGCTGCGGCGTGGCGGGCAAGGTGGACACGGAGGAGCGGAGATGCTGGACTTCCTTCTCGAGTTCTTCCAGCCTCCTATTCCCTGATCAGCATGAACATCCTGTCATGCTGAGGTGGAGGAGGGCATCTACTCGCGCCGATTGACCCGTTGGAAGGCGGTATCCAGCTGGCAGTCGTAGCCTAAGCGTCGACATCGCGAGCAGGGGATGGCTCCACCGGTTGACACTTCACATCGGAGCTAGATGAGGCTGATCAGCAGAAGGAACCCGCGGAGAACTGCATGGGGGGCCAACCTTGGCCTGGCGACATTGTCGGCAGGCGATGCGCTTACTACGATGGCGCGGGGAGTAGGACGGGGACTGTCGCATATTGGCCGGCCTGGGGGGCTATCGGCGGGTCTAACTCGTAAGCCACTCGCTGTGAGGGATGAAGGATGCCGGCAGCGGCCAGACAGTCATGCCAGGATGCCACAGTGTGAGGCCGGAGGAGTGTCGGAGGAGAGTTGTCGGGGGAACTGGAAGGGTCCTCCAGGCTGCTGGCCTGGTGTTTGGGCGGCCTCAGGCTGGCCGCCGTGCCCGGGCCGAGTCCCCGGAACGGTCCCGATCAGGCTTAGTGAGGCCGCGGGCGGGCCGAGCAGGGAGTGATGTCATCGTCGGGCGGGGATTCTTTTCTCCGAGCTTCACTGCTGTCAGCTAATCAGCTAATCAGCCAGTCAGCCAGTCAGCCAGTCAGTTACGGACGAGGTGCAGCTGGAGCACCCAGCGCCTGTGTCCTTGCGAGATATTCTATTGGCGCTTTTACTCTGCACAGCTCGAGAAGGGAGGATCCCCCCGCTGCTCGCTGTCGGTCGGGTCGAGACCAGCAGAATCCTCACCGCCCTGGCTGCGATCTGCCTTAGGCACTATTGGGGTACTTGCCTCAGGCTGTCACAGACACCTGGCGGCCTTAGGGCTGCGATGCATCTGCGAGGGGTCGTCCGGAGCATTCCGGCTGGGACCACGGGCAGACCTCGCTGGACCGGGATTTCGAGAGCGGGGGTGCATGTTGGCCGGCCCATGCCATCGCCAGAATCACGATAGCCATCCCCGGGGCTATCCAATCGGCTTCATGGCTCATTGTTGGTTTCCCCCGGGGTGACGTGCCTCTCTGCGTCTAAGGAATGGCTGTCAACGCGGGGTTTCAGCATTCCCTCGTCGATTTCTCACGAGATGGCACTTGCACGGAGGCAGGAGTCCAAAGGGCCCCCAAACACTATTCAGCCAGGGCTGCCCAGGACAGGCCATTCCTGGGACGGCCGGGGCACCGGAAGGACCGCCAGGATCCGGCAGAGGAGTGTGGGTCCCGCATCGCCGATGTTGGTCAGATCGCAGCATTCCCAGGTGACACGACAGAGTGCTGTGTTTTGGAGGGGAGCCAACAAAGTAAGTAAACAACACCAGACGGTGGGATGGGAGCAGGGGGATGGCCAGGTTTATCGAGGAATTTGAACAACACGGTTGAGAAGGCGCAGAGCTACCGCCAGGCAGCATCCACCTGCATGACCTGGCTGGCCTGCAGCAAGCCATGACGACGGCTGCCAATCACGGTGCCTTTGCATGGCCTGGTGGTTTGGGACTATAAAGCAAGGCCATCCCCGGCGGTCGTCCCAGGACGAGCGTCTTCATCCCGTCCGTCCTCTGCCGGCCATGATGCGGTATCTTCTCCTGTGGCTTACCAGCCTCCTCCTGGCATTCCATTCTCTCGAGGCCCGTCCCGTACGCCCATCTCCCCCAACCATCAAACTGGAAGGCCATGTCGGCCGGCGGGTCCGTTCCCGTTCTCGGGGCCGCGAGAATGTGTCACTGCGCGACTGGATCGCGAATACCGATCTGCAGGTGAGCATCGCACGCATAATCCGTCTGGACCCATTGCTGATGGATGCTGCCAGTGGTATAGTAGTATTCAGGTCGGCACTCCGCCGCAAACTCTGTGAGTAGTTTCCGCATGTACTCGGATTGACATCGTCCTGATGCTTCTGCACGTAGAACGGTCATGTATGACACCGGCTCGACTGAGCTGGTCCTCCCCAACAAGAACTGCATCAACTGTGGCAACCATCGTCGGTTCGACCCGTCCAAGTCCCAGTCATATTCTTCCGCGCCAGCCGTAAGGATGGTGGGTGAATACTGCACGGGGGCCACGACCGTGCCACTGTCCGAGTCGGAAGTCGTGAACTGCACGGTCAACAGTGACACGGTCCGGCTGGGCGCACTCACCGCATCGGACCAGTTAATCGTCCTTTGCACGCAGTTTCCATCCGTGTTCAAGGATCTGCCCATGGACGGGATCATGGGTTTGGGGGTGGCGCCGCGGTCCACCGAGGACGGAATTCCGACCTTCTGGTCGTGGTACGCGCGCGGGCAACTGGCGGAGCCCGTCTTCTCGTTCTATTTCGTGCCCGGTTCGGTGTACGGTGCCGAGCTGACCCTAGGCGGAGTTGACCCATCGAAATTCCTCGGCGACATTGTCTATGCCAATCTCAACCAGAACGTGAGCATTCTCTCCGAAGCCTACGTGTTAGACTTGCTAGGCCTGTACATCAATGACCGGCCAGTTCTCACCAACGGCAACTATACCAGTGGCGTCGTGGGGGGTCAGCCCGCCCCGTTTGCTCCTGGTCTCGTGGCCCTGGACACCGGGACGGCCTTTCTCCAGACCCCCGATCAGCAGACGGCGGAGGAGATCTACCGGCAGATCTCCCCGTATATCACCCAGATTGATCCCGCTGGCGCATGGGGGGCACCGTGCCCCATCCTAGACGCGGTTGCAACGGACGTGACCTTCGCCATTGGAGGGAACGGTCCGCCCCTGATCCTCCCGCGGGAGCTTTTCAACCTGGGAGAGTATCCCGGTCAGCCGGGCATCTGTCAAGCCGTTTTCAACAATCCGACCGACCCTTTGGAGGATCCCACGGGAGAAGGACGCGCGGTGTGGTTGGTGGGATCCCCGCTGTTGAAGGCGTACTATACCGTCTGGAATGGCCTGGACCTGCGAGTGGGCTTTGCACAGCCGTTGCCACCGTGGCTATAGAGTGGACCTGGGTTTATAGAGGGTCAATTTGCCCCATTTGTCCACTGTCACTTCCACAAGTCGTAGCACAGGATCCTGGAGCTGGGGATCTACTCCTGGCCAGTGGCGGAACAGCTGATAATATTGATGACCATGCACGAAACGGACTAAGATCTACATAGATAAAGACAAACGTCGCTCTATCACCGCATGGAGCGAAGACTTTTCCAGCATCTAGTTAATAATTTCCCGGCCCAAGAAGCATTGTGCTTTATGCTATAGAGGAGGCTGTCCGTATTTGCGTTGCCCCTATTCTGGATCTTTTGGAAGGGGAGGTGGTGGGAAAGTGGCTGGAATTCATCTTATTCCTCTGTATTCAGCCAGTGAGTGCGTATATTGCAGGATGGAATGCGGGCATGATCGCCCCCTGACAGGAATCTCGCATGCCGCCAGCTGCAACCCTGATCCAGCCGGATCTCATGCGTCCACCTGGAGATGGGATTGGGCACGGGGTCTCTCTGCACATGGGAGTGAACCAGTCGTAGGATAGGAGGTCTGACACAGTGGATCCTACGTCATGCATGGTGGTGATCAATCTTTGGCAAGAAGAGAGAACTGACACGTCCGGGATGCAGCCGGGGGAGGCATGTCCTCCTGGCACTCGAACCGTATCATAAAATCGAAAGCAGAGCAGCCGCAGATCCCGCACGCCAGTGGCTCCATCTAAGGAGAAGATTCGCCGGCTAGAGTTAGGCTGGTGGGTTGACTGGACGAAGCATATCCGGTGCCAGCAACCCGAATGTCTGCAAGAAGGCTCGATCGATACGCAGCGGTCGCTGGCATCATATGGGGTTGATTCGGTGGTCACGGTGGACCTGAAGACATGGTTCCAACGGGAGGTCGGGGTCAAGGTTGCGTCGGGGGACCTGCTGGGTGATTTGGCAATCACGCAGTTGGCGCAGCTCGCAGCGGGCAGGTCGCCGCTGGTGTCCGCGGAGCTGCGGAGGAACTGCGGTGGAACTTGTACATGATAATATGGCGTCGACAGGACAGTCCAAGTGGTAATTTGATGAGAATAGTAATGAATGCGATGAGGATGTACTCCGTAGTAGGAGAGTAGGAAGTTAGTGGAAGAAAAGGAAGAGGAAGAGAAAGATCCAGGACAAGTGAACAAGGCCAGCAGCGGCAGAGCACGTGTCTCGGTCACCTGACCTGCTCCGATAGCGCGGGAGTCCCCTCGGGAAATTCATCCATCTTCTCGTCATCAGTATACACTAGTCTTCAGCCCAGGAATAGTGCATATTATTATAGTTTCTATAGTCTTGCTTTCCTCTCTGCCAGTGTGCTTCTCCTGGTTCCCCAGCCTATGGCAAGGTCTGGATTTATACAATATATAGTGCCGTGGCCCAGGGCCTCTTCTCTCAATGGATTCACCAATTACACTTTAAATGATGGAGGAACAAACAGAAGAAGATCCACTGATATACAAAGGCCGGCTACAACTATTTTACTAGCAGCGAGGATTTGTCTGCCAGCTACTATCAGTCATCAAGATAAAGTTTGACTACGTGGATGCAGGAACCGGGCTTACCTCTATACATAATAATCCTCAATAAAACCTTCCACTCAAATGCTTGATCGATGGTAACATGGGATAATGGCCCTCTACTTTTGCGTCTGATTTCCAACGTCCACTTGTTACTTTGGCACCCTCTCACTGTCTCCTGAATCTTTCTCACCCTCAATCACGGCACTCTAGGCGGGTTTAATCTTCACCAAGACCGCCATGGAGATAAGCCCCAACCCAGCCCGGGTAACCGTCAGCCAGAGAGCAGCCATATGTCCCATTCGCAAGCTTCCGCCCACTCATATCAAAAAAAGTTCCCTTAACCCAGTCAGAAATTACCTCCAAGATATAGGATGCCGTTGGCGACGGCCGCAGCCAGCTCCTATCATCACAAACACGTTGATGAAACTAATTATTAAGAAAGGTATGGGGATCACAGCTATCCTAGGTATTGCTCGCGGCCATCCTCGTTCCTTGGCTGCCTCCAGGCCCTCATCGCTTGCAACTCATTCTTAATGTCGGCCCATCCTTAGCGTCACTGTGCCATCTGCCAACAGAGAACCCCCCCCCCCCGAAAGGCATTGTCAGTCTGCAAACTCTAATCAGTTCAAGTCTCCACAGACGGACCCACGAGATGTCAAGACCTCCGGCGCGTGTTCACGCAGGTGGTCGGTCACCCTAGGTACGAAAGCCTCAACATACATAAGCCCGTTGGCTGGTGGTTTTCTGATGATAATGCAGTCATCACAGTACCTTATGAGGGCAAGTCCGAAAAACTCATCTGGGCCCTCGGAAAAGTGGTCCCCCCTCCCAACAGTAGGGTATTTATTCCTCTTCAGTGGTCCAGCCAAAGGCCAACGGACGCCTGCTCAGACACCTTAGGATCTGAAGACCTAATCCAGACTTGCAAGTTGCAACAGACAAATCTCCCGAGGATCAACATACATAGGAGACAGACCGCTACGTGCCCGATGCTTTCCTGACCCCCCTGGTTCCAGTTTCTGGGCTGCACCGTGCACTGACCTTCCAGGAGTTCATTCATCTTCATGGACCTCGCCAAGACCCCCCTGATCAGCGCTAGTCGAGTAGTCAACGCTAGTTGGCGGTGGCCATTTGGGGGCGGCCCCCTGGATTGGTCGGGTCGGGAATCTAGTGCCATCCCCATCATCCCCTTCATTAGACAGACATCTCAGTCTTCAGGCTTCATGGCAGCTCGGCCCCCACCCGCGGCGGCCCCCACCTGAATGGCGGCATCGCCAGCAGCCGGGGAGAGTGGCCTCAATGCTAGGCTAGGGAGATCAGGTGAGGCGCCCATTTCATTTCGCCCGAGGAAAAATCCCCCTCGTCCCGCCCCTTCTTCTCACGCCTTCAACCCTTCCCCCCTCCCCCGGACGGCACATGGCACACCCGTCTTGGGCCTCGAACACCATCCGTCTCCAACCCAGTCGGCACGCGTGACGAAGACAATGCGGGGAGTCGACCGGTGGTTCTATCGCCTCTCGCTGGTAGCCCTTTGGGGGCGCCTGGCTGCAAGCACCAGCTGCTACTTCCCCGAGGGCAACGTCGCCGAGAACTACACACCATGCTCCGACGACGGAGACTCGTTCTGCTGCAATGAGAATTCCATTTGCCTGTCCAACGGCCTGTGCACCTCCATGCATCAGCCCTATGTGCTCGGTCGGGGAGCCTGCACGTCCCAGAACTGGAACGAGACCTCCGTCTGCGATGATGTCTGCCATGGCAGTATGCCCGGCCCTGTCGCTGGCGATTCCCTTGACCATCTGACTCACTGACCACCCTTATAGTTACCACCGCGTGGGGGACCGCATGCTCCCTCATCTTGTACAGCGACGTGAACGGGAAGATGCTGTACTGTCCCAATTCGATCGTCTCGAATGGCACCAAGTCGATTGGCTGCGCGGATGGCGTCTCTCCGATCCAAGTGGCCACGGGCACGCCCATCGCCGGCAAGGCCTACTTGGCCCAATACACCCTGAACAGCGACATCACAACGAGCAATACCACCTGTAATAGCACTAGCAGCAGCAGCAGCAGCAACGACAGCAGCAATAACAGCACCACTGGCAACAACAGTAGCACCAGCAGCAGTAGCAGCAGTGGCACGGACGATGGCGACCACGTCAGCCGAGCGACGTTGGCGGCCGTGGGCGCGGGCGTCGGGGTCCCGCTGGGGCTGCTGGCGATGGCCTCGCTGGGCTATGGCTTCAATGAACGACGGAAGCGCATCCGACTCCAAAACTCCCCGGCATTTATGTCGCAAATCCATCACACCACCGCCTATCGATCCACCGTGCAGGCCAAAGAGCTGACCGGCCATATGCCGCTCCACGAGCTGGGGGATATGAGGAATCGACATGAGCTGGCTGGCACAGTTCCGTGAATTGGGGGGGCGCCTTGCGGGGAAAGGCTGGATGTCGCACTCGCCCTGGATGAATTAGGCGATGGGATCCTCAATGTTTCTTGTTCTATTTGCAGATATTTACTATTCTAATCCACCGTTTTTCTTCTGATCTCTGTTCCCCAGTGGTCCTTTGTGAATGACGCCAACGTCTAGTCGGTGGCATCCCCGTGCTGAGCACCCACATCGCATCCTGCCAACCCTCTGGTCGCAAGCTGAGGCGACCAGCCCTCAATTCGGGACTGTCGGGCGCTCGCTCAGACCGGAATCTCTTGGTCCGCAACTCGATCCAGGATGCTCACGTGGAAGCCGTCCGGCCGTCTTTAAAATGTCGAATTTTGCTGTTCCTTACAAAGTCCTAAAAGAAAGTGCCTATGTTGTAGAAACCACTGTCAAATTTGTCTAGTCTGCATATACCCTGTCGCGGAGCTACTATATCTGGGCACAAGCTTGAGGTAGCACCATGCGGGCCTTGATTCTCAACATGACCGGGGCTCTCTATAGGGCTCTACCAACGGGGACCGCCTCGTACAACGCATGCGACCCGACTCCTTGAGACTCCGCCCGCCACACCTTGACCACCGTGAAGTGGGCTCGCTGCAGCAAGTCGATCCACTGTTTCTCCGTGCGCTCGAGAGATGCATACAATTCCATCATCAGGATATCTACCGCCACCGAGCCGGCCGGCGCAGCCTGCTCGGGCAGGGTGTTTTCGTTGACCAGCAGCACCGAATCTTCCGCCATGGCCTCGTGGATACGGCCCAGAACCTGGAGCGCCTGCTGGTCGGGCCAGTCGTGAAGAACGGTCCGCAAGTAATACGCTTTGGCGCCGTGCACGGGCTGCGCGGCGAACATATCGCAGGCGATGGCCTCCACGTCTTCCCCCAGGGGGGTTTGGATCTCCCGAATCACCGCGGGCAGGTCCTCGACGACGAGCTTGCCTGGCATGTCCGGGAATCGCGCCTTGCATCGCGCGACATCGTGGCCCAGCCCGCCGCCCACATCGACCAGGCGCACCCGATGGGGCGAGACCCGAAGCTTGTCCTCGACCGGGTAAACATCGAACCACTGGGCCCCATCGAGCTGGCGGTTCAATCCCATGACCACGTTGAAGGCGTGCTGGTCCTCCGGGTGGGTTTGTAGCCAGGCGAAGTGGTGCTCCTGGGTCTGGTAGGCCCACTGGAAGGGGGCATTCCAGGCATCTTCGGGGTTCCGGTACTCGTGGGATGCGAGGTATTCATCCAAGAACGCCGAGGCCCTCATATTGGTATAGCTGTTGGATCACCCATTAGCCATTGGCGATCTCCTGCCATTGGGGGGAGTCAGGGAGGCCAAACAAATGCTTGATCACCTCCGCCAAGGGGGATCCCGTGGTAAACCCCAGGGCTAGCGGCAATGGCTGGTAGGTTTGATCGGCCGCCTGGATGACCAGGTGGTTGGCAGCCAGGAGACGAAGGATGCGCCCTACAGAAGAACCGTCAATGGCTGACCGCACACATCGGAGTTTCCGTCTCCATCGATATACTGAGCCACTACAAACCCAGGAGTTTCTCGTCACCCTTGGCCGTCACCGCCAACTGCCCGATGGTCTGGGGGAAACCGCCCCCGGATGCCCACCAGGCCGTAATGCTGACAGGGCTACGTCAGTCTGTTTCTGCCGCGGGGTGGATGCCGGATCTTACTGCAAAACAGAGGTTGCGAGCGGTCAGAATGGGCGGCTCCATGGCAACGCGAACTTGGTCCATAACTCCGAGAAGCTGAAGGCGGTCGCTTTCGGGGATCGACTCCGCTGGAGGCAGCTGGGCCAGGGCGGCAGTCACGGCGGCGATCGCCTGGGCGGGGGAGAGGGAGGCCATGAGGGAATCCACTGGAGCAGAGACCGGGTATCTGGTACGGGAGCTGGAGGAGACTGGGGCGGATATGGTCTTTATACCTCATGCTGGATGGTGAAAGCGTGAGGCGAAGGCCGGAGAACAAAGAAACGAGGAGCGACTGGGATGGGCGGTGCCGCGGTCGTGGAGCCACGTCACCCATCTCTTTCATGCGGTTGGTATGGATGCTCTCAGAGACCCTCTCAGTGGCAGACCCGATCCAGATGTACATAATGTCGGATCTTGTGAAGCCAGTGTAGGCTGGCCAACCTGTTGGGTGGGGGCCTCCGGGCCCCCGTCGGGCCCGCGCCCTATACTACGGGATGTTATCCCCTCCCATGCTTAGCGTAGGCCCCCGTATGCCAGTGCCTATATCGCCAATCTGGCCTGGATGTACTGCACGGCAGCCTTTATCGCGATGACCCTGAGACTGCTCTAGTGCTCTAGACCGTCTCCAGCCTGGTCATCTCTCGTTCCTTCCCGCAGGCTCTCGCGGGCGGCGTGTTCAACACCATCTCCCAACTGGTGAATTCCGTGGGACTGGCCCTCACTGCCGCCATTGCGGCGTCCGCCACCGTCCACCACGGGCACGATGACTCTGCCTCGCTCTTGGAGGCATGCTTGCTGCCGGGCTATCGCGTCGCGTACTGGGCCATGTGCACCGGCATAGGGTTGGCGTACGTGGCCAGCTCGCTGGGCTTCCGGCGGGTGGGCAAACAAGAGGGAGATCGGGTCGGAAGGCCGTCGCCTCCGGAGACTCACGGGGAAGAACGCCCGTCACATGGGTCCCTAGGGCCGGCTTGGAATCCAGTGGTCATGCTCCGGATTGAATACAGGCGAGAGGGAGAAGAGACCGTGGTGTGGAATATGTACATCCGGTCGATTCTACGATTGGGTCCAACGGTATTGTTTCAAGACACACTGGCGCTTGACACCATTGCAATTTGGGCAACAGGTGCCATAGACCTCGCTCCTCGTAAATGCTTTTCACAGTGTGTATGTTGGCATCCGTTACTATCCCCGCATGGTAGATAGGAAGCCTTCGACCGCATCCCAGACACGTCACTCAGAGCTGTGCGGGATGGATCAATGTCTCCACTGGGCTCCCGTCTCCACTGCTCAACAAGGGGATCTTTTCGCGCACTGAAATGAATGTCGCGAATGTCGGAGCTGAGTACTCTACCTTTCCCTCCTTCGAAAAGAGAGGCAAAGAAGAAGACTATCCTGGGGGCGCGGGCTGACGCTGGGTAAAAGAGCTGGGCTCGCTGACATGACGGATGATGTTTGCCGGCGTCCTGGAAGGGGGTTGATCGACAAGGAGGGAATGGTCTTCTGGAATTCTCTCTCAGTCTGCGCGGCCAGAGCCGGCATGTACCTCTTCGACACACAAGGGACATGTACCGTTACAGACCAGGTGGTGTAATTTGCCCAGGGCTTTCCTCGCTGGCATTAGAGGGATGCGGAAGTATTTCACTGGAACCGGGAGACTGCGCAAGGGCTGCGCAGGCGCATCCAATCGATCGAGAAACTCAGTTGGAATCGTAGCGGTGTAGACATAGAAACACTCCGTTACTGTACCGGCGGTTGCCAGCACGGTGACCTGCGGTAAACAAGTCAACCCGGATTCCCACCATAATCACGGACCATGACTTACTTGAAAGGATTGGACTGCCCTCTGGATTGTCTTGCCAATCTCTGGGCCGCACAAGCAGGGGGCCCTGGGCACCATACCATCCATGGCACTCGCGGTCCGGGCTCGCGGTTGTCGATGGGCGGTGCTTTGGCCGTCATATCGCTCTCCTGTATCCGCCTGGCGCCGCTGGGCCTGGGCCAGGGCAATGAGCATCGCGATCAGATAGGGATCCTCAGCGGGATTCGGGGGCTCCAGCGATCGCAGCCTTTTCTGGTGAAGATTCACGACCGGCCGATTTCGCCTCCCACCTGGCGGACGGTACACGGTCTTCTTGCGGAGGGTTTGGATGAAGTCAAATGTGATGTAGGCCAGACTTGGCGGGGCGCCGGGAGGGGCGAAAATGCCGTCGGTTGGGAGGAGGGCGGCTTCTCGCTGCGCAAACGAGAACGACAGGCTGCTGTCCGGGCTGTGGATGGGGTCAGTCGGGGGACGGGACCCACCGGGGAGGGGGGACACTGTACCCGAGCGAAAAAAGATTGTAGCAGCGCAGGATGTTCGCCACATCGCATTTCTTCGCGGCCAAGGTGCCGGGAAGGGTCAGTTGAGCGATCGCGTAGATGGGGCTTTTATATGCCGGGTGTTGGTCCCGCAGGATCTGGACCACCGATTTCGATGGGGGGTCTCCTTTGCCCCACCGGATCTTCTCGAGGGTGAAGTGACAGCCCAGGAGGCGCGGCTGCCGCAGCGTCCAGCAGATCGGAAGCACGTACAGCCGTTCTCGGCTGTTGGCCCGCAGGAGGTTGTTGATGGAAGTAGCGTCCGGGCTGGGACAGTCCGGGGCAGCTGGGCGCATTCCCACGCGTCCATCCACCATTTCATCAGAAAGGGGGGAGGACCCGCAAAGGGCATGAATCCACTGACGTGGTAGTGTCCGAGGTGAGGAGAGGGAGAAGGGGGTGTAGGGGATGGAAGAAGAAGCGCACGAGGAGGATTCATGGGAGATGGGGAGAATGAGGGAGAAGAGAAGGCAGGAGGGAGGAGGGATTACGGAAGAGGAGAGGGCCCGCGCCACAGGCACCGCCACCAGCCGCTTGCTCCTGACCTCAGCCACACCGCCCGCTTTCCCCGCAAACCCAAGGAACGGTGAGGGGCGATTAGTTAGTTGTTTACTCCTTCCTCAGGGCCAAGCCGTGCTCTCAACGTTTCTACCAACCCAACGCTTTCTCCTTCCAGCATTTTGACGACCCTCTATTTCTAGCGAACGGAGGAGGCGTACAGTTAGTTTATTTTTGATGTTATCGATGCCCCGTCGCCCGCCTTACTGGTTTATTTTGAAGCAAGCGGGGGTTTTCTCCCACGGTTCAACCTCCCACTACGATGAGTCAGATGTATAAGGCTCGGACGCCCGAAGAGTTCGCGAGGCTCTCGCAACAGCATGGGGACCTGCGTCTTCTGGCCCAACTCACGGAAACGGAACTGACGAAGCCTGCGAGCAGATGGACCTTGCGGCATCTGCTGGGCTATCGGTTGATAACCCTCCCCGAACGGTCCTTCCTGGACATTCTCTTCGCGGAGCATGAAAGCTGCCCGGTCTGTCACCCAGAGGGGCCCCGGGCACTCGAACTGGACCACTACTGGGCCCAGGTTCTCATGGCTACCCCGCCCAGTCTGTACGATACAACCGATTCAGACCTCTTGCGATTGCCGGGTGGTTTCTTTTGGGTCGCGCTGGCCCGAGCATCCCGTGGGGATAGCCTCCCCAGTACGAGAGTCCATCCGCGCCGCCAGCGGCGGCCTCCTCCGCGGGATGCCTACGTCAATTCCACCAGCGCCATTCTGGGATCTTCATCGCCCACCCAACCGTCTTCATCCGACTTCGAACCCCAATGGGATGACATTGACGAGGATGAGTATGATGCTCGACGGACCCAGCCTGAGGATGTGACAGTGCACCTGCTCCTCTCTTTCCTCCAGTTTGCCCTCAACCTTTGTCTGGTACAGGACGCAACCGGATCCCGTGAAGCACGACCGCGTATCGAGCGCCGAGCATCCATCGCCCGTATAGCTGGGCAGACCGATATAAGAGCTGAGGATGATGGTGGAATTTGCTGGATGACCCGCGGGGATCTCGGTTGGACCACGCGACACCCATATTTTGCCCTGCTTGAAGCCAAGAAGGCGTTCAAGTCCATGTATATCGAGGAGCGCACCGGGAGGTCCATGCCGAGGGTATCAAACGAGACACTGGCCCAATACCTCGGTGAGGCGCTGGTTGCATGGAGAGCCAATCGGGATTTTCTAAATCAAGAGTAAAGTTCTCCTCGGAGCTCCTGGCTTCGAACTCCCCGGTGCTGACTCATGCGGGCAGTGTTTTTCTTATCGTCGGGACCAACGCCTTCGTACGGTTCATCAATTTCAAGTTCAACACCGGGTATGAGGAATACCTGGATGCGGAGAGTGAAGCAGCCCAGACAGCTGTGGTCCAACGTGGAGATGGCAACGTGTTTGCCTATATGCATAGTACGAAATGGTTCTGCCTCCAGTCGTCCGAAGGGAGGGAAGCCGCGCTGTGCCACGTCCTGGCTCTAATCAGGTGGCAGGTTCACCAGGGTGGGACGGTTCTGCAATTCACAGAACAGGCATCCAGGGCTGAGGATAGCAGCAATGATTCCATGGATGATGACAGTGATTAGGCTCACACAGAACACAGATAGTGTGGGTGATTTAGCTATGCAGCATGCCTGTAATGAACAGTAATTTAATTTTAATAAATAGTAAGCTGATGTAGTTAGGTTCCAAAATATGGAAAGGTCCTGGTGATACTTTAAGCTTTCCTAACTGAAAAGCTTTCCAGCCATGGTTTCCCTGCCTCTTAGTAATTATATTCTTTAACTCTGGTTCGCACTCTTACCTAGTACCCGGCTATCAGGTAGAGCGAACAGACCGGCGTGTAGTATTTTGCCTAATACAATATCATTCGATTACTATATCTAACGCTTATCAGCGGGGCGTCGTCATCATTGCTCCCTTTGGCTCCTACACTCCCCTTAGCTGCTTAGTCCACTGCCCGTATTCTAATATGTCAGGATGTAAATCTTACTAAATGGTACTAGACACCCAAACCAGCAATGCTAAGCCTTACATGAAGTTGCGGTCCGTGCATTCCCTAATACTACCACTTCCCCAGATAGTATACGATCAAAGTATTGCTCTGCCAGCTCTGAGCTTCGTGCAATCATACGTATCTTCATGTCGCCAGTCTTTATTACAAGGGGCCTGGCAATATTCTTCCTTTTGTATATCTGACATACATGGTTAAATTCATTGATAGACTAATGAGTTGCAACCTTGACCGACAAGATATACCAGAATGTTCCCGGGGGCAAGCAGGCAAACTCGATGAGAATCACCATGGAGAGGCATGTTGCATGAATAAATATATGAAGGGTGATTTGCAACCCAGATTTGAGTCCTATTTTGTCGCATGACAACCATTCATGTCGGTGAATTATATCACATAGTCAAGATCAGTGCTAATCAGCATCTGCTTACAGCTGTGGGCGTAAAAAATATCAGCGCTGTGTTACATGGTTCATGTTTGTGGAATCATCCTGTTAGTGAGTCCACGGGTAATCTCGATCCTTTTCGTCCCGCCCTTCGGACACCAAACGTATTTTAGCTCCGTTGGTCCCATCGCCCTTCTGCCAAATTACGTTTGTTGCCATGTGCTTTTGAATTGCCAAAACAATGAGCTCCTACTTGTGGTATTCCTACTATACACTTCAAATGCGGTCAGCACAATATAGGTGAAGTCCAGTACGACAGACAACATGTGGGTGGGCGGTATCTTATTGACAGATTAAGTAACCGTGAACGACCAGTTATTCAAAGCTATTACGCAATGGGTAGTTCAGAACAAGCCAAGCTAGATAGATTCCCCATGCCTCCGGCCTGTGTACTATGCCTCATGGCTCTGATGCTCTCAGCGTCATCGACTGGACAGCCTGTCTAGTCCCTCGCATCATAACCAGACTCCGGGTCTGAATTATCGGATTCAATTAGCTGGGTTGAACAGTTATTGTCACGCGATAATATGCAGGTGTGGTTGGATCCGTCCGGACTATCTCTTCCTGTCCACTTTGCCTTCGTTTCTGGCGCTAGAGCCATAGGACTATCACCCGTGACTCGTCGTATTTGGATAGGCCCTGCACCAGACCGACAAACTTCAAGCCTAGTCTTTGAACTTTTTGCATAGTGCATCAGCTCGCGTAGCAACCAAGCCACTCGCCTCAGCATCTCGTCATTTTCTCGTTCCCAGCGAGTTATTTCGTCTCGCACGTCCTGTACCCGGATATCGTCAAACAGGCCGCGGTTATGATATGCCACAATCAGGGTCGGGATTTGGGACACCCACAGACGAGGGGTCAGGTCTGTCATGTCAATTTCTTTTTTGATTGCCCCTGTCTTGAAGTCAACCATCGACCGAGTTTTGATATCGATAATATCGCTCTGGCCTATCCGTCGCCCACCCCCATGAATCTTAAGCCTTCCGGAGTCGTCAACAGGATCGCGTCCGTGGTCTCCTTCAAGCCTTGCTACCAGGCTAACAATGTCGGTGTCCCCATCCCCAGATGAGCTGCTTCTGCCTGTCTCTTGGTTACTGGATAATCTTTCTTGGGGGACTTTTGGAATATAGCCATCCGATTCGAACCGAACAAGAAGATGTAGGCCTCCAAAGGTATACTTTATTATCCGCTGGTGTGACTCGGAGCCAGCAAGCCCCGGCCCCCACGTTGTATATTGGTCCAGGAATGTATGACCGTAACCACGGACATCCGGTATCAAATCTGTGGGTGAATTCTCTCTTCGGATGAAGAACACGCTGTCTCCAACCAATTCCATTATGAACCTGAAGTCTTTGTCGACCCCTCGAGCAAACCGGGTGAGATTCCCGAGAGTACTGGAGCAGGTCACTATATCAGTATCGGCGAGATCATAGTCCGGACTCTCTCTGCTGATTGCCTCGAACGCAGCCTGCCACGGATACGAAGGATACCTGGCCGCATTAGGGTCACGAAAATACTCCCCCCGATCGGGTTCCAGCTGGCGGTCTTCAGTTCCAGGGGTCCAGACGGGCGGTTCGCCTTGTAGATTGACCTCCATTACTATTATCGCTCCAGAGCCGCCGATAGAAGGTGGGAAACGTACCGGGTATGAGAATCGATGGTGCAGCTCGACCCAGCCATGTGTACGAACTGACATCCTCGCAGTCTGCGATTTGGGGGCATTCCTCTGACCTTTCAAGTTCGGTATTGCCAATTTCTACCAGTAGAGGACCATATGGGGGCGCTGGGGATTTGACAACTGAGTCTCGTCTGTTCCCATGTTGTCTGACACCCGACCAGCCACGCCGAGCACCACGAGGCTTGGGTGGATAGCGACCTGACGAAACCCTCCACATGATAATACTCGCTATTTTCGAGAGAATCAAGGTTGCTTGAGCTGACCTTTTACCAATGACACTGGGCGGGGTTGGGCAAAGTCAAGATTGAGGAGTGCTCGTTGGGTCCCGACGCATGGCCCGCGATCGCACCCCGGTCAATGGTGTGACCGGTCACATGTCAGCCTCGTCATTCACCCAACATTGGTTTATCTCTCTCTCCCTTGCATGCGGGGCTCTGGCCGGCGTTGGCTATCTCAGCTGTGCGCTCGACTCACTCATTCTCGATCATCACACAACTCCCTCCCTGCGATCAGTCATAAGTGGCTTCTATCGTGCAATGGCGACGCGCTCCGACAAACTTTCCAGGCACTTGCTGTTGCTTGAGAAGGGAAAGAGACAGGTGACAAAACCAGGTGATGCCAAATTACTTTTAGAAGCTCTTTGTGCCCAAGATGATCATTTACGCTGTATCGAACGGGTGCTTGCTTCTCCCCCTCTGAGCGATTCGCTCCAGAACAGCTTCCGTCTGGATTTATCGCTGGACTTCATCCACAATTACGCCACCCCGCTCCTCAGCTACATACAACATCCAACCATCGAGGATTTTGGGAGTGGACAATTTCTCCGTCAGATTATCTCCCGAATCACTCAACCTCCTACATTCTGGAATGCCCTTATACAGCTCCACACCCAGAAGAAGCTCAATGAGAAGGCTGAGCTAGGCTTTGCTTGGTTACTTCTCAAACTTATCACTACGCAGGGCTGTGCCTCTGAAATAATTGCCACTGCCCAGCAAATCTCGCGGGCCCGGACATTCCTCGTTTCACTCTCCCTTGAGATCCGCACGATCGGTTATCGCATTGACGCTATCTTGAAGACCCTCACAACTAGACTAGACGTGAAGGATGACTACCGACCCGGCGGCAGACATGACAACGACTTTGAGTGCTTTCGTAACATCTCCATTCTGCCAACACCCGATGAGATCGCTGCGACACAGAGGCCCTTCTACCGCCGTATGGAAGACATCTACCAGCTTCCGGCGGACGAACGACCGGTCGCTCATTACGATAACCAGTTCCGCCTGTTGAGAGAAGACTTGCTGGCAGAGCTGAAGAATGACCTCCAGCTTGCTCGTGGTCAGAAAAAGGGAAGAAGGTCTGCCCTGCCCATCGATAGACTTCGCTTTAGCGGAATTGGCTGTGGTGAGGAGGAAAACCGCCGAAGGACCTGTAATGTTCAATTCAAATGCACAAACGGCATACCCCGTTTATCCCCTTTGTCCAAGAATGAACGTGGGCAGCTACTGGGTGATAGTCCCAACTTTCTGAAGCACCAGTCATTTGGGTGCTTGCTAAATAAGAAGGAGGTCGTCGGATTTGCTTCTTTAGATCGTGGGTCATCAGATCTCACAGACGACATCCCGACACTCGCCTTGAGCATACAAGGTGACTCTGCCCTCCACCGCGTTCTTGCATGCGCCAAGATGGGGTTTTTGTTCACGTTCGTGATTGTCAATACTCCAATCTTTGCATATGAGCCGATTCTTCAACGATTGCAGTCAGTGATGGAATACCCCCTGTCAAGGATACTGCTTGCGCAAGCTCCCTCGCCGGAGCGGCTGACATTCGATGGAGATCTGGAAACTATCATCGAACAAATACGGACCAGCAGGGGCCAGTCGCTTAATCGGATTATCGATACCAAGAAGAACATATCTCTGGACGATTCACAGCTTCAGTCTCTCTTGAGCGGTCTGCAGCAAAGCATAAGCACGATCCAAGGGCCACCTGGTGAATTTGCATCCACTCTTCCAAGTGTTATGTCAAGGGCTAACAAGCGCCAACACAGGAACTGGGAAGTCATTTCTTGGTGCATTGATTGCCAAGGTCCTACATGATAAAACAGATAAGACCCTGATGATTATCTGCTACACGAACCATGCACTAGATCAGTTCCTGGAAGACCTCCTTGACATCGGCATCCCAAGCACGTCCATGGTACGGCTCGGTTCCAAATCTACGTCACGTACCAAGGAGCTCGGACTTTTTGAGCAGAGTCGAGGCATGTCCGGCGTCGATTCGTGGTCCTTTGTGAACCAGAACAGGGAAAAGCTAGACGAAGTACTCAAGGAGCTGCAATCTTACTCCGAAAAGTACAACCGTGACTCTATTTCCAAAGATGACATGCTCGAATACCTAGAGTTTTCCGAAGACAGCACCTTCTTTGACGCATTCACCGTGCCCGAAGAGCCGATGGGTATGCGACGCATTGGAAGACATGGTAGAAGTGTTGGAAAACACTATCTGTGGGATGCATGGCGGAATGGGCGGGACGCGGGTACTCTCCGCGACCTCCTCAGTCCTCAGCACGCTTATATCTGGGAAATGGCACCTTCCAAGCGCCGGGAGTTGGTAGAGACCTGGCAGAGGAACATTCTTCGTGACAAATCCGCTCAATTAGTTGAGCTTGTCAACAGATGTCATGATATCTCAAAGGACCTGGATGAATACTTTTATCATAAGCGACATTGCGCTGTTCTCGAAAATAAACGAATTGTGGCATGCACAACAAACGCGGCCGCCCGATATGCAACGGCTTTGCGGGTCGCTAAACCTGGCGTCTTGATTGTGGAGGAGGCCGGGGAGATCCTGGAAAGTCACATCCTGACAGCCATGACTCTGGACACACAGCAGCTGGTGTTAATCGGGGACCATAAGCAATTACGCCCCAAGATCAACAATTACAACTTGTCTGTCGAAAAAGGCGATGGACTGGACCTCAACCGCTCCCTTTTCGAACGACTCATCTCCAAGGGCTATCCGCACAACTCCCTAACAACACAACATCGCATGCGCCCGGAGATATCCCGACTTGTCCGCCATCTGACATATCCGGACTTACAGGATTCGGAGAGGACGTGCAAGCGACCCTCACTCCGTGGGTTCCAAAGTGACGTCGTATTTGTAAATCACTGCCACCCCGAACGTGAACTTCACGAATATGCCGAAAGAAGGGACCCAACTATGAAGGCAAGCAAGCAGAATCCATTCGAGGTGGAGATGACATTAAAGGTTGTCAAGTACCTCGGGCAGCAAGGGTACGGCACGGACGACATAGTGATCCTAACACCGTACTTGGGCCAGCTGTCTTTACTACGTACGGAGCTGAGCAAAACCAATGACCCAGTACTGAACGACCTGGATGCGAATGATCTCATACAGGCCGGTCTTCTGATCCCGGGGAGTACAAAGGCGACTAGAAATCCTATTCGCATATCAACCATAGGTAAGCGCGGCAACCTTCTAATCTACCCGGCAGAGAGTAACCCAGACAGATAATTACCAGGGTGAAGAGAGGAACATTGTGATCGCAAGCCTGACGCGTAGCAATGAGGTAGGGGAAATTGGTTTCATGGCCGCTCCAGAGCGTGTCAATGTTCTCCTCTCCCGGGCAAGAAACGC